TAATGCTAACACATTTAGAATTTTTTTATTTACAACTAATGCTACAAATATCTCACTTAATTTCTAGACATTAAACCTTTTCTTTCCCCGTCAGGTTTGGGGAGTGCTCTCGGACTTGCGGAGGGGGCGTCAAGAAGTCGGTGAGACACTGTAACAAACCTATCCCATCTAATGGTGGTCGCTACTGCACTGGGCGGCGAGAGAAGTACCGCAGCTGTGGTGCACGTGAGTGTCCTCCAGGTAGTAAAGGATTCAGAGAAGAGCAGTGTGCTGTTTTCAACAACAACAATTATAATATCCAAGGCCTGCCTGAAGATGTCAAATGGGTTCCCAAATATGGTGGAAGTAAGTTTCCCATTTGTATGTCCATTTAATTCATTAATCAATTTATTTATCCAGAGGATGAATATACAGTTGATATTGGTTATGTCATAAATATTTCAGTAAATAAAAAAATTGACAACTTGAAAGAAAATATAGTTTGGATAAAAATAGTTGAAACAGTTAGTGAATTTAACCACAGACCTGTAAGATTGTGAAAATAATGTTTTACTGATTGGTCATATATTATTATAATTCTCTAACTATCTCTAGACTTACAGTTTGTTGAAATATCTTTTTTCAGAATGCACATTTTGTGTGTGTGTGTGTATGTTGAAACTTCAAGTTCCTCATCATTATTTTCTTATAAGTTTTGCTTCTTCAACTACAATATTAAGTTAAATATTATGTTTCATTATGCATGGGTAAATAGTTTACAAATTACAGTTAGTTCAGTTTTGCTTACTTTGATTTTTAGGCATTTAATTAATTTCTCTGGATTCCTTACATTTCAAACAACTTTGACTCTGAATTATGTCAAGTAAGAAATTTGGTAGTATAGGCTGCAGCCTTGCATTTCTTGCCTGTCATATTAATAAGCCAACTTGTATCAACAGCGACTAAGCCAATGTCTTGATAATGTGTGATATAGTTTGTTATATCTATAACCATGTTTTAAAACCAGAGTGTTTTAAGTTTAGATTAAAATCTTTTTATATTGCCAATCAAATTTACTCTTTGCCTTAGTACTGATACAGTGGTCATATATCAGCCTCTCAAGTTGACAGCATTATATATTTAAAAAAAGCAAAGAACATTGTGTGAAATTTGAAGAATTTTGCCAACAACTTTCAGAATACCTCAGTCATTATAGTGACTAAACTTTGGGCTGTTTGTTTTATATTCTTATTGTTAAAGTTAGCCCTGATGAGCGATGCAAACTCTACTGCAGAGTTCATGGTACGAGCGCTTATTACCCACTCAAAGAGAAAGTTGTAGATGGAACACCATGTGGCCCTGATACGTATGACATATGTGTGAATGGAATCTGCAAGCCAGCAGGTTGCAATCACATGCTTGGTTCCTCTATGCAGCTAGGTAAGTTGCATTAAGTCAGTTATGTAAACAGTTGAACTCTGGAAAGCACTAACCGCTTGTGTTACTAATCCTTTAAGATAACCTTGTCGTGGTGGTGGGGCTTGAGTACCTCAGCATAGCTACTAGTAACATAGCTACTGGTAGGGCCTCCCTAGCCAGATTGGTCGAGGGGGAGAGGTACCCTGGTCCTCCAGGTTGGGGGTTGGTCGCAAGGCTAACAACCTTGGACCGTAAAAAGGAAGATGTTTCGAAACCTCAATCAAAGTCTCGGACAAACGGACCTAACAGAGGACCGAATGGAAGAGGAGAATTGAGGAAGCCATGGACCAAATACGGACTGGAGAGCCATAGAAGAAGAAGAAGAAGTATCATCCTTTAGGATAATGTAGGAGAGCCATAGTTTCTAAACAACTTATAATATAGAAATACCTTTTTCTTATAAACAGCTTCATTATTATCTTGAGTTACCTTGGGCTGCTGTGATCTGAAATTCTCACTTTCATCTGTTGTCACATTGTATGTCGACAGAACTATATGGGTCTGAGTCTATACTAACACATACTTCTCACATAAAAGTATTACTGTTACACTCATCAACAGAAATGCCATCTATTTCACAATCATAGCTGTTACATACACTTTCATGTTCCATAAAAAAGTAATAAGCACTGAAATAGACAAATTAAATTTGCCAGAGGTATTATCTGTTAGCAAAGTACTGAACATTGGTGCTATCTAGTGAGAAAAAAAATTGCATTATAATTGGGCACAGATGAAATCAGGATAATAAATTGTAGCTGAAAAATTCTAAGTGCTGTGAGTTAATTTGGTATGGTATACGGTGTTTATGATAAGTCACAGTCTTATGAGGGAACCAAGAACCCAACACTCTCTATAAATGAAATATGATATTATAAAATACAATAAAGTACTGTAAAGTTTGGAAAAATACAGAAAAATATGAAGAGGGATTGTGATTTGTACCTTTACATCCTCTGTGTTCTTTCTTGGTGAGGTGTCTGAGTCTCATTTAACATTAAATGAATATGTGATTATCTTTCCAGACATGTGTGGGAAATGTGGTGGTGACAATTCAACATGTATCTCCATCAAAGGCAGCTACAACAACTCTACTTACGGCTATACCCGAGTGGTGCGCATTCCAGCTGGGTCCTCCAATCTTGACATTAGACAGTATGGTCACAAAGGAATAACAGATGACAACTATCTGGGTAAGACAGTCACTGTGCTTTGGAGAGTTTCATTTGTGCCCCATTCTGAATGTGATCCAATCACAGGTATTTCTTATCTTAAATGTGGCACTTGATTTGACAACAGTGACTTCCAAAAGAAGAAACATGAAACTTTTGTAAAATGGGCAGCCTTTCCTGCCTACTAATTATGTTAATAACATTGTGGGTTTGCAAATAAATTATACTGTACAAAAAATTTTATTGAATAAATATAATATAATTCTTTTAAGTGTGGGATATTATTTAATTTAACTGAGCAGTATCATCAATCAGATTTTCATTTCTACTTTAGCAAAATTTATGTGTACATAACACTGATACTATAAATGCCTCTTTAATTTTTGTGTTTAAATCATGTTGATACTTACTGGATAATGACACTTTATAATTTTATAAATGCAGTTCTTTCAATTATTTATTTTATTGAAAAATTACTTGACTTTTACATTTTTGTATTATCATGTACTGTATAATAAGACTTTGCAGATTTTATTATATCAACAAATTGTTTTAATTTTTATGTTGATTTGTATTAGTTGCTTAAAATGGAATACTTTATTTACTCTAGCTTTGGTAGATGAAGATACTGGAGAATATATTCTGAATGGAGGGTTCATGGTGTCAATATTCCGCAAGATTTTGCTCTTTGGTGGAGCTACGTTGGAATACACAGGATCTCAGACAGTTGTAGAGCGTGTCAATTCTTCTTCCAGGCCACTGAAAAAAGATTTAATATTAGAGGTATTATTCAAACATAACTCAATGTAAATACTACAGGCATATGCTATATATTAATATTTAGTGAAACTAATATTGTATGTTGAGTACAAGTCGTATCTATTCCAGAAACTAGTGCTTTTTCCTTAAACTTGTATGGTAATAGAATATTTAAACCCCCTTACTACACTTATTAACTCTAGGATTGATAGTTTAGAGGTATGCAACAGTAGATTCTGGTTAATAGGGGCAGCTGCGTAATTGGACCGAAGTGTTCTAGTCCCGATGTGTCTCAATTAACCGGAACCCACTGTACTACAATTCATGGCCAGCTGGAATGTTTGTAAGCTGTGACCACAATTAGTATAAGTAAAAGAGTTTCATAATTTTGGATTTCCATCCTTCAATTTCATCCTTGGTGTCACATGCAAGGATAGGCAGGCATTACTCCTCTGTTTTCATATTGTGAGCATTCTTTAATGTTAATACATGATCCATGCATATTAACAACAATTATTTAAAGAATAGATGTATTGTTAATAGAAGTGTGATATGCAATATATGTTGTATATTGATGGTTTTATGTATTAAGATTTCCTTTACATAATCAGAAAGGGATGCCTAAGTATAAATTCTTTAATGTGTCTGTGGTGAGGAGAATTTTCTCTTGACATGCGCACTTCCATCTGAAGGCAACAAGTTACCTTCTCTTACATTAACTACAAATAAAGAGGCTCAGTTAACTCATAAGTCATCAGCTTGAAAGATATAGTTTGGTCTAAAATGTCTTGAGAGGCCATTTCAAGACCTTCTAGTATCTTTCTATAATGTTTTCTGAGCCAAAGTACGAGTAATTTTAGCAGCACTCAGCACACCAAAAGTTCTGATCAACTTTTCACCTTTCTACCTCCAAAGGTATGGAAATTGTGCCGTAAGAAGAACAAGAATTATGAATACCTTTTGTATTTTTATGTGTTTCGTTTCCTACAGCACATGATGTTTGAAGTTTGGTTTTGTTAGGTTCTCTCTGTGGGAAGACTGTATCCCCCAAACATAACATTCCAGTACACAGTCCAGCGCAGCACACAGTATCGTTGGGAGCTGAGAGACAAATGGACTGCTTGTGATAAAGTCTGTAATGGTGAGTCTGATTTCCATGTAGATGACTTGCAGTGGCCAGAAGTTGGTACTGCTAATTGCAGTTTTTATTCCAGATGCAACTTAAAAATGTCATTATTGAACTTGTAACTTTCTAAGTTCAAGATATTTTTAGTGTAATTTAATGTATATTGATATAAATTAAAACTGCTTTGGTTTGTTTGTCGGTGGAAGGTATGCCAAAAAATACTTTATTAAAAATTAAACACTTCCATCTTAATAACTTGTTTTATTTTAACATTAAATAATCTGTAAGTCTTAAGTGTGGGCTCATATAGTTATTCATTGCAGGTGAACGTTGGCCTTTGCCATTATGTGTGAAGATGGACAATTCACAGCATGTCCCAGATGAACACTGTGCAGGTCTTCGACAACTGTCCAGATACATTGAGTCCTGCAATACCCACTGCATTCTGAAGTAATTCCCTGATACTTAAGTAGTAATTTTAGAATATGTTTTTTAAGTAATGTATTTTTTGTGTTTGAAACATGAGAAAAAGTTCTTGTACTAACTGCATACTGAAGTAATGTAATGCATGTCTAGTACTGTACTTTATTAATTCATATATCCAAGGGAGAAGGGTGATTAAATTATAGCATGAGTCAAGTTGCATATCTCCAAAGAGGCTTGTATTACACCTGTCTTGTACAATACTTTAAGGGGATACATCATACGTCTATGATATGTCCGTTCTCACGAGTATGTGCAAATGATATCTTATTCGTCATATATATTTAATATGCAGTGCTGTAAACGAATACGGTACGAAACTGCAGTAGACTTCCAGTTACCGGTTATCTAGGTTGTTTGGGAAATATATTTTCCCAGATAATCGAAACCCTGAATAATCTATAAAAATGAAATAACAACTTGCAAATTCTGCAGGTAATGGGAAGGTTATTTATAGATATACACTACTTAAAATCTTTTAAGATTTACTAATAACAGAAAGGATTTCATGTAAAATTTAATGCAGCACATACCAGATTTTTTTAAAAATAAATTCCAACTGGTAGTAATAACATTCTGTTGTTGTAAAATTCATGTTACAGCAACAGTTGATGTATGTTAATACATTAAATACTATATGATTGTTGTATTTATTCCTTCCTTTTAAATGTTTTAACTTTTAAAACAGATTTTCTGAATTAATCCACCTCCAGATAATCAGGAGTTTACTGTATAATATACTTTGTTTGTGTTCAGGTGGAGGACATGGCCGATAACAGAGTGTTCGACACACTGTGGTCATGGGAAGCAAACTCTGGGTTTGCAGTGTGTGCAACAGTTTCATGACTCAAATATTGGTGACAACACTGTCCATAATAGCTCATGTGCTCATTTATACAAACCAACAGAGGTTGTAGATTGTGAAGGACCTTGCAACTCTACTCACTGGGAGTTTGGAATGTGGTCACAGGTAGAAGCATTATTAATTATTCAAATGTTACAATGTAATTGATCCATAAAAGCATAACTTTCCTTGAAAATATAGTGTTTTCTCAATTAATATGTACATATCTGATAGATTTTTCTTGTAGTTCAAAATACAGTTACTTTCTCTCTATTTTCTATAACATTAATGCAAGGGTTTAAAATGTGTAGCTTTTATCTTCTTGCACAGTCTTTAATAAAAAATTTCTGTTGCAGTCAAGAAAATTTAATTCCAACTGGTAGTAATAACATTCTGTTGTTGTAAAATTCATGTTACAGCAACAGTTGATGTATGTTAATACATTAAATACTATATGATTGTTGTATTTATTCCTTCCTTTTAAATGTTTTAACTTTTAAAACAGATTTTCTGAATTAATCCACCTCCAGATAATCAGGAGTTTACTGTATAATATACTTTGTTTGTGTTCAGGTGGAGGACATGGCCGATAACAGAGTGTTCGACACACTGTGGTCATGGGAAGCAAACTCTGGGTTTGCAGTGTGTGCAACAGTTTCATGACTCAAATATTGGTGACAACACTGTCCATAATAGCTCATGTGCTCATTTATACAAACCAACAGAGGTTGTAGATTGTGAAGGACCTTGCAACTCTACTCACTGGGAGTTTGGAATGTGGTCACAGGTAGAAGCATTATTAATTATTCAAATGTTACAATGTAATTGATCCATAAAAGCATAACTTTCCTTGAAAATATAGTGTTTTCTCAATTAATATGTACATATCTGATAGATTTTTCTTGTAGTTCAAAATACAGTTATTTTCTCTCTATTTTCTATAACATTAATGCAAGGGTTTAAAATGTGTAGCTTTTATCTTCTTGCACAGTCTTTAATAAAAAAATTCTGTTGCAGTCAAGAAAATTTAAATCTAGTGTATCCTGACACTTTCATACAAGTTAATTTAAATATCAATATAAACTGCAATTTGGTATTTTGAGCAACGTGGGGTGCATTTAGTTTTCATGCATGGTGTTCAGTAAGTAACATCTGAGGATGTGACACATTTGTATATACTAGATGTCCAACACAGTTATCAACTGGCAAGTCCCTGATATGTGAGACATTTGTCCCAGTGATACAATGACAGTTTGATTCCTGCAGAAGAGAAATCAGGGGATCTGTGGGTATCTATGAAGTAGTAAATTCCAGTGTAACACATTTTTGAAAGATACTTATTGAACAACCTTTGTATATTCTTCTGTGTTAGATGTGGTAAGGGTTAAAATAAAACTCAGTCTTCAGAACTTTGCAAAGAATTTGTAGCATCTGTTTTTCTGGTAAGAAATGGAGCACCACTTTTGGTCTGATCATGTATTCCACCAGTTAAAAATGTTTATAAAACCATCATGTTAGTTCAGCCACATATTCCATGTGGTAAAAACAAATAAATGTACACATTATACAAAGAAATTGGTGGACCAACAGCAATTCAACAAACTACACACACAGAAACATGGGGAAATATTTTGTGAAGAGAATTTACTTGTGACAGGAACTGTCAGGGAGAGATCTGTTTTGTATTTTCAGTGCTCCAAAACATGTGGAGGGGGAACTCAGACACGATCAGCCCATTGTGTGGATGAACGGGGTTGGCCAAAGGATGAATCTGACTGTAAGCAGAGTGATCCACCCGTTGTGGAGCGGCCATGTGGCACACAAGAGTGCCCAAAATGGGTTCTTGGAGAATCATCACCAGTATGTTTTGAATTATATTTTATCTTCCAATGCTTCCTTTTGTAATGGGAAATAATATCTACTGATATCTTATTCCAAACAGGTGCTCTTTATTTGCTTACTGTAACAATTTCTAAATGTAGAGGATACATATTGCTTCTAATGTCATTTTGTTGATATTTCCATGATAGTTACAATCAACGGTGTGAACAGTTGACTCGTAGTTTGTCCTAGCTTTGAAATGAACGTCAGACTTTCACTTCATTTGATACAAGAAGGTAATTGAGACCTCACTCCAAATTAGAATGACAGTATTTAAATCAGCTAGATAATTCTATCACCAACTTAATATATTTGAGATTCCATTATGTATTACTTAGAATATGATAACATTTTGGCAGAGTTATTGAAAATGTGTGAAGACTGAGATTGGTACATTAAACGTATTTTTAAAATTAACTTACAGTAGTAAATTTAATTGAATCAAATCAAACCTGCAGTAAAGCTTCATTTGCAGACTGTGTGAGATTTGTGGTTTTCACTATGATGCTCTTCTGGGTTTTGCACTGTGTAGACCGATGAGTCTACATGGCACCAAAACCCAGAAGATGATCATCATCTTCATCTTCATTTGGAGACTGTTGACACATCTTTGGTTGCAGACTGGGACAGTTGTATATAATATTGAAATGCATAGTTTAGTATAGGTATTCTGCAGCATGATGGGATGCAGTAGGGCTTCTACTATGCTTTATTTATGGTTTGTATTTTTTACGGGTTAGCATGTAAGTGTGTGCATGCACCTCTATGTCTATAACCAAGTGGAAAGTGTTATGTAAGTCAGGTATCATGTATTCCTATGTCAGCAGAATGATCTACCATCTGATAAAAATTGGATTATTAAAATGGCTATTTTTTGTATGATTTCAAATCACACTAGCATACTGCTAAGCGTTAACTCCTAAAGTCCTACCAGCAGACTCATAATCAGGGAGTTTAAATCCTCTACTCCAGTATGATAAAGGTTAATTGTCTTGAAGTCTATGTAAAGGCTGAGTAGATCTACTATGGGTGATTTATTTTTGAGTTTAAATAATTTATTCTAGTATGATAAAGGTTAATTGTCTTGAAGTCTCTGTAAAAGCTGAGTAGATCTGCTATGGGTCTTTTATTTTTGTTTTGTGCTTGTTCATCTTCACTTACTGGCTTCATTAGTGCTCCGTTACGTGTGGTGTTGGGGAACGCAAGAACTCCCTCTGGTGTCAAGTGGGCAACCGTATAGTGGCACCAAGATACTGTGACTCACAGCCTGTTCCTCCCTACAAGGAAGTCTGTACAAGGGAGCCATGTGCTTCTTGGCACCATGGCTCTTGGCAGCAGGTGAGAATTGAAGTTTTCGTTGGTCACAGCAGTAATTTATAACCTCCTGTACCAAATAGTTCTCTGCTTTCTAGAGTATTAATTTTTTTTATTGAACTGTGAATAAAATAATAAAAAGCCATTTTGAATATCTCCCTGATGTCTGCATATAAATCTTTTGATTTTGGGCAGGATTTGGGTGAATAGTCCAACTTTGCATTGTGTTTGGCTTGGGACTGTGCTCATTTTCAGAATAATAATTTTGAAATATATTTTTTTCTGAAATACTTTATATCACATGTTTTAAAAGTATAAACAGATTATCTGTGTACGTGAAAATACACTATGTAATAAATGGAGGTAAAATTCTCATCTGGAGCTGAAATGTTGTCCTCAGTTTCTTAGTCCTGTATAGGTTTCTCACCTTCACCATTTGGGTAATACTACAGCTCAAACAGAGTTGCTGGATTGTATTGTATTCACATTACTAGTTTTCTTCTGCATATGCTTGTATTCAGAAAGACAAGGTGAGGGGTCCATTCCTTGCTGTGGTAGGTTTTTACTCATCTCATTTCTCATCTCTGTATTCACAGTGTTCTGTGACGTGTGGCACTGGTGTGTCTGTAAGGACTGTTACTTGTCGTTCACTAGATGGCAAAGAAGTCTCTGAATCGTCATGCTCCACTATAGAGAATAAACCTGCTTCTAGTCAGAAATGCACTAGACAGGCTTGTCAACATGAGATACCGGTGAGAGTTATTACTAGTGTATTAAATCTCAACTTTTGTACAGTATAACTCCTCTTTCTAAGGTGTATATCCCTTGTGGATCTTTGTATTAGGTTTCCTTCATAGCCTTGTTAGTGAGCTGCATGTATATGTCCATTGATGTGTATCCTGATTCAGTTTTGGGCATTAGTTATTGTAGACGGTAATAGAACAGTTTTCGTGAAAGTTTGGTTGAACGGCATGCTGTTGAGGTCACATCCACCCTTGTAATTTTTAACTCTTTAATTTGCAATACACTATGGTAGCTGTGCATGTATGATGTGTGAGCAGTGCTAGTGCCATAATATCGTGTATTGATGTGCCTTTGGAAAATTATCATCCCTGACTGGAATAATTTTTAAGAACAGTGTAAAATAACATTGGCAAAACAGCTCAAAATGTATTTGTCGTTGATTGTTTGTTTTATACGAACACATAAACAACACAAACAAATTTATCAGTTTTGTATTAAATATTTGTGCTTCGGTTTTCTGCCTGTGATGGAACTGTAGACCAGCACTGTGAAGCTGGTTTTCCATTCAGAATCTAACTTAGAAACTAATAAAAGAGAAACCAAAAAGAAAGTTGTAAGCATGAGTGAAAGATATTTACAAAACCATTTCAGTTCCAGTTCCTGTAAGGCAATTTGAGAATCCAGTATTTTTCCAGAACCTTTGCATTACAGTAATAATAGATGTCATTCGTGTTTGTTTCCAGTCATCAGTGTTTCCTTCAACAACAACGACAACGACAACGACAACATCTGTATCCCTGTCCAAGGTTGAGGATGGCAACTTAGGACTTCATTCCCCACATCTTCGTCGTAATAACATTCTTCCAACTTCTGTGCCATTTCCTGGACCTGCAGACAACTCAGTTCTACATGGAGATGAGGACATGACTAATAATGTGATATATGAACCAAGGACATTCACTCCAGTGCGTGGTGTGTGGAAGGCCTCAGACTGGGGATCTGTAAGTACATCAGCACTTCGAAAAAGTTTGCAACACTATTACTTGGTGTATTTCTGTGTTTAATAAGGAAAGATAGCTTATGATATCATCCTGCCCATGTGTGTGTCTGCTTGTTTGTCTTTCACCAATAATTTTCAACCAGTTAATAAATTTATATAAAATGTGATATTATCATCATCCCACAAAAGGTGACCCCAATTTTGTATGCTTTTTCCTGCTGTCAGTAATACCAGTATGACAGTTATATCAAACTTCTGTGTTGGGAGCAAGAATAGTGTCATTTAGGGCCCTGACATTTATCATCCCAAAGGTACGCAGCTCTTGTTAGGGTAACTTTTTCATAGAAAGTGAAACAGTATGGCAGCTATGGTAAATGTATATTAAACTTTCTGTCTTATGATAAATAATGAATGATTGTACTTAGTTATGTGAAATTTTGTGTGGAAGTAGAACATAGTATATATTCTGTATGAAAAATGTAGTCACAGTATTTAGTGAAATATTTGAAGGGAAGTCCTTCCCAGAACTTTTCAGTGTGGACCTGTGGGTAGATACCAGCAATTTGGAGAAACATACTGCCTCCATATATTCCATATTCAGCCCTGAAGATGAAGGAAATTTGTTTCTCAGAAATGTTGGTATCTATCTACAAATCCACATGATATTTCTACCTAGAAGACCAGCACTGGGATATTTACTGCGATGAGAACCTTCTTTCTTAAACACTCTATATTTTAAGGTGCTTGCTTTGTGAATGAAAATGCTAGGATACTCAACATCAACACTCATAATGCCTTAATTATAACAAAATCTCAGAAGTACACTTGTTATAAGGATATAGGAATCATGTCTTGTGGTTTCTGCAGTATGTCAGTTTCTCTTTACAATCATTTTGATTTCTGAGTATTCTGAATATTTTAAATTATCTTTCATTATGATGCCCTGAATTTGGGCTGGGTACTTCAAAGTATGAACAGAGATAGATTGTGTTATAGCATTTGGCAGTACACTGGGAGTAGTGTCACAACAGCAAATGTTGTAGCAAATTCAGCATGCCAAGTTATCTGTTCATAACATTACTTACTGTAGGAATTTCAAAAACATTCAATGACTGTTCTGTTGTTAGTGTTCTGTTACATGTGGTGATGGAATCAGGCAGAGGGCAGTCATTTGTATAGATTCATCTCTTGGCACACCCATTGACAAAGAACACTGCACTGAAGCTTTGTTTGTAGCAACAGAAGAATCCTGCAAACAACCTACTTGCGCATCCTGGAGAGTTGGGGTCTGGAAGCCATGTTCTGTTAGCTGTGGCAAGGTAAATATGAAATATGAATCTCAAGTTAACTCTGATAGTACAAAGGTAGGCTGCCGCCTCATAAAATCAGTGAGACACGTTCATGCATATTACACTTAGGGGGCAAGACAGTCTGTCAAAGTCTATTTTGAGTTTTGATGGCCATATTTTTGACAGACCTTTCTATATGATTTGATGATATGTTATAGTTTTACTTTTCTGATTCTAACCTGTGGTGTAGTAGAAGGGAAAAGTTAATTATCCTATAATAAGTTTTTCTCGGTCTACAAGCTATGTAAGGTGGCTTAATCAGGAAAACACCAACATATCGAGAACCATCAGCGAGCATGTCATTCTGCACATCAGGTCCTGTTGGCTAATGTGCAGCCAATAATACAGAGCTGGGTCACGTAGACACAGAGCACGGACGGGATCTCCTACAACTACAGTACCCTGAGGATGGGAACGAAGATGGTTTTCGAAATGTTGGTGTTTTCTTAAGCCACCTTACATGGCTGGTAGCTCAAGAAGAACTTATTATATTTAGTCACCGTGAAAGCCTCAGATCATTAGTTGTCCTAGTACAACAGATATAAATTTATGATATTTGAGGTTCTCACAATGACAAGTATGAAGTTGGCTGTCTTCTGGGTTGTTTTACCATGCATTCTGGTAGAATTTTGCCAACATCTCAATCTTCTTACTCCTTGTAAGATGTAATAAAGTAGCTAACTGCTGTAATTTCTTCTTCTTCTTTCCTTCCAGGGAATATCAACAAGAGAAGTGATGTGCATTGATTCTGCGTCTAATACTGTGCTGTCCAATGATCAAGCTTGTTCTGATCATAATTTGGCACAACCAGACAGAGAGAAGGAATGTTACATTAGGGACTGTCCAGATGAATCGTCTTTGGAATATCCAAATCATGATGGGATGAATGACATGGGGAAGGACCTGAACAATGCAGGCTACATGTGGAGAACAGGACCATGGGGTGAGGTAAGCTATGAAACCAGATATTCTAATGATTCATTCATGATGTCACACTTTTCACAGAAAAGTTTGCCATGTTATATTTTTGATTTTAACTGTGGAATGTTTTGAAGCTGCATTATAAGAACCCATATAAAGCCTCTGCAGTCATTTTTTAGGATTTCATATGTTAAATAGAAATAAATCAAGCATGTTACCTCAGAATAATGAGAAAAATGAGTATTCCTGTTCCTATATGATACATGTTAATGATTATGAATAGACAGATTTGGCATACATAGTCAATTGTTTGTTTATGCTAGTGCTCAAAGTCTTGTGGAACGGGCTACATGCGGCGGATGGTGGCATGTCCCTCTGAAGATGGAAATGATGGGATTGAATGTAACAAAGCTGACAGGCCTGTTGATAGAATAGCTTGCAATACAGATCCTTGTCCTGCCTGGAACACGGGTGGCTGGTCAGAGGTAGGTACTGGTTTTATGGTGACATCAAAAACTCAATTTTTAAACTTTCCTGTCCTTTTTTTTTTAACAGTGTTCCTTAACTGTCTTTGTTTTCTAATTGTTACATTTTTAATTATATCATTATCATGTGTTTATCTCTTAAGAATTATAACTGGAAGAAATAATTTTTTTTCTGTTGATAAAGGGTTAAAACTGTTTCTTAATTTTCTTTTATGTATTTTTTATACAAAACTCATAAAATGTAATGAAGAAATTGTGTTCATTTGTCTGTATCTATGTTTTTGTTTTATTTTTACAATCCACATATTTTAACAAAATTTGGCAAATTTGTTTTGGTTTATGATGATATGATGCATACTCTTTGTGAAGCTGAAATCAGATTCTTAATTTTTTAAAAGGGATTCATCATATTAAAATTTGTACAAACCTTTCATTTTAAAAGTGCTTCTTCATCATTAATGTTTAAGAAGCTACTAAGAATAATATGTTATACTTTGTGCATGTAATATCAGTATTACAAAGGAACGTTTTCATTATGATTTATGATCATCTACATTATAGAAAATTATTAGTTCCAACAACAAGATATTTAGATTTTCAGTAAATTAATGAATAAAAATATCCAAAAGGGATGCAAGTCATTAAGAATAAATTTGGAAAATATGTGCACTCCAAATTGTACTACATCTGTTCATTGTTACTTTTAGAGTCCCAGGTTATCATTTTTATTCTTTTACATTTGTAATTTTTTTAGAGGCCGGTTACTTTATATCTCATAAATGTTTGAGCATAATATGAAGTATAATTTTTTGTATGCAAGTCTTATGGGAGTTTCAAAGTGGACAGTACAGTCCCCATTTGCTGTGACAAGTAAACCAATTTTCTATGTAAGGTTTACTCCCTGTGGACCAAATTTAGGAAAATTAAGTTGGAATATAAATGTTGAAGATTAAGAGTAATTTTTGTTTTGTTCTGTTTCTTGTTTCAGTGCAACAAGTCGTGTGGAGAAGGAGGCTACCAGCACAGACAAGTTAGGTGTCAGTCTCACACTGGAGAGATCCTAGCCGACACTTCTTGCTCAGCCCTTGAAAGGCCAGATGAGAAGCATGAGTGTGATTTACCCCAGTGCCATATCAACTATAGTCACACCAACCTGAAACCCATAGCTAAGGAGTATCAGTGGCGAACAGGCATGTGGAGTCAGGTGAGCTTTCCTTTATTCATTAGGACTCTGCTTCTGCTTTAGGTCTGTTTATAATACTAGGTACCATAATAATAATAATAATAATAATAATATACCAATATTTTATTATTTCTCAGTTTATCATGCTCATTCATTCTTCTATTTGATGTTTGCATAATCTATACAGTTACGAAATGATCGTTACATTAACTAAAAGATAATTCCTTTTCTTGTTACATTTATTTTGCCATAGAATATGCTTATTAAACAAATTTCTCATAATACCATTTTCCAGCTCTTTATTTCATTAATTTTAATTGTAAAACTGTGAAGTTGTTTTTGTTCTGCACATCTTTAATTTTGGTATTTACTGGTCAATATAATCAGTATTAGATTCTATTAAAGTAGAGTTGCAAATGAAATAAATCTTATCTGAAAGACATTTAATGTTTGGTTCCATTACTATTTTATGTATACTTATAAAGGTAGTGTTATGTTGCAAAACAATGTTTAATTCTGAAACAGACGAATTTTCCACCAGTAAGAGGGATATGATTTTCTGTTTGCCAGTGTTCAAGGACATGTGGACAGGGAGAACGTAACCGGCGAGTTGTATGCGTGGAGGTGCCTGCAAACACATATCCTTATGAACAAAGTGTGAATCATCATTGGCATGGCAGTACCTTCTTCGATTCACAGTATCGGAAACAGTACAGGGATTGGCGATTAGTGGAAAGACAGCAAAGATTGAAGCCAAAGCTTTTGAATGAGACTGATATAGTGGTTTCTTCAGTGAAGTGTGATCACAGACACATGCCTAAGGCTGTTCGTGGTTGCATAAAACAGTGTCCATTCTCTTGGTTTGAAGGAGAGTGGTCTGAGGTACATCATAATCCTTAATAGTAATTACTAGGATGAGCGTGTAATATTCATTAAAATCTGGAAATTTTATTAGGCCATTGATTTTAGGAAAGTGTTAATTCTTGAGGTTGTATTTCTGAAATCATTTAAGTTTTATTTGGTCTTGTCACCTCTGTTTTTCTTCATATCAGCCTACTATCTGGTATAAATGAATGCCTCTCATTAAGCTGTTTTGGTTATCCCTCATAATACCAATATTGATTCATATTTGCAATTAATGGACATAGCATATACTGGCCGTGCATGCAAGACATCTTGTAAATAGTCCAGTTGGTCATGCATTATAGTAGCATACCACTAAACAAATAAATCCCAGCGTTAATGCCCAGCCTGTGACCCTGTATTACAGGGGTTAAAATAAATCCCTATTCACATGTGATAAAGGTTAAGATTAATTCAGACTGGAATACAAATTTTTCACTCATTCTTAGTTGAAACAAAGTAATTGTTTGTGTGTTTGTATGTAGTGCTCCCAATCATGTGGACATGGCATCCAACAAAGAACTGTTCAGTGTCACCATCTTGATTTAGTGGTCTCAGAAGATGAGTGTAACCCTACTGAACGTCCATCAGAACAAAGGAACTGCTTCAATTCTAACTGCCAGGATGAATTCTACTGGGTACCAGGGGAGTGGCAAGATGTGAGTTTTGTGTCATATCACGTCATGTTCTTGTGTTTTGCAGGTTTCTGCTTAAAATAATAATGGTTATTGTTGTACTATTACCTTGTAGACAAGTTTATTCCTGTAGCCCATCATCATATTGTTACATCCTGAAAGGTTTCTAAGTTATTGTTAGCAGTTGATATAATTTGATTTTAGGATTAACTTCTTGTAGGTACCATGGATTCTTAGCCATTTTCCCTCTCAATGGCATGTGAGAACAGAAATATCAAAATTAAATTGAATATAAATAGCACTCTTCTAATATAAAAAGTGTTCATTGTATGTGACTTTATTGCTAAATTAGTTGCAGGAAGTGTATTTGATCTGGATGCAATTGTGGTATATTGAATCTCTAGTTAGAAGTGGTAATAGTAATAATGACAGTCTTTTAGTTGTCAGCAGAAGATCATCTTTATAACATACAGATGGATAAAGTGCAAAGAGAAGATAATGCTATTATTCTCAAATTCAAATGACACATTGGTGAACTCACCCTGTTTCAAGTGCTTATGTACCTGTACAGTATTCGTCCTCACACCTTTGAATACAGTGTTCTTATATTGAAAATCAAGATGTAAGAGACCATGACTACTGTGTCTTATCAGTCTGACAGCTAAGAAGATCGATATTACAATGCGCTTATTCCTGTGGAATTGCTCTGTCTACAACTCATTATTTTTTTTTTGATAGTTAAGTTTAATTTCATACAAAAATCCAGAATTTTGGAAATTAATAAAAAAACAGTATTAAATTTATATGTTCAAAAACTCTTTATCTTTCTGTAGCCATTTTATGAATAATTCTTGCAGTGCTCACATTCATGTGGTAGAAAGGGACGCCAGCAGCGTCATCTGTATTGTTACCATCGTGATGGAAAGAAAGTTACAAGGAATAATTGTGTACGAGCTCCAAGGCCTCTTCGGAAACGCAAATGTAACCAGCACAGATGTAAGTTTTATATGCATTAATCAGTGATAATATAGTATGTTACAAAAGTAAAACTTAGCTGGTCATCTAAATAAAATGTAAAAAAAAGTTAAAACTTTTTCTTTATTGAATTTATGTTTTTGCATGATGGACTTCACAGTACTCCAGAAGTGTCATTTTATGTTGGTGCAGTAGAATCAAAAAGATGTGGGGCTTTATTGTTTTACAATAAAAGTCCTAAAATTTATTTTTATTTCAGGTAGTTTTACTTCATGTCTTGATGTACAACAAAAATTACAAGCGAGGGAGGACAAAGAATACACTTTGCAAATTATGGGTATTAATGTCTCGATTTATTGTCATGGCATGTCAACTGATGGCCCCCAGGAGTACCTCAGCTTACCAGCAGGCGAAGATGAGAATTTCTCTGAAATATATGATCGAAGGTATGTTCATAAAGAAAGAACAAAAATAGGGAACTCTGCTTTTGATATATTATCCAAATACAAACATCTGTAAGATTATAGTTATGTTCTGCTTTCTACACTTCACACTCCCAAGTCATAATTAAGACCATTTCCTTCACTCTATTTGGAGCCCTGGTCCTGATTCTTAAAACTTCATATGTACAGATTACAATATACATGTGTTTTCTTTTGTATCATAATTGACTTTCATGAAACAACAAGTCATGTCTTTGGTTTATAAGTCTCTGAGCACCTTTAACTATTTCTTTTTTGTTTCTTTTTATAACATGAAGACTCATGGTCTTTGGTTATGATTAAAAACTTACCACAATCTATCTTACCTGAAATTCAAATGACTCAACCTGCAGCCATGCAGAACCAAAAGATCTATTGTTAGATGAGTGTAAATATGCTTTTGCTCTTACAGAAATTTAAGTACAAAAAGCCACTGATCTTTATTTGTTTGATATTTAGCCTTAGACTATTTCTGTAATGCTTTGCATTCCAGGTCGAAAGAAGTGCCAAACTAATTATTCAACCTTTCATTGAAAATAAACATATTTACTGCTCACTTTTGCCATAATATATATTTTTATGATTAATCAGATTACCACAGTTTGTCATTGGGTGAACCATATGTACATGTCCAACTCTTACGTCAAGAATTACATAGCTTCCATTGTACCATGTATATTATGTATCAGGTTGGTCTCTCCAGACACATGTCCATATAATGGCCAACGTCGTGACAACTGCTCTTGTGTGGTAGATAGCAATGGGAAGGCTCAGCTGACAATGTACTCCAAAGTTCGTCTAAATATTACCTCACTTCGAGTCATCAGTAAGTAGATGCTTCTTTCCATATTTTAAATACATGTAAGTAGGATTGTTAGGTAAGCATTCATGGTTAATGCTTGTAATACTTGAGGCCCTGACTATGAGGCAAATAACACGAATGTAGGTTCAGTCCTCTCATATCATTTGATAATCTATGGAGCAGTCTGTGGAAGATTATCGCAGTCTAACATACTGCAAAGGAGAATTAGCAGTTGCTCTGAAATTTCTTTCTCAGTATCAGCGAATAGTCCTTTGTCTGTTGATTCTTGCAATAAGTGCTATAATAGTTCAAAGTTACAGATGACATAAAAATCTGCATTGTGTCTCTTTCATGGCATCCAGTGAGAGGTAGCTGAATGTGTTCCATGGTGCATCACATGAAGTGTTAAAGAAATTTAAACCTTTAAAAATAAAATAATTTCTTCAAGTGATATTTCAGGTTCTCACAATTGTGAGTTTGATTTCTGTCTTCTTTTATTTTGTTCCATGTGGTCTCATAGAAACTGTCTGATATTTCAGAGGTACTTCCTCTTTTACGGCCATGATGAAGAAGGCAACAAACACTTACGAAATGCTGGTCAGTTTTTGTGAGATTATATGGTACAACATTCCAGAAGACAAGTCATCTTCATCTTGAAGTTTTCCATTTGTTTGTTGTTTCAGCACAAGATGGCACATTTTCAAGACAAGTGAAAGGCCAGCATGGCCGAGTGCCTTATGGACAGGCAGGAGACTGCTACAGTAAAGCAGAATGTCCTCAAGGGCGCTTCTCTATCAATCTGGTTGGGACTAATTTTATTGTATCAGTGTTTACCAGATGGGAGGGTAAAGGTTCAAAACCATCTAAGAAGATCCATTGGTCAGAGGTATAAATTTGGATATATCTGCATACTGTCAATTAGTCTGTCTTTATAAAGTCAAAATATGAAATAAAAGATTTTGTTGCCAAAGTTGTATCAATGATAGTGGCCTTTTGAATTATCTAAGAAAGAAATGCACTAATGAACATGGTGAAGGTTACCTCTCATTTGACTTTGTAGTTAATTGTAACAAGTCTGGAAAAGTGAAACTACTTCTGGAATACACTGAGTTTCCATGTACATTCTTTGCACCTTTGCATTCTGAGTGTTCCTACCTGAAATAAAATACAACAACATAATTTACATACACTGTACATTGTGTTAACCATAAGCCTTGTAATACATCACAGATGATGGCTTGGTTATTAGGCAACCTACTTAAAGTGGAAATGTCTGAGAAAGAAGAATAATTATTTATATGCAGCCAAGTGAAAGCAAAATTTGTTTATTGTTCAGGGTAACCAGAAGGTGAGCGGGAAGTGTGGAGGTTACTGTGGTACATGTAGTCCTCACCTGCGCCATGGACTGAAACTGGATGTATTACCACCATAGTCACATAAATATCTGGTAGTGTTATTAATCAATTTTATTAAGGTAAGCAATATTAACGGTTCTTTGTCATATGTAAGGTGTCAGTTTCAATGTATTGTGTACTTTTATGGAAGAAAGAATGAACTCATGCATATAAGGCTAGCCTGAAGAGATGGGACAGTCATTTTTAAAAGTCTTGGGAGGGGGAATCAGGTTATTTTCCATGTGTACAGTGCCTAAATGTAAGTGAAGTGATGATTTTCATTCTGCTTGCTTCTTTCTTTTTTAACTTTTCATTCAGCTATAATCTTTGAGTAGTACTGTACTTTGGAATTCTTGAACTGTTTATTCTCAGTTTCTTATTAGTGCATTCAGTAGTAGAAAACAAGGGTAATTGATGCAGAGTGAGAAAATCAACTAAAAGGTTATTGTAAATAATGTCAACTTTATGGATCCAAAACAGTTTCTCACAAGTTATTTCGGCTTGTTGGCCCTGAAAGATATGTTATTGTTCCTGGTGAGAATGAATCCTTGATAATTGATGTTTGTGTATTTTGAAATGTTGTAGTTCCTCTATACTTGCAAGAGGCTAACAATGAATCAAACGCTGCCTCACCAGCTGTCCAGTAGGCATGTCAGTGGGACCGTTTACTGAATGTAAAGACTAGAGATTCCTTCGAACCACAAGGCCACTACTCCAAGAACCATCATAGGTCTTGTCAGTGCTGTGTGATTTCTCTTGAAAGGAAGTCAACTGGCAGCCAAATGGTGTGATTTGCTGATACAAGTGCTATCTTAAAACATACTTTTATTACATGTAATTTTCCTTACCTCTTTCCCCATTTATATCACTCAATAACAGTTCTTATTCTTGATTTTTACATAATGACATTCTAAATTGTTCAGTTTATTTAGTATCAGATGATAGCCTATTTAATGTGGATGGAGGTGGTCATGGCCTAATACAAGTTACTGTCCTGCCATTTACAAGGAGGGCTGAATAAAACCACAAAAATCTTCAGTCAGGATAGTTTGCCTCTGGACCAATATTTGAACGTGGCATTGCTTATCACTCAACTGCAACATTTGGAAGGAACCATTCTTAAATACACACTATTTTTATGATTGAGGTGGTTTCAAATTTCTAGCAATATTTAATATCTGTACAGATAACAATTATTGATTCTGAATGGTGAGTATCAAATTTTGTTTCAGCTCTAAATCAAGGCTTCTGTGGTCCACACCTCTACAAAGAACTGGGCTGCTCAGTTTGTTATTAATTTTTCAGCTTTTTTTCCAGTCCTTTTGTTGTTGTGGCCTTGGGAATGTTAGAATGAGCATTGTTTGGTCCCTTTCTGGCACATGTACAATGTGAGCTATGTTATCTGATTCTTCTTCTTCATATACCCTTGTCTCTCCTACATGGAGGATAGGGGCATCCTTTTGGAGGTTTCTGATCTATTTTAGACATTTGGTAGGGATTCCTTGGATGAGTGATCAGCCCATCGCAAGGCCTCTACCAAAGACAAGTGAGAAATGTCTGCTGAATTTTGCTTAAGAAACATCTCGTTCAGGCTCGCAAGGTTCTTTTACATGCTGCAAATCTATTACATGGGACTGCCGGCTTTACTTCCCTCCAAAGGAAGTCTTGCTATGGCCAGGTTTGAACCCACAAACCTTGGATCCAGTGGCAAGCACACTACCACTAGACCACCGAGGGCAACATGTTATCTGATTGTTGCTCCCAATTTCTAAGATAACTGTGGTCATTCCACTGCCATCTTTTTACTTCCTTACTCTCATCTTCATGTTTATATTACAGGGCCAATTTGTTACAGCCTTTTGTTCATACATTTGCATGTTTCAAGCCTTCCTGGTATGTTTGTTTACATATGATTATATTGGCTACTCTTAATTTATCTCATGTTGCTTGTTCTTCATGATGTCCTGGAAAGGATCTTAATATAATTTGTGGTGGACTGTTACTTAATAACTGTGTTTCTGCTACAATCTTCAAATTCATTCTCATGAGAACCTGAAAGCTTGCCTTATAAGTGGTTATATACCTCTGAAACACTGATAACCACATACAAGACTTAGGAGTATCACATCCCAGACCACAGCCAACATCTTTAGTGCCATGAAAACTTCAAATTCCACGAGGCTTCTGACACCCATGGTATCAAACAGTCAGAAAGTGTTCAATTATACTTTGGTATGAATGATTTCAAGAGATTCAGGTGAACCACTGCTTAGATTGCATTTATTTTGTCAGTACATTCATTTGTAAAATATGGTTCTTGGACAATAAATTGGGGGTGGAGGTAGGAATTTATGAGAAGTAACATATGCTGCGTTGTATTATTAATTGTACAGTTCATCAGAACTTCAGGAATTACTGGTCAGTGGAAGCAGGAAGAAGGAATCTTCTCGTTTAATGATATCTCTCTTCTGTTTCCTTTTGCCATACTTTAGAGATTGTAAGAATTACATACAGATTGTCCTTAGGACATGGTTATTCACAACTGGTCCAAACTAGAGGTAAAATCCACTGAATGGGATTAGTTTGAGGGCCTTGGATAATCTAGTCAGTATGAATTTGTTAGTTATGGAAAATTTGCATAAGCAGGGCATGGTGAATGAATTATACTTTTCATACAGAAAAGAGAAAAATATAATTGTCTTGCAAGTATACAAAAATCATCTGCTGTCTTGTGATCTGCAAGATGAACCAGTCCAACTTTGGAGCTGTACAAGGGGTCCTCAGTACCAGACCAGATGCATACATAGTATGCCATGGAAGTGAGAAAACTATATATAATAAAAGAATATGCTGCAAGTTTGACAATTTTCAGTCGTTGATGAAGATACTTCTGGAACATATGTGTCTGTGTATAGTTAATTCCCATATGAGCAGAGTTGGCTTTAAACTATTTAACCCTTATCGACTGTCTTATGCACAGTCCAGCTAGCTGTATGTGTCACAGGAGCATATTGCTAAATCATTAACCCCAGAGTTAAAGTCTGACCAGCAACCCTGTAGTGTAGGGTTTCAGTCTTCTTTTCCTGTATAGTAAAGGTTAATTGTTATATGAATTGCTTAACTGGAGAGAGAAAATAAGAAAATATGAATAAATCTCCTGCATAATGGAAGTAAAACAAGAAAGTTAAATTGCTTTTCAAAATGAATGACCACAGCAATGCAAGAACAAATACACTGATCATATATTTTACATTGAATTTGGTGAGAAGACAAAAAATTTCCAGCAGTTTATGCATTACATGTCCAGTCATAAATAAATTACTGTTTTTGTAGTACTCCTCTAGGTAAATCAAGAAGTCATATTATGATATATGTAGTTTTTACATATATTCTGGTAAGTGATATCACCTTTTTTGTATGAATTTAGTTATCCCTTTGTGTGGTTTGAACTCTAGGGTACAAAGGATCAGAAAGAGTCCATCCATTACATGCTCTAAATGAGGCTGATCCTCATATTTTCTTTGACTTGCTCTTTTTTTAGCACGAAAGAAGAATCAGTGGCATAGCTGAGTGGAGCCTCTATTAATTTTACTGTGATGAATTAAGAATGAGTCCATTGTACGTCTACATGGTTTACCTTTGTAACTCTCACTTGTCATAAAAAAGCAGTTTTCCTATGGTGGATTTTACCATTCTGATTGTATTGGGGTTTAAGTCATGGAAACCAGAAAATAGACTGTAGATGTTACTGTTATGTTCCAGGATACAGATGAAATATAACATTGGAATATTTAAAGTTGCCGTTTTTAAAATCACTGCCATTGTAGACTTTTATTAAAACTAAATTTTAGTACAATTTTGTGTACCAATTTTAATATTAATTTTTATTTTTTATATTAAATCCATTGTGCTCTGCCCATGTTAATAAACAGAGGCTGTGGTCTTAGGATACAATGCTGGAACCACTACATTGTAAAATCTGAGCCTGCAGTTCACAGCGTCAGAGTAGCTTTATTACAACTGAAGTAACGTTATTTGAAACCCACGCATTTGAAACTTGCTTGAAGTGTTTCTGAAGAGTTCTGATGATGGTGTAATACAGTACACATTGTTGGGATTTTAGACCTTGCCCATCATCTGGTGTTATAAAACAACAATGAACTGATTTGGACCCCCTACATCAAACAGGAGGTTGATAACTCTCGAGGAAGGTCAATTTTTACTTGACAGTCTCTTTGACCAGTCCAACTTTGGAGCTGTACAAGGGGTCCTCAGTACCAGACCAGATGCATACATAGTATGCCATGGAAGTGAGAAAACTATATATAATAAAAGAATATGCTGCAAGTTTGACAATTTTCAGTCGTTGATGAAGATACTTCTGGAACATATGTGTCTGTGTATAGTTAATTCCCATATGAGCAGAGTTGGCTTTAAACTATTTAACCCTTATCGACTGTCTTATGCACAGTCCAGCTAGCTGTATGTGTCACAGGAGCATATTGCTAAATCATTAACCCCAGAGTTAAAGTCTGACCAGCAACCCTGTAGTGTAGGGTTTCAGTCTTCTTTTCCTGTATAGTAAAGGTTAATTGTTATATGAATTGCTTAACTGGAGAGAGAAAATAAGAAAATATGAATAAATCTCCTGCATAATGGAAGTAAAACAAGAAAGTTAAATTGCTTTTCAAAATGAATGACCACAGCAATGCAAGAACAAATACACTGATCATATATTTTACATTGAATTTGGTGAGAAGACAAAAAATTTCCAGCAGTTTATGCATTACATGTCCAGTCATAAATAAATTACTGTTTTTGTAGTACTCCTCTAGGTAAATCAAGAAGTCATATTATGATATATGTAGTTTTTACATATATTCTGGTAAGTGATATCACCTTTTTTGTATGAATTTAGTTATCCCTTTGTGTGGTTTGAACTCTAGGGTACAAAGGATCAGAAAGAGTCCATCCATTACATGCTCTAAATGAGGCTGATCCTCATATTTTCTTTGACTTGCTCTTTTTTTAGCACGAAAGAAGAATCAGTGGCATAGCTGAGTGGAGCCTCTATTAATTTTACTGTGATGAATTAAGAATGAGTCCATTGTACGTCTACATGGTTTACCTTTGTAACTCTCACTTGTCATAAAAAAGCAGTTTTCCTATGGTGGATTTTACCATTCTGATTGTATTGGGGTTTAAGTCATGGAAACCAGAAAATAGACTGTAGATGTTACTGTTATGTTCCAGGATACAGATGAAATATAACATTGGAATATTTAAAGTTGCCGTTTTTAAAATCACTGCCATTGTAGACTTTTATTAAAACTAAATTTTAGTACAATTTTGTGTACCAATTTTAATATTAATTTTTATTTTTTATATTAAATCCATTGTGCTCTGCCCATGTTAATAAACAGAGGCTGTGGTCTTAGGATACAATGCTGGAACCACTACATTGTAAAATCTGAGCCTGCAGTTCACAGCGTCAGAGTAGCTTTATTACAACTGAAGTAACGTTATTTGAAACCCACGCATTTGAAACTTGCTTGAAGTGTTTCTGAAGAGTTCTGATGATGGTGTAATACAGTACACATTGTTGGGATTTTAGACCTTGCCCATCATCTGGTGTTATAAAACAACAATGAACTGATTTGGACCCCCTACATCAAACAGGAGGTTGATAACTCTCGAGGAAGGTCAATTTTTACTTGACAGTCTCTTTGGAGTACTTCCATAGCTTTCTTTTTTTTGGTTTTATTCTTGGGCCACAGGTGGTATTAGCAATAGACGGATATGATAGAGGTGGTAATATTTTGTATTTCTCCTACATGGGGGTTCCTGGATTGGGTGGTTTTGGGATGTGGTTTGATGTATTTTAATTTATACTTCCACATTTGTCTTAGTCTTGACATTCATATGCCTTCTTATAATTTTTATTGTTAATCTGATTATTATCTCCCATTGACATAGCCTGATCCCAGGTACTTGTACACATGTAGTTGTTCTGACCTGAGTTATCCAATGATTGGGATTAGCTCATTCTGATTGACCCCACAGAGTAGGTGCCCCCTACACTATGTCTGTAGAGGAGGTCAGATCCAGTCCTCTAAACATTGTTTTTTATAACATCAGAGGATGGACAAGGTCCAAAAATCTTAACAATCCAGATTCCTTCAAGTTGTCTTCATAAACTATGCATCTTTGTGGCTAATCTAAAATTGTATTATAATTATTCTATCATGTAATTATATGGTAAGATCCTTGTAGAATTAAGAGGTTTTATACCTATTATCTTTGTAACATTGCCCATATTCATAATCTGCTGTGTCTGATATTTTAGGCATTGATACACTTATTTTTCATTAATTTAATGCTTTTTTCTTAAACAAACTAGAAAATATGTTTGATTTATTAGAAAAAATTCTAATCTATTACTGACAACTACAGAAGTATTATTAGATAATGAAAATATCTAATTATGAGCGGAACGTTTTGGCTGTGTATTCCTTAAATACATTGAAATAGCTTATTGTGAAGACCATTTCATGGCATCAGATATGTCTAGTTCCATTTGTGTATCTTAAAGAGAAAAGGAGGTTTTTATGATTTTTATCAAAAGTTGAGATTCCGAAGACATCATGTCTGATACCATAAAATAGTCCTCATTATGGAGGTGCCTAAAATTAAAATATGTATTGGAATACAAGTGTCTTCAAGATTCAAAGTGTGCATAAACTCTGTTTAATATGGATTATTGATTAATGCCAGTATGACAATGATCTTATAACTATAAAAATACAGGCAACAAGGCAAACTTGTTCCATTGTATTAACTGCCATTTTTATTGAACTAACATTTATAACCAATAAGGAAAGTAAAAAAAGTCATTTTTAACAAGTTCTCTACTTTTTTATCTAGCAGCTGACATGTTTGATTATAACAGAGAACTTTGTTCATAGAATGATATAGTAATCAGCAGCATGCTGCCATCCTGCAACTTGGTATTTGGACTGCACTTTAATTTCCATCTGGTTTCAATGGACAGAAAACAGGGTTTATTTCTGAAACCTTCTGTTGAGCCTCATATATTCATTTTAGTTTGATTCAGAAGACTAATATTTCTCAAAATAAACCTTAATGGGCTGAAGAACTATGAAAAATATCACAATCTAACATGAAATTATCAGTAATATCAATCTTACTGCAGCCTTACACTGAGCTACTAATTACTCTGGTAAGCAGATTTGTTTCTTGTACTTTGTTTGGTGTATTTAATAGTTTTTAAATGATGATTTGAAAAATACAATGAAAAATTTTCCATTATCAATGGCATGGAGAAATTTCTTAGTTTAAAATATTTAGTTTTCAAGAAATACATAAAATGTATTTTTCATAAATATTTCATTCTTGATTAAAATTTGTACTGTCATGATAAACATTTGTAGGTGATTTCTTTGACTTCCTGGATAAGTTTCCAGTAAGAATATTTTTGTTCCACCTGCTCTGATACTGCTTTTGCATTGCAGAGATATCTTGATATTTGTTGCTCAAGAATCTATATGTGAAAGGAATCAGAGACATATTACAAGTCTTCATACACATTAAGAAGTGCGCTGACTAATTCAGAATTGTTGGGTGACTGATGATGGCCTAAGAATGTTGTGCTTTTGTTTTAAAGGCATTCCATGAACTTCTTTTGGAATAGTTTAGAGCTGTATGAAAGGAGTTATCTGTGGTTAACTCCTTGATTTGATGGCCAACATATATGCCCTCTTTCACTTTTGTTTCACTGATATGAAGAAATATTTATACATTATCAAAACAAAATAACTGATTAACCAAAGTTTGGACGAGGTGGCCAATATACATGGCCAGGATATATATATTCATAGACACACATACACACACCATTTTTGATTTTAGCTTTGTTATTTGATTAGCCTTATAAGAAGCAGTATTACATGAAGATCAAGACAGAGCTAACTGCCTAAATATTGTATCTTTATCCATAAGACAGCACTTAAAGAAAATTCTGCAATGAATCATGAACATGAAGCATTTAATGAAATATAAATATGAAGTGGTTAATATAATTATGAGACAAGAGGGATATAAATGCAAGATGAAATAATTTTCATGCATATTATATAATTAAATGTAATGTCAACGTAATTATTCAGTTTCATCAAGAACATCTGAAATGAGGAGAGCTTTTTCCGTGACACTAACATGGGATGATCAGTTCTGTCTATTGATTGTCCAGCTTCATCACTGCCTTAACTTACTGTACGGATTGAATATTTTTGCTGCTTATTGTGTGTTCCAAAAACCAAGTTGGGACAGTGTAAAATAAGGCTTGAAGTTTTATTGTAATTTAATTGCATATGTATGACTGAATGATTGTGATGTATGTATAATGTTTAGATTAAGTATATTGTTTTCTACTGCCTGAATTCATCTTTTAGTTTTCTTTAAATTTATTTATGTACTGCACACATAACATGTGCCATTGTGTAATGAATGATTAACCTTTCTTAGCCCTGTGTGATGGCTTATGTGTGGCCCAGCTGGCCATGTGTTGTAGTAGAATACTGCTAAACCATTGACTACAGAGTTAATTTTTGGGCAGCAGCCTCATGGTTTTGGGGTGTATATATCCTATTGCCATATGACAAACATATAAGTTCTTGTGCCATTATTATCTGTCTGCACTGCCTTAATATTGCTCCATCTGGGAAAATGAATTAGTCATTTAATTCAGTGTATGGTTATTGACCAAATGCTAATGAAGATCTGATATTCACATGGTTATGGCAGTGACACTATTTGTTGTTTTTTATTATTATTAAAGAACGTCTTTGAGGACTTTGTGCAATAGAAGATTTGTTGGTGCCATTCAAACTTACACTCAAAGGGGTGATGCTATTTAAAGGACTTAATTTATGTAAGTATTCAAAAGTGAGGCAAAATCAGTAGATGAATAACAGCAAGAACCACGTCCAGAGACTATGATGGGCTCAGCATGTAGTTAGGATTGAGAAAACAAGGAATGCATGTAGAATTTTGCTGGGAAAACCTGTTATAGAATGGCGACTTAGGAAATTAAGAAATTGAATGACTGGCATTAAATTAGATCAAAGTGAAATGGGTTGCAAGGATGAGAAGTGGATGGAATTGGGTCAGGATCATGTTCAATGGTGGGCTTTGTTATTAATAGTGTTGGTCCTATGGGTTCTGCTTTTTGAGTGGTAGTTAATAATTATATACCACAAATTAATCATACAGGAAGTCAAATGGCCATGTTTTCTCAACGACCTGAAAATTACTTTTATAAAAGTTATAATTTGAGTTCTAATATCACTCTTTGTCTCTCCTTACCTCACATAATGATCACAATGGCAAAGAGGTATGTAAAATGGCATGCTAAAGTATAGAATTTAAATGTAATCATAAGTATCAGTGTTATCCAGAGAATCTGGTAAGGAATGCAACATACACACATGTTTATATAAAATTGTGTTAATGAACAGTATTTTGACTTTTATGCATGGTTTGCGAAAATTGAAGTTTTGCAGAGAGCAGTTTTAACTAATAATATTACAAAATGGTATAGGGACACAGAAACACTCAGTCACATATGCCCTTCATTTTTTTATCTGAAAAATATGTGGACTTATTTGAACTGTGTGTTTTTCAATTTTGGAAGTTTGCTGTCAGGAAACTGTTTTATGTACTTGGCGCACGACAAATTTCTGGTGCTCTTCCCGTACTCTCATTACAGGTCTTATGACTATGAAATTTTCTCATAACCTGCCAATGATTTTGCCAGTTCCCAGAATTCTAAATGCAGAGTGATTCCTAATGTACAACCAGCCATTTGTACTATACAAGGTGTGAATTCATCTTCATAAGCATACCTGTTGAGCACTATCTTTAAGAATTAATATATTCACAGTGGGAAGAATGTGTATAATTTACAGCTGAAGAGGTCAGAGTGATACACAAGGAAGGATACATGTACATGATGCCAGATATAAAAATAACATACTAAGAACCTTTTAAAAACATCACCCCTTGGAGTTAAATGATTTGCTTATAATCCTTTTTAAAACTGTATCATGAAGTAGGAAACACTTAGTAATGAATGAAGAGTTTCTTGTACCCAAAATGATGACACTGGTATTTTAAAATTATGCTGTTTTTATTTTATATATATGTATACATGTACTGTGCAACAGTCCATGAAAAGAAGAAAAATATATAAAAATGAAAGAAATTTATATATTTATCAACAGTATTTTTAAATTAAAAAGTGTATTATTTTATATATTTGTTGTTTTTAATCGGCAACTTTTTATTTTGTTTGAAGCTGACACTCTGTATGTTGAGATGTTTTATATATACTCATGTACACTATAGAATCATTGCAAGCATGATTTGTACACAGTATGTGATAACAGAAATTTTTTTAGGAGATAGTTATAACAGAAGAAGACAGTGTATACCATAAAAAAATAATACTTTAACTTTTCAAAATACTGTAGAATAACATTCACAACAGTACAAAAATGAATCAGAAGCAAGTCTATCCCCACATAACAGACTCTCTGAACCTCCCCTCTGCAAAAGCACTGCAGGTGCAAACACGGTGTGTTCATGAGCAGTTCTTTCTGTGTGGAATTCTCAATGAAATAGTTTATTTGAATAAACTATGAAGCCTGGAGGAAGTGAAAAACAATATTGAACAGTCTGTTGCTAATATTGATCCAGAAACACTGCAGTTACATGTGACAGACTAATAAGGGTGGATGATGGATGTTTTTCCAAAACAGTATCTACCTACAAGGCCACACACTGTCGTCACACAGAAGAGCAATACTGACATCTTCAGTGCTGTGAGAACCTCAAACCTTGTATCATTGATTATGCTTGGTTGCTTAATAGGTACATGAAATCTTTGGTGGAAAGTCAAAGATTGGCTTTAGGAGATAATGTGTAAAAATATACCACCTTATTCCAAGCAAGTTAATTTAGGTGGTAATGTACCTGGCTATCTTGTGTGGGGTATGGACTGTCAGAAAAAGTTTCTTGGCTATCCTGTCCTGCCAGGATAGTACCTTCATATAGACCACAGTTGTTGCTTCTAGTCCTTTCCAGACACTACATAATGCTCATAACAGCCACTAGTAACACACCAGTCAGCGAGAATATATCAAACGCAAGAGTATTATGTGGTGGTAATATGTTGAGGGAGATGGGATGGCTGATACATAAATTTGGAGAATAAAGCTGAAGTACAGATGTCTGATGATAGCCAGTCATCCTTCGTACAACAAGTATGTATAAAGTTTTGTTGTTATGATTAATTCATTGTATGGACCAACATGCAATAATGAATTCTATTTGCAGCCACTGAATGACATACTTACATACAGTAGATCATGCTTCACTTCTGAAAGATCCAGTGTACAGAAAAGTAGTCAAGAATCCCATACAGGCCACAGAATGGAGAACAATACTTCTGATAGATAAGCCCTCACTTCCTGATGATGTTGCCAGGCTGTGATCACATGGTTTGAGGCAACCTAATTTTGGGCTTCCAAAAATATGTAAAGAGTAAGTCCACCTATGGCCCATCATCAGTGTAACTGTAATTTTCTAGGTTGAGTAATGAACTTGCTGAATAACCAATAGTGATATGAATTAATCTTTCATTCTCTTTGTGCCATCATTAAAATGCGGGCAGTGAAGCAGAAATAGCATTGCTGCTTGATATATCTTGTCCTATACCATTGTTGCATAGAGCTCCCACTGACATCTTTTAATGTTATGGAATTACAAGCACCTCACCTAATACAGCATGAAGATAGGCACCAGTCTGTTCCTGATATTTATGACTGACTACTTTCTTCAGAACAATATATTCTGATTTGGCCAGTTGAATGCCAATTTCTGCTAGTTATTCTTTGTGAAAATTGACCCAAAAATTTGTGGGAGATGAAGGCAGGTCCCTCCAGGCAAATTCATGATAATGTGCTGAGAATTTCTTAGATGAACAGAAGGCTCTTTATTCCATTTTAAGCTATTCTTTCCAATGTAACTTTTTTCATTCTCATTGCAATGTTCCTTGTACCATTTCAATCAGAAATATCAGTGGTGATTCTTTCAATATAGACAGTATTCATCCTTCCATCTCTTAGGTTCATAACCCCACAATAAAGTTGGACATGTTGAAACAGAAAAGCTACCCAGACTCAAAGAATTCATATTAGCAACCCTGTAAAATCATTCAATAGTCTTCCTCCTAGCATTAAAATAATAAGTCATTATTTTAGAACATTAAATTACTCCGAAATTCAACGGTTTTTACAGCCCTGTCATGTGTATTACTATATTTACAAAATATCCATTATATCTTTATACGTTGATCTACTGAACAGACAACTAAATGGATGGGTGGACGAATTAAATTGAAAGCCGTTTGTGTGGTCAGAACCCATTGACTCCACTACGCGTTTCCCTGACAAATTTGTGTAGGTGTAATTCACATTTGTCATATTTCTTGATGATTTTCTTTATATTGTAAAGTAGGTTCACGTTAGTTCAATGTTTTATGTTGCCAGTTCAGGTGTATGTGAAAAGTGTTTGAAGTTAATTCAGAAATCCGTGTGAATAAATTATGTTTCCCGAATGTATAATCAGAGCCAGTGAAACTTGCGCATCATGGCTTGTTCAATTTAGATGAAGAAATGCGGTAACATTGTTTTTGAAGTATGTTTGATAACTGGGATAAATTTAGTTTTCTTACTAGTAAATCACTAAATTATTATACGATAGAAAATGTTTCAAGTAATTAATTTGAGTATGGTATACTCTGCTATAAAATGGCACAAAGTTCGAGTATATCAAAATATGTTTGGGATTGTCCATTCAGGTCAGGATGCTCGTTTTGTGTTCATTAAATTGGCTTGTAATAGTATATTATATATTGCATCTAAACATAGGACATTTCCTGTTGCAGTACAAGAAAGCAAAAACCACTATGAAGTTCAGTGAAATATGTCGCTTATGCCTGAGCACCAAAAGATTGTTTCTGCCTCTTTACAACACTCCTGGAAATCTTCAAGAGAAAATTAACACGATTTCTTCAAGAGTAGAGGTCAGCTGTTCTGGTGAATTTCTGTTATGCTTTACTAGGGAGTGTGTTATTGGTCTGTTGAATTGCATTTGATACACCAGAATTTGTTGGCTAATGGGATTTGTACCTGTCTAAAATGCAATATAAAATTTTTATCTAATTCTGAAAAGCTATTGATTATTTTGTAACAACCCTTTTTAATACCATTTGTTCTGTTATGTATCATAGGGTGAAGCTAAAATACGTTATAAAAGAGTAAATAATGATCCAAATGTATAATTAATAACCATTTTGGTGATGGAGCTTTATCAATTACAGAGGGCTATAGACTTGGACGAATTTAATTACTGGTATAACATGTATTGATGGCATAACATACGTCAGTGATAACACTCAGGTTCTCTTTAGCTGATGGCTTTATTAAACACTCTCTTAAAATTAATAATGCTTAGTGCACTTGAAACAGCTGAAATATTAACACTCCAAATGAATGTTCTGTATTAGTTCTTTTTGTCTGATGTCTAAATGACACTTCTTCTCTTGCCCACAGCTTCACTTACATATGGAGCACTGCTGCTGTATATTCAATTACACCCATAAGAATTGTCCCTGTCTTCGTGCAAGTATACATGCAGTTCACAGTGCTCTTCTCTTGATTTGCACTGTGGGTGCCTTATTTTTGTACAGGTCATTGTTGGAGATGGTTTGCCTGCCCAGGTATGTCAACAGTGTGCTGAAATGGTCAATACTTGCTACAACTTTAAACTGCAGTGTGAGAAGTCAGATATGACATTGAGGCATTATGTTAGCAGTCATTCTCAGTGTGAACATGAAGTTGAAGGGTGTTTCAGGCTTCAGGTATAAACAGCAGTTATGTTTTTATGTATAATCTTATTGCATTGGTCTGAAATTTGATATCTCATCCTACTGCATTGATGGTGAACCTTAACATTTTTTGCTGCCTGGTATCAATGCCCCTTCCAAAAGTTACCATCTGTAAGATCAACTATAGGTCAGCTTAATTGCTAAGAATAACTATGTGTGAATATGTTGAACCAATGAATGATGGCCACAGCAAACAATCTTTTTATTGTTTCACAACATTAATGAACAGGATGCTTTAATGTACACTTTTGAAAATTTTAACATATGTACTTGTATGTATTTGCCCATTTGTGCTAATTGCACAGACTACACTATAAGGACTTTTTCTAAGAGATTTTTATCTCTTTAACAGGAGACAGAAAATTGTGCTATTGATGGGAAGCAAAATATGAACTGTGAGAATTATATTGATGCCACTGCTGTCTCTCCATTATGTGAGAGAAACCTGACACTGGACTGGGGTATGACATGTAAAAATTTGCAATGGTAAGCTTTATGTAGACAAACGTATATTTTTATTTGCAATATATATATATATATATCTACTGCATATGGGTGATTTTTGTTGTTAACTGGATAAAAAAATATATATGGCATGTGAGAGCTCAGCTCTGGCTCCATTGTTATGTATAAACTTGTATCGTGGTACCTGTTAGATGGAGGCATGCAATGTCATTCTAACTGAGGACAGATATAGAACTTGCTTATGAAATGTTTATATATAATTTATGAAGATAGTGGATGACATCCAAAAAGAAAATATCCCATATTGATAATGAACCACTGTCACAGACCCATAACCACTGATTAATAACGATATTAACAAATGTAATTAAAGTGTGGCTGTGTGTATTATTTGTAACATAGCTTTATATTTTTGTAGCAGAATTAGACAAGAAAACTGTGTGAGTGATCTTCAGTCAAAGATGTCAGAAAATGAGAGTAAATCATCTGTGTGTCTATCAGACATGTCTGTCAGAAACATTCAGGTAGGTCCTTGTAGCAGTTTAAGAAAAGAGTTTTTAGGTCCATGTTATTCTAAGTTTGATAGGACTGTGTATAATGAAGTTGGAAACAAATCATAGTTATTTAAAATGTGTTGTTTAATTTCATTTGTGTGTATTGATTTTTGTCTCCTGGGTTATGACACTTTTCTTCTTGTAGATGATTATCAATATACACAAATTGTGGATAATGTTTTGATAATAACATAAAATATCTACCTACTTTATAATATACTGTTTTACTAGGTGTTTCCAGTAAAGGAGGTGAGGAATTCAATCAGTTTCATTTTCCATTGCTATATGCTACGGTGATGTGTCAAGCAAAGAAATAATTTGTTCTCTGTTATTTATAAAACTCTTGATGTATTGAAATCCAGATATAAACACCATTACATTATGTATAATAGTGTATTATGGTGATAATATGGAAGAACCTAATTACTGTATGAGTCAGGATTACTAAATTCTTGGACTATGTCTATCGTCTGTGTTTATACACTGTATCAGTGTTTTACTGGGCATTCCAACTGAAGGAGGAAATTAATATGGTTGGTAGGATTTTTCTTTCTCGCGTTGATGAATATAAAGGTGGCTGTCTTTTTGGTTGTAGCGCCATGTAGTCTGGTAGAAGTTTACCAGCATTTCAGAGATCCTTGCTGCCTCCATCATCAGGGCAATTGTCAGACTATACAGCACTGCAACCAAGAAGATAACCATGTTTGTAATTTTGTATCTAGCAGAGATGTAAGTACTCTGGCCTTCCTTATTTATATATCAAACTTTTATGTGTTTCAAATAGATATGAGAGTGGTAGCATGCATGCATATTGATGCTTGTTTAAATGCATTGGTTTTGAGGTCTTTTAAATACTGAATCCTTAAGTGGCACTCAGATATGCTACATTGATTTCTTTAGGAACTTCCAACAGTGGATAAGTCTTTCAGTGATGACAGTACTGCTTCATCATCAGCTATTGACTCCACACCTGAATTCAAACACAAAGAGGATACACGAAGAAGATTGAGCTCCAAGAAGTCAAAGTCTAAGTTTTGTCTGACAGCTCCTTGGGGAAAGGAGCCAAGATCACTTGAGTCATACAACACTTATGTGAATACTAAGAAATCAAACAATAAAGAAAGTGAGTCAGTTCAGAAACAGGATGTTCATTCTCTGGGAAGTGGAAGAGGAAATGTAACATCTACAGATGTTAGCCATAGGCTAGTATCAAATATCTATATACAGCAAGCAGTATGTTATGGAAATTCCAGCAGTTACAGAAAGACATTTGGGAACATTTCCAGGGCAAAGCCTCACATTACTTTACCTACGAAGTACCACAAATGTGGAGTATGTGGGAAGTCAGTACAAAAGTTGAATTTGCACATGAAAATGCACACTGGTGAGAAACCATATCAGTGTTCTGTTTGTGGTCAGCGTTTTATTCAGAAAGGTAGTCTGCAGAAACATAACACACTACATACAGGAGAGCGCCCTTACAGTTGTACTCTTTGTGGTAAAACCTTCAGGTGTAAGTCTGATCTAAATCAGCACATTAAGTTACATACAGGGGATGCACACAAATGTTCCATTTGTGAAAAGGAATTTACAACTCGTCAAAATTTGGATAGTCACGTGAGGACTCATACAGGAGAAAAGCCATATCTGTGTCATACTTGTGGTATACATTTTACACAAAAGGGGGCATTAACTAAGCATGGCAGAATCCACGCTAATGATCGTCCCCATCAGTGTTCTGTTTGTAACAAGGGGTTCATTACTCAAAGTGCACTTAACCTCCATTTTAGAACTCACACTGGGGAGAAGCCGTACACATGTGCGACGTGTCAGAAGTCTTTCACAGACCGAGGATATTTTATGCGACATCTTATGATACATTCCGGTGAGAGGAGCTTTGTGTGTTCCGTGTGTGGTAAGGCATTCACACAACAGATTAGTTTGAAGCGACATGTAAGGCTTCACACTGGGGAGAAGCCTTTCCTATGTGTGCTGTGTGGGGACAACTTTGCCTTGAAACGTGATCTGAAACGACATACAGAAAGAGTGCATGAAGGGAACAAATGACTTGAGGCTCTTTAGTCTGTATATTATTTAGTTTGTGAGGTCGTTTTCAAATGTATTCTTATTGTAAAACAGGGTAGTTTTGTAAACATTCTAAATGGAAAGTCTGTGTTGGAATCAAAATGCAAAGGCAGAATTTAATACTTTCTTTTTCATAGTATTTTTAAAATAAATGTGATGTAATACTTTATTTAATGTTGTCCCACATAATACTGATTCATTCTTTCTGCTCAAACCAATTTTTGTATGAAATGGTTCAGGAGAAAAGCTTAAGGCTTGTCAATAACTACTAGATGCTTTCTTCATGTCTTTAGAGGATGAGTCATAACTGGGCCTATTGTAATGCATGTATACCATATCTCTTGTACATATTTTGTATGACATTTTTACACACTTATGCACTTATTTGCATTCTGTAATATTATTTGAGTAACCAAATAAAACACCAATTTTTGAAAATGGTAATAAATTATGAATCTACGGTCAAATTTTCATAGTGTAAAAAATGATCCAATATAATTGTGATTTTGTTTTAGGAACACATTCCCAGAATTTAAGAAGGTACTTAATAATTTGTTGTATATGTCTTGGAATAACTTTGATACAAGATCCAAATGTAACTGTATTTAAATTTTGAAAGATTTTAAAGTACCTCATCACTTTGTTTCAGTCTGTTTGTTGATACTTTTTGATTCTCCCCCTTTTTATGGTTGTTTTGTTATAAACTGAACTGTATGTTGTTAACATGTTGAAACTTAATATGAAGCTCATAAAAATCAATAACTTGCATATTAAACAGGTGCTCACTAACTAAACAACTTTGATATATATTGTAATCAGGCTAAAAAGGAATTTGGTAAATTAAATAACCTGTAGCCCTTTAGTTCTTACTGTCTTCTGTCCAATATTGCTGTTTTAATTGCTCAAGAATTGTAATAACTAGAAACAAACATCGGAATTCATGGGATAAATTTTCTTGTGCTCACCAACATTAAATTGCAACTGTTCTGAAATGGGGAAGGGGGAATATGAAATATAAATGTGTGGCTTCCTGTGTTTAACTGTTTTAACCATTCAAAGCTGAAGCTTGTCTAAATAACATCTAATAATCAACCTGCAAAATAAAGAAAAGAACTCCACCAATACAAAGATCAACTGGTTAATGGTGTTTGAGGAAATGATCCTTGTTAAAATTAGAATCATACAAAACCCAAAAGTACAAAATGAAGTTGCTGATTGTTGATGGGACATATAATTACTATTCGGCTATAAAATTGATTGAAAAGATGGGAGAACCTAAGTAATGGTGGATACTCTGGGACTCGGTTCTGATTTTTAGCTAAAGAAACACAACCTGTCATTCCATTTTATGAATATTACGATATCTGTTTATCATCCATATCTGTGCCATTTCATATAGCATCTCTTTTACTTTTGCCATATTTCTGCAATACAAGATGCAGAAATGTTATTTCGTCAATCATCACGTGACGGCCTCACGAATGAAGCTCTGAATAGAGTAAGAAATACTTATCTCGTTGACAAAACTCTCATGTGTGTAATGTATATGACATATCCAGAATGAAGTCTGAAGCCTATTCCTTATTTGCCAACAATTTTCAAATTGTTCTTGTCTGAAAGTTGCAGGGATATATTTCCATAAAACGTAGAATCCAACGGTGTTCAGGAGCGTAACTGTACACAAGAGTATCTATCTTGTTCTTCGAAGAAATCTTTATTTTCCTTCGTCTTCGTTGTCATATAGAGGAAGGAATACTTCATATTCACATTTAATTCATTTCCCTCGTTTTGAACATGTAAATTTATGTTAGTTTGCGTAATTACTGTGACTCGATCTTTACATGTTCAGATATACAGTTATTTTGCTTAAAACAATTCTGTTAATAATGTTCTCTGATTGAGTTTGGTTATAGGTGTGCAATGTTTGGTCATGAGGAGGAAGCATGTATAAGAACGAAGTTCTGTCGTTCGTTCGTTATCGTTTTTCTACTGCGGAATTGTTTGTATGAAGTATTACTTCTGTTCGTTATTACAGTGTATGAAATGTTCCCGTATTTAGAGTTTATTTAAAAATTTCCATGCTATTAATAGCAGTAGTTCATAATGGAGGAAGACAATGTTTCAACACAAGATGTAGAAAATTCAGATTCATCTCGTACATCATCTACATCTGAAGCGACTTCTAGCATTGTTAAAAATGTAGACCCTTTTACATTTGTAGAAGTAAAATGTGAAATTGAGGTAAGCATATGTGTTGAAGTGGTTAGTGTGCATTTTGAAATTGAGTTGGTTACGTTACCTCAGTTATGTTACGTGAGCTGTAAAGGGTATGGTTTTCAGTTAAAATTGTTCAGGTTACAGTAACTTGTATGAAGAAAATTCAGAGGTCTCTTATAAAATGCTGTCCTTGATTTGATTGTAAGAACTAAATGGACTTTCGGAAAAGTTTTTGGGCATTAGGTGTCCTACCCCGCCGAAATTCGAACAGGGGACAGAAGTAGAAGTTTTAATTATACAGTAATGTATGTTCCAGTAGAGACCATCAAATTGTGATTACTGTTTTCGTAAGTTTACCCAACAACATAGTTTTCTGAGTTTGGTATGTATATATCTTGATACATTTATTAATGAGAATTGTAGAACTTTACAGAGATCACTTGGGTGGAGTCTGAAGTAACTTATGTTTTAGCACAGTGGTTATGAAATCAAGACAATCTAATGAAGTTGTACCAGTTTATATTGGACTGAGGTATGTTTGATGTACATGGCTTTTCAGGAATTTGGCTTTAAACTTTTCTTAAAGTCATTGTTATCTTTATAATTCAGGCCTGCACAACTTGAAAGTACATCTGGGCCAAAATGTAAACTATCAGCTTGGATAGCTTAGTCAGTATAGTGACTAGCTACAGGATGGGCAACTGGGGTTTGATCCCTGTTGGGAGATATGTGGGAGGAGGTGGTCATTATCTATTTTAAGGTACTATTCTGATATTAATGATGAGGATTTGGAAAACAAAAAAATACCAAAATGAAGATGCTTGTACCTTGCTTTGATTCAAACTTTGTTACTGCATAATGCACTATGCTAATACGCTAGATCAGTTTGTAAATGGAATGCATGACATTCAAGGAATTGGACATCCTTATATTATTTATTTTATTATTTGTAAACCAATTGTAATTTGGGCAGAAAAGTTCTTATATTTATGTGGTGATGAAAGCAAATTATGAAATTCTTGGAAGCAGATTCATATTAATTTTTAAGATTCTTAATTTGTTTCATGTATTTCTGTGTACCAGTTTGATACCATTAAACAACAACAATGTGTATGGTCAACTGGGATTTTTAAACTTCATGAATTCAGTAATAGGAGTCGGATTCAGATTTTACCCCTGTGAATATGGTTATCCCACAACTAGTGGATATATTTGCCTTTATTGCATAAGCCCCAATGTTGTGGGTTTGATTGAAAGTACATACACCATTCATGCAATTGGTAGGATTTAAGTTTATGATTAAACTGATGCTGCTGTCTACAGGTATAGCAGCTAATTTATACAAGCTCTTGTGTTGAAACTTACTCTTACCTGTTATTGAGTTGAAGATGTTTTGCTGCATAAATGGATGTTGAATTACCAGCTATTTACATAAATTTATTTTGTTGCTAGTTAATGGTGAGTTAGCTCCCAGTGACATATATGACTTTTGGAATGTTTGTGTGATCATATTTCCTTAAGTAGATGGCATTTTAAAATTTGTTTTTTTAGTTAGTTTAGAAATCAAGTCTTTCTCTTCAACAGAGTGCCTACTTTCATAGATATTTCTCACTGCTTTGTGGACAGACTGTAAATTACATATTTTAAACCTTCTGTGTTAGTTAACAAGTACTTGTATCTTGATGTTTTATGTGCTGTATTACCAACTGTGATTATAACAAACCAACTAGATGACTTGGGGAACCTGAATTTTCATCACCAAATTAATCAAAACCCTTGGTAGGATGATTATGAATGATGAAAATACAGGGATGTTTGAAGAAATAGTAGTGGTTTTAATTAAGTTAATATAATGACAGTTACTTTTCAGGAATGAGGAAAACCTTGAAAAATCTCAAATTAGCTGATATTTGTATTGGATATAGACAGGGCGCCTCACAAATGTGAGTCACATTACTACTCTACTTTTGTGCTCAGCCCATATGTTGAACCATTTACATAGTGGCATTGTATAGCTTTGTGTGTTTCTGCACAGGCACTCTTATAACATTCTATGATTTATTTCCTTTACAAATTGAGATGATTTGTGGAATGTAATAATATTATGTTTGAAACAGTTTAATGTTTTCTGTTTTATCGTTGAGAATATTTCTTGAGTATGGAAACACTTATATTACAAGAACCAGTAAAAATGTACTCTCTCCACAGGAAAATGAATATTCTTCATCTGCTGATTGGGAGCATTTCCTTTGTCAGTCATCAATGAAAGAAGGTAAGGATGAACATGGTGATTGCATTGATGAACAGAGTCTGAGGATTGATGAAAATCATGAACACACGAACATACTTACTAGTAAGGATTGTGACAGGTTATGCTCACTTGGAAGTAATGCAGACAGACCATATGTGTGTGCTGTGTGTGGGAAAGGATTCAGTCATGCTGGCAACCTGAGGGTTCATAACATGATACACACTGGAGAGAAACCCCACCTGTGTCAACTATGTGGGAAAAGATTTGTTACAAGTAGTGAACTCAAGAAACATAGCTTATCTCATACAGGAGAGAAGCCACACGTGTGCATAATGTGTGGCAAGGGATACATCCAGCGTGGAGATTTACGAAGACACCTATTGACTCACACGGGTGAAAAACCTTTCTCTTGCTCATACTGTGGTAAGGGTTTTACAGATAATTCAAATTTAAAGCAACATTTGCTTATACATACAGGGGAGAAGCCATACAAATGTGAGGAATGTGGAAAGGGTTTTAACAATTCTGGAAATCTTAAAACTCACAACTTGACACATACTGGCGAAAAACCTCACAAATGTAAAACATGTGGCATTGGCTTTAGTACTCGTGGCAATCTTAAAACTCATATATTAACACATTCTGAAAAGAAACCATTTGTTTGTGGCATCTGTGGTGAAGGTTTTTGTAGAAATTCTCAATTAAAAACACATACATCAAGACATAGTGGTGAGAGACCTTTTGCCTGTGATGTCTGTGGTAAGCAATTTTTTACAAAGGGAAATTTGAGAACACATTCTATAACTCATACTGGTCAGCACCACCCATTTACATGTTCTGTTTGTAATAAAGGTTTTACTTATAGAGGAAACTTGAAGCAGCATATTGAGACACACACTGTAGAAAAACAGCAAGTCTGTAAAGAATGTGGTAAAAGTTTTAGTAGTAGTACATGGTTTAAGAAACATACACTATCCCACTCTTTAAAAGGTAGCATTGTCAGCAGTTCATGAATTCAGGAATTACTTGTGCAGCAAACTATTGGTCCCTGGAAAATATTTTTCTTATACATACAATTCATCAAACCTTGTGAATATTGTGAAGAAAAGAAGAAAACTGTATGAATTATGATGTATTTGAATCATCAATTTTGTTTTCTTTGGAATTTGTGAAATTTGTTTTATTATTTATGCTGATATAGTGGATGCCATTTTATCATCCCGTTTCTAGTGACTACATTAATATGTTATCAACATTATTATCTATAAATATGTAATGTCAGATACTTAAATTTGTATTTGAATATTAAGAATTACATGATTTACCTAATTAAATATTTGATTCATTATACAAAACTCCTGAAAAGTAATGTATATAAAATATACCTCAAACAATGTGCAATATATAATATTTGCGTAGTGAATTTATAGATTGATTATTTTAAAACAAACAATTACTTTTCATGAAACTTTAAATTCGGTCTGTTATGAATACTGATTCCAGTGAAAGTCATTGCTGTTATCCTTTGCAATAACATATTTTTAAATTTTCCCATTTATAATGTTACCATGTTTTTTGTTTTTTTTGTTTGAAAAATGTTATGCATTGCTTTCATAAGATGTCTTCATTGATGTTGTCCACGAATAAGAGTATATGTGAATCACAGATGTTCCTGTTGGAGATTGGTTGTCTTGTCAGTACTATTTAAGGTACATCTATTTAAGTTTGTAACATGCTTACATACTGTCCTTATATTACTATAATTCCTGGTTCAATTCTGTCTTTCCATCATTAAAATAAATGTTAATCAAACTGGGAGAAAAATTTGAACCTTGTCTTATGCCTTCATTTATTATAATTTTCTGTATGAGTCCTTTATATAAATGCAATACAATTGATATACCTTGGTAAAGGATGTGTGTATTAAGAAACAATAAGTCACCTTTGCTTCATCATTATTCCTCCATATTTAAATAATTATAAATTTAAATGCTCAGAGTTATTTCTGTTCCTAAATTTTTTAACATCTTTTGCATATCTTAAGTGGGTATATGATTACTTCATTTTCCTCAGTACTTACGTAGATGGAATGAGTGATTGGCATGATTTATCATTGATTAACTTCTCTAAAGTATGTGACATTGTTTTCTAGAGTATAGTTTTAAGCCGTACTTCATACAAGTGCTCTGGAGTAATGAGGCACAATTATCACTGTTGGTCACATGAAAACTTGCACATCACATGAAATACATCAAGTCAGGTACAATGGTCCATAAATGTTTAGGAAGTCATGTTATGTCAAAAGATACTATCACTGGGCCATACCTCCTCCTAGAATGTGGTCTATCCCACTTTGTGTTTATCTCAGCTGCTAGAGGATATGTGCTTGGATACAAGACAGAACATAATAACAGCATCGTGTTCATGAATTTTTGAAGTCTGCATTTCCAGGGAAGTTTATCAGACATGATGGAGTGATACCTTGGCCTTTGGTCCCCAGATCTCAACCCCATTGACTACTTATTTTCATGGGATCATTTAAGGAAAATATCTATCATATCCATTGGTGGTGTGAACATTTAAACACCTGTGCTTAATGAAATGGTAATCATTGGCAGACAAATAATTACAATACACAGAATGTGAAGTCATGCTTTTATTTGGGTTTGTACTGTACAGTATGTGATTCCCAGTTGTACTTTTTTGCAAGTGTAAGGTTTTGTTACATAGCAACCATGTTTATACTGTGTGTGTAAACTGAAACGCTGCCTTAAAATCTATAAAGGTGGATGAAGAAGCAATTGTTTCTATTGCTGTATGATTTATAATTCCACCCAGTTACAGCACTGTATAGTTCTAAACTTGTAAGCTTCTTATTGAAATACATGTGATGACTCTCACATGTACGTACTTTGTTTTGAATTTTAATACAACAAACACATCACTTATAACTTACCCTCAGTCATTCAGTTGAAAATCTAAAACTTTAGTTGTATGCTGCTATGTGATGTTACATCTTCGCCTCTTCACTCGGCAATACAGAATCAGTGGGATTTCTTATGTCATGCAATGTTGCTGCATTTCTAACTTTACAGGGATTTTACTTGGAAAGTAGGTGTCAGATGAAATTTCAGAAATTACAGAGGTGCTGGTTTCAATTCCTGTACATCCTAATTCAGTATTTCCAGCCTAATAGTAGTTAAAAGTTTAATGAACATGTTCCAGTTGATGTTTAAGTAGACAAAGCAGACTGATAAGTGTAATGAAAACCAGGAAAGAGAATGGGAAAAGAATGTAGATTACACATATAACTTTTACAAAAAATTATAATGGATATATACATGCCATAGTATTAGCAATGCAGGCAACTGAGAATTACATGCAATATGAAACATTCAGGATGTCTAACAAAAAGCACAAAAAAGGATGTGTTTCATATTGTATTTGTATATTTAACAGAACAGTTATTTGGATTCAGTAACATGAGTGTGCGTATGTGAATGTAAATCACCCTGAGATGTAAATGTGTGTCCACAAAGGGAACATCTGTGTCCTTCTCTCAAATGATACCTAGCATGTTGAGCAAGGCTGTTTCTAAACTTGTAACTTTTGTGACATATAAAACAGAAATACTTTTCATTTGTATGCACAGGGATGTGATTCTCAAGTTGATATTTCCAAGTGAATGTCCGTTCACATGTAGAACACCTGTAAGGCTTGTCTCCAGTATGAATTCTTGTGTGCTGTTGTAAGTTGCTTTTATCATTAAATGATTTGCCACATATAGCGCAGTCATATGCTTTCACACCTGTATGAACAACACTATGTCTCTTCAGATGGTATTTTGAACTGAAACTTTTAGCACAAGACAGACACTGATATGGTTTCTCTCCAATATGAGAAAAAGTATGTTCATCCATGTCACTTTTATTCTTGAAATACATATTACAGACATAACATCGAAAACATGATTTGATTTTGTGTGCAGCTATGTGGTTTTCAAGTTGAGTTTTCCAAGTGAAAGACTTCTTACATTTTAAGCACTGGTATGGTTTCTCTCCAGTATGGACTCTAATATGCTTGTGTAAGTTACTCTTGTCATTGAATGATTTCCCACATACAGTACACTGGTAAGCACGCTCACCAGTATGTACAACACTATGACGCTTCAAGTGGTACTTTGAACTAAAGCACTTGACACAGGATGAACACTGGAAGGATTTATCACCAGTACTTGCACACACATGATCATTCAAATCTCTTCTTTTTGCAAAGAATATTCCACATATTGAACAGTGGTAACCTGTATTACACTCCTCAGTTTCTGAGGGTGGTTTCTCTGTTACTTCACTGCAATAAGAAAGATCATTATACATCACATTTCAATTTCTGATTAACGTTAACTGATCACCAGACAAATGATCTCACATCCTTTTGTTGGTGGTTTTTATCACTAGCCAAATTACTATACTTCACTAATGTGAAATTCCTCACAGTCTGCACAGAGTATTTTTGGGTCTTATTCAAAATTTTAGGAATCCATCCCATTTATAAATTATAAGTGGCAGTTCTTTGAATATCTAATTACCTCCCAGGGTTAGTCTTCTCTGAATAGTAGATATTTAATCAGTTGTGTAAGACATTCCCTGTATTATGGAATCTAAACTTTAGAACAGCCACCACAAAAGTTAACTAATGGATGAAGGATTCTCTTCTCTGAGAACACATGCGATTGATCAGTGTTCATTAGAACCACGATGAGCCCCTTGGATAAAATCTGTGATGTTGATTATGAATAAAGATACCACTAACCTGACTTCCCCAGAGTCAGAGTCAGTTTCTTCAGAGTCTTCTTCATCCTTAAATTCTTCTTTTATAGTTGCTAGAGTCTCTGGAGAGACTTTACACTTATTACTTGACACGGGTGAAGATTTTGATTTATTTATTACCTGTGGAGAAAGAAAACATGCTTACCTAACATAGGAGACATATTCCAAGTGGAACCTATTTCTCAAAACATACATACGTATTATAAATTTAAAGTAATTTCATCATAAATTCTATCACAAAAATTTACTTACTGTGTAATCATGGATTTAAAAACAAAACTCAAAGTAAATTAACCTGTAATTTAATAGTGGTGATGACATTTCAGACACATACAGCAAATAAACAACATACAATAGCATCTTAAATTATCAGTCTAGTCTTTATCTATAATATTTCCTAAAGAAACATGTGACATGGACATATAATTTTTATTTTCATGCATTCTTTGTAGAAAGTGAAGACACGAGGAAAGACAGTTATATTTGTGACTGGGGTATACATGGAAAATTGTTTATTGAATTCACTTTTGATTGGTACCAGACTGAAATAAGCATCAATTTATATGAATGTCAAATTAAAGTTTTATAATTTTCTGAAAATGGTACAAGTTAAAAGTCTGTACATTTCATAAAATATAGATTTGATTTGAGCTGTATAACTTTTATTTTTGAATGTTTCTAGTATGGATATTAAAAAAAATTAGTACACATAATTTATGGCTATATGTAGTGTGAATAGCTTTTCAACAGTGTTGGTCAATGTAAGCACAGATAGTTAACATTTTTATAGCCACTCAGCAGTCAGATTAGACTAATATTATTGTAGAATGAAGATCCCTTTTCAGTTGTTCTACAATGCCAATTCTATACAAATCTATAGTTAACTTTAATGTGTCATTAAGATTGAACACAAACATATCATGGCTTGTGTGCCATATAGGTTATGAAGAAGACATTCTTGTTACAAGTTACTGTTAGTGAAGTAAACAATTAAAGACAGTATATTAAACATATTAGCTATTTCTAGTCATAACATTGAAACCTCAGTAGGTTCTTCTATTCCTGATGTATCTATTGTCTTAACACCTGCAGTACGCGAAAGTTCCTGATCAGTGTTACTCTGTGTTTCTTCTTTGAGTGCAGGACTTTCCTTATTGGGCTGGAAAGAGATAAAAATAGTCATGGATATATTTACTTCAATTAAGATATAAGAAGTGGCTAAATACTATCTCAGTCATGAAAATAACAGTTCATGTGTTATTAGTAAATGTGACTGAGATAATCAGGAAGCACAATCAACAACACATATTCTAGTCATTCAACCTGTGTATGAAGGAATAAATTTGAAGGGTTGTAGTAACATTCATGAAAAGAGTAACTTACATCTTACTGAATCATATTTTAACTAGGCTACTGAACATACAAGAAATGGTATGCTTGTAGGAAATTCATAAATTCTGCAGTAGTGATTTTTCATTTAAATGGCTGCTAAGACATTTATTACCACTGAAACAAATTGATGTGCATGCTCCTCAGATTCATGTTCCAGAGGTTCACTCTTCACCAGAACAATCACTGGATGTGGAATTACATCATCATCATCCATTTTCGTAATATCACAATATCATGTACTGAACCTGGAACATAAGACATAATATGTAGTTTCTTACATTCCTTCAGATTTTAGGCATTGAACTGGGTGGTACAAGTAAAATTACCCCTTTACCTAATACCCTCAAAGAATTATAATACATTCTTTGACCTTGGGATCAGAACCCAAACATTACTAACAAATCTGTCTGAATTATCTGAAAAAGTGAGTGTTCACTTGTTTTATGTAATGCTTTGAAATACTTCACAAGGCAAGATGAATTTTTCAAAACATATGCTATCCTATCAGTCACTGTCTTACATATAGTACATTGTGTGACCAACCAACCTCCACAAAAATATGACCTTATAATAATTTAAAAGAAACTACACAGAGGCCTTAACACTATCTTATGCTTGGTATGACTTAGAATGAAAACAAAATTTAACATGTAGTTCAGCTGTCACTCTATAATATGCCATACATGAAATGTAATTTATGATACCAAAATGAATAATTCATACAAATTATGAGTAATATACTTAAAATGTAAGATTTGAGGTTTTCACAGCAGTGAGTATAAAGATTTCTGTCTTCTGGGTTGTTGCACTGTGTAGTCTGGTCGATGTTTACCAACGTTTCAGAGGTCATACTGCCTCCGTCATCAGGGCAATGATGATGGAGGCAGTATGACCTCTGCAATGTTGGTAAACATCTACCAGTCTGCACAGTGCAACAACCCAGAAGATAGAAATCTTTCAATATACTTATAGCCCATTCAGTGTCTAGTAGAAATTTACCAACATTTCAGAGGTACCCAGTGCCTTGATGATGGAGGCAGCAAGTATCTGTCGAACATCAGTACAGTTCCATCATCAGAACACAAGGCACTACAATTCAGAACAAAGCCATGTTCATACATGCTACTGTGCTGACCCATTTCATTTGAAATCAGCCGTCACTGGTTGCTTCACCATCAGTTTGGCCATTATTTCTGTAGATTCAGAACAGTGCCTTGCATCAGAGTACAGAATACAAAAATGTTTTATTTTTTCCCCAACTGTGGAGGTTGCCAAATGTACAGAAACAATCAAATATAGTGGCAAGTTTACTGTACTTCATAAACATTTTCTTGCATTGTTCCTACCTCTTCGCAAGAGATATTTTCAAACCCTTCTTAGTGTTGCAACACATTCCGCTACTTAAATATGAGGGACAGCACCTTATTGACCCAAACCATTCTAACCTTTCCAACCCGTCAACGGAACCGTGTAATCTGTGGAAATTATCACTCGTTCATTCCTTACCGCTCATATTGCCTTTATAAAAAGTAGTCAGGGGATATGACCTGGAGATAGACTGTCATTTCTGTACTGTACTAACGAAGAATCTCAATCATGGTAATCAGTTTCCATCACACTTTCGGTTTTTTACGTCCGACAGCTTGAATCTATTCGCTACACTTCTGCTTTATAACCTCAAGGTTCCAACATACGGATCACATACACCTATCGACATGTTGTAAATTCGTATATTAAAAATCACTTGCGGTCACATTCCGAAATTTAAGCGTTGTGGATACCAAATGAAACGGCGAGTTATCAAGTATACCGCATTCATTGATCAAGATTTCAGTGGTGCTAAGTGTGTAGGTTGCTTTGATAGGGTAATTATTACAGTGTACTGGTTTTAGGATGACACTGTTCCCAAGTACAGGGAAATATACCGGCACGTACGTAAGTTGCAAAATACTTATATGTGAGAAATTACTGCGGGACATATTTCCAAAATAAATATGCGTATAACAGTGTATGAATCACTGCATTGGGCATGTTTAATAATATTAGAGAGTATCTTGGGTCATAATATTAACCAGAAGCAATAAAGTGTTATATTTACGTTGATGTACACAAATATCCCGAAGTTACAGAAATTGTGATGGTAGTTGGGGAAGGGTATTGAAAAAAATCATGTATGTGTGACACTGGAAAAGTACTATATTCTAAGCCAGTAGTAACTTAGTGACATTTATTACTACATTATTTTCTTTTACCAGGAAGATGCTGATTTTACAGAAGATAAAGCAGATGTAGATGTGTCATCTTCCTTAAGGTCTGAGAATGAGAAGCTTACTACAAAAGAAGGAAGGTGCTTTGTAAAAATTATTACTTTTCTGCCCTAACATTAGTTGACATAAATTCTAAAGCCAAATCTGTTATTGTACTGCTTCCTTATACCTAGTCACCAATTCTTATGGGAATAAATAACTGCATGAAAGGTGGCATGATTTCATGCTACTGATTTTTAATGGGGGGTAAAACCAACATTATCTTCTAAGCAAAACCATCCCAGTGGCTTTATGTTATCTGTGGCTGTGTCAAATAATCACTCTTCTTCAGTAACTGAGTCTATGAGAGAAATGAGATACATGGTTTAAGGACCAAGATACTAATTTATTTTTGTATAAATAAGTAGTTTACTTTATGAAACAAAAACACTTCTGATGTATGTGTGTTTTTGCAAATAAAATATTTATTTACATTTGGATTTAAACATAGAAACAAAATCAGAATCTCAATGAGCAAGAGATCATGGGAGATATACCCCTGCTTCCCTGATACCTCTACCTTGCCAATACAGTACAAATAAAAGTGATAATATGGATGTTGATACTGATGACTCCATTTTGTTCTTTTACAAATGACTACTGTGTATGCTTTACAAAACAGTCATTACAAATTCTGTTAGGAATATAATCTGCATACTGCATATGTGATCTTCACATCAGTGTTAGTTTTCTACCCTACCAACTTTCCTGCTAGCAATTGTTGATATCTGAGGGAGGTATAGTCATTGCCTTCATTTTGCTGTGGAATGTAGTCACACATATTAGAAAAGTAATTGACTTTAATTTGTGAGGAGATGGCGCATCTTCATCATCTGACTCTTCAACGAATCTTATTCGTTTTGGTGATGGTTCGGAAGCCATAGACATGCCTTGTTCACGAAGTTTAATCATCTCTAACTTGGCATTTAAAGTAAGAGGCTTACGACTCCTCTTTTTATCGCTACTTCCCGTTAGACGCCATTGTAATTACACTGTAGTAACACAAAAATATTATATAAATATACAGTTTGTAATAACTGAAAAATTGCCAGAAATACAGAGAGACACAGAGCGCACAAAAGCTGTAAACAGACTGAATCAGCGATGAGAAAATGGCGCCGGACGCACTTCTCTGACTCAGCTGTTGAGCGCCGTATTAGCGGATCGCCATAAAGCGGAGCGCCGAAAAGCGGGGCCCTACTGTATTAGAAAAGTCATTGACTTTAATTTGTTTCTCTTGTTTAAATTAGGCAGATACATTAATTTCATACTTAATAGGCATGTCATAACATTTGTAATTAATGAAAAGCACAGAAAAGCAGCATATGGACAATTATAAAGTGATTATGAATGTTTAAATTTATGATGCATGCTGTACAATTATGTCAGGTGTGGTTTCAGAAATACAGAGTTTTTTAGTACTTGATTTTTGTTACACAAAATTTATCCCTGGCAGAGAAATAGGAATGTTGTTGGGAATACCCCTTGGAAAGCAGCTGCATGGAAGACTCAGAACAAAATGGAATGAAAAAACTGAAGTGGCCCTTAGAAACATGTGTTATAAGTTTCATTAAAGTTGCTCCAGTGGCTGACTATGGTGTGGGCTTTGTTGAACATCTGGTTATGTTTTGAGAAAATTAATTTGTTAGTTATTTAACAACTTTATATTTAGTATTTTTGTTGTGACAGTCAGTGTATAGGAAACAACTAAAAAATTTCAGGTTGTTTTCAAGAGTTCAGATTTGTAAATTAAAATTGTAGTTACCTAAACAAACTGTAAAGTAAGGTACTTATCGGAACACATCGCTTCAAAAATACGGGTACTTGTTGGTTATTTTGACATATACTTGAAAGTTATTATATTGAAGTAACCTAACCTAACCTATTTTTAAAGCGATGTGTCCCGATAACCCACAAGTACCTAAAGTAACAGTTCTAACATATGATAAAAATAGAATGCTATATAATGAGTTTGGCTTTTCCATTGCATTAAGTTGATGTTTCACTGCAGGAATGTGATTATGTTTACAAGTATGAAGGAAAATCTGAAGATATTAATATTATGGTGTTGAATTCAAGCCCAGACACAGAAGTGGATGAAACCATAACAGTAAACAACGATTTTGATATCAACACATTTCAGATAAGTCCAAGAGGAGACTTCCATCATGCAACAGACAAAATGGAACCACACCATGGAGTTAACTCACAACTTCCAAATCAAAAGGACAAACGTATAGGGAGGCTGAGAACCTGAGTGAATGGACAGTGTGAATATACCTATGGAAACAAGAAAGACACAGGCACAAGTAACAGGATTTATTTAAGTACTGTATAGAACAGACAAGAATGATTGCTAGTTACTCTTCATCCTCACAAGATGACACAAAGAGAATAAAGAACACAGATTACATTTGTTTTTGTTATGAAAGGTTATTTTATATGTTTCGATTAGTGATATTTATATATGCCATACATAGCATCTGTAACTATTCCCACAATTTCACATCAGATGCAAAGTACAACACAGAAATTATCGCTAGACATACTAATATTCATGCTATGTTTCTTTTATAATAAGAGACAATATATATAAATGTGCATGAGTTAAGAGTCCTCATTATAGTCTATTAAGAGATTTTGATTTTTCCTTGTGCAATGTAATATGGTGTCTGCCACATGCGTTTTCATGTAGCAAACCGATGCTTTGTTTCCTTTGTGCACTTGCAGATGTCTCTTCAGGTTGCCTTTGCGTGAAAATTCCATCAGACAAATGTTACAATGAAATGGTTTTTCACCAGTGTGCAATATACTGTGAGTTTTAAGATGGGCTTCTTGAGTGAAAGCCTTGTTACAAATATCACATGCATATCGTTTCTCTCCAGAATGAATGAGCAGATGCCTTGTCAAAGAACTCATATACCGGAATGAATGACCACAGTAAGCACACATATATGGCTTCTCCTTCATATGAGTTTCACTTCGATTGATGTGGGATTTGTAGTCTTTCATGTACTGAGGTGTGTGACACTGATTATCCAATGAAAGACTTGTGTTTCCTGTTTCCTCATATTCTGTCTCACAGTCAGATGAATGTTCTAGTTTAGTCTTAGGGACCAAAACACCATGAGTTTCTGTATTTTTAACGTCGCTTGATGAGTTGTTTACCCCTAAAGGTGCCAGTAAATGTACACCAACAGCACACTCAATGCCATCATGGTAACTGCTTGCAGCTATATTCATGGCAGTTGTATCTGCTGTAGCATCATCTTTCTTCATAAAAACAGAAATAATTATGTGTTAGTATTCAAGTGGGAATCTTCTAAATACATTTGAGGGTCTTGTGGCAGAAAGTAGGAAGATGGTTGTCTTGTGGGTTGGAATGCCTTGTAGTCTGATAGAAGTTTACCAACATTTCAGAGGTACTTGCTGTCTCTGTCATCAAGGTGACTGTTGGTAAACTACCAGACTACAAAGCATTACAACCTAGAAGATAGCCATCTTCACAGTTAAGTCATGTTAGCATGAAACCAAACAAGTACAACCCAGAAGATAGCCATCTTCACAGTAAAGTCATGTTAGCATGAAACCAAACAAAATAAATCTGTCCATTGCACTGAGATTGTTCTTGTCCTTTGCTTAATGTTAAAATTCAGTACTGGATGACACCATACCTTTGTGAGTGGTAGATATTCTTCCTGATTAGCATAGTATTTCTTCAGGGTCAAATTTGATTTTTCTACTTGCAGCTTGAAGTTGTAACAAATATTTACCAGGTTTTCACATTCCTCACACACAAATGCTGGAAGACCATCACCTGGCTGGATCTGAAAAACATTAACACAATACAAATACTGAAATAACATGTACAGCCATCTCACTCTTTCTTCCTTGCACTCACACGTACTCACCAACATGCACTTAGTCACACATTCCTTTTATTAAAATGCACATAAATTATTTTGAGATACTCTATATATTTTACACCACCACATCAGTTTGGGATTGTAATAGTAAAAAAATGAAAATGCAAAGAAAATCTGCTATTCAGATATCTCAGCATGTTAATTCAAGCAGAAATACTTTGGACTTGCATTTCAAAAGTATCAGTTAACGTGACTGAGGTTTTTTCAGAGTTCTCTCATGACAGGCTAGTACATTAGAATAAGCCATGAATGCTTACTTTCCAGTTGTTTCCTACATGATAACATTAACAACTGAAATCATGAATAATACATCAGATTCCCATTACAGGCACATTATATATTTGAAAGTACAGATCTGACAAAAACATATACAGGAGAGAATTAACTATATATACACATCTCTCCTCTGTCCATGTTTTCATTAACATTGACTTCAGAGTGAATATTGTCTTCCATAGAAATTTCTGAATTTCCAGTCTCACTCATTGCATGCCTTTTTATACTAGAACTTTACTAACACTTCATATATTTCCATAAAACTGACCTTAAGAACAGGTAAAAATGTTCTTATTCTTGTCAATAAACTACTCTCTTCCTTCAGTGTTGTTGATGGTTTCTTTATTTCCTCCAAACAAAGTCTGCAGATTTCACGCAAGTTCAAAGCCATGATCTGATAATGTTCAACAGCTGAAATCAAATTAATGTAATGAAAATTGCTTCACAATTACACAGCTCCCATCCATTCAACCTGCTACTGTTTACACTTGAAAGACTGGATTGGTTTAATCAGGCTTGGGTTAGGAACTGTGGGTTTCATAGAAAGCATAGAATTTCCTGGTTAGTGACTATTTGCAAGACTGTTCTATGGAGTTTGTCAGGTGCTCACTGTATTTCACTTGCCATTACTGAAAATGGAAAGAAAGTGCAGCATAGTATAAGGGATATCTTCTTATGCACTGTCAAATATATGCTTAAAATACTCTATCCATGTGCCAACTTTCTCTGTACAAAAAGAAACAATACTTTGCTTCCCTGTATTAAAATCTTGTACAAGCAGTGAATGGGCAGGAAAATAGTGTTGTACTGTACAATGTGCTTGTACATTGCAAGAGAGAGTTAATAAAGTCATGATTAGGTGTCAGACAAGACAGCCTTAAAATGTCAACTGTAGCTTGTATGACAGCATTCACCTACAAACAACAATAATTAGAATTCATTTAGAGAAAAGAGCACTGCAGCCATCAGATCCATATATTGTATGTCAGTTGGAACTGATATGTTTAGATACAGCCATGACCCCTTAAAAGTAAAGATTTTGCCAATACTGGCACAAAGTATACAGATGTCTGGCATCACTTGCCTGATAACAGTTTGACAGCCTGTAAAGGGTGAAACTGACTTTCCTTCAGTAGACTGAGATTTCAAGTTGTCATGTTAGTGAGTATGCAGAGGACTGTCCTTTAGAATGTTGCACCATGTAGTCTAAAGAAATTTACCAGAATTTCAGACATGCTTACTGCTTCCATCACCACTGCCTTCATGAAGGAAGCAGTAAACACCTATGAAACATCAGTGAGTTTCTAAAAGACTGCGTGGTGCAACATGCCAAAATCTTCTTCCTTCAGTGGAGCTCTAGATTCACTGCATTGCAACTGATATGTGAACTGATCAGAAAGAGATTTTTCATTGATGACATCAACTGCTGTTGTCTGCCACAGAAATTTATAATCAGGATCTGCAGATACAGAAATGGAAAAGAGACTAGGTGTTAAATTGGGAGTGGACTAGACTGGAATGTGAACTCGCACATGGCAAAACTGGCTGTGTGTGAAATGTACTGTAAATTGTGTAAAGAAAATGTTTCCACATAACTACCGCAGCGAGTGGCCCAGTCGGGCCACTACGAACGTCGTGTCTGCACTGAGTCTATTAAAACTCCATACAAAATACAGTCTGCAGCTTGTGGTGGCTGTGGTTAGTGGCTCCATTTGTGCCCGGCCTAAATGACAAATGTGTGTGCATCCTCTGTGGAGATGAGTGTGACCAATATTGACACCAGTACCTCATGAACTGTAGCAAGAATACCAAATCACTAACAGGATTCTGCAAAGAGAATTGATGCACACTGTGCATGTTCCCCTTGTTACTAAGAATTCATGCACATGTTACTGGGTTGAGTTTGTCTACAATTTGTAACATGACATGACTACATTGCAAAATTATTTTACATATACCTATGTACACATTACACAATACACTTGCTCTTGAATCAATGAAAGAGGTTTTCTAAGAATGAAAGTCAAGTTCTTTTAATAGTCTACACAACACATGTTGAGTTCAAGACATTGTTCAAAACAAGATAAAGATTTTAACCTAAAAGACGTTAGAGTAACCTTACCCTAATGGCAATACAATTAAGTGAACTGTGCACTAGATATTTGTCTCATTTCACAAAGTTTTTCTTGTCTCGTGCCTATAACAAGTTAAATGTTTCGTCATAACCGATCGTATAAATCTTTGTTTATACAGAAGAGGAACACAAAACGCTTCTCGAACGCAGAAAACTCGATTCTACAACATAGTATGCCCTGACAATTCACCTTTTGTGAACAATGTTTGAAACGGACTAATTATTCACCGAGGAAACGTTGTATGTAAAAGAAGTCATTGTTTTAAACACTGTGTTATTGTTCAGGGATAGTTATTAACCCATTAAAGCACAGTGGTACCTACATTTGCCACATGTTTGACAATAACGGACTCTTTTCATTTTTCACATTGAATGTATTCCCGTGTTTTGTAGATTCTAAGAATTAAAAGCGATGATTTCCGTAGACAGCATTAACCAGTTGGTCTTTGGAATGGTGACACATTGTGTTTTCTTAGAGGTAAGATTTATTTTTAAACAATATTTAGAGATATTACGGATACGGTTCCATTCTTACTGGCATTTCCTTCGTAACGGTGTGTCAACGTGGTTTTAGCGATGTTTCGTTCATGTCTTCCGTCTTGTAATCTCCATCTGTTGACATGCTTCATTCATTTTTCTTTCGTATAATTATGGTTCTTATAAACGTGAAGTATTTTTCGTTGTGCATACACATTAAATCTCTCTATTCCACTGAATCTAATCCGTTAACTTTCAACTGAAAACTTATTGTATTGCCATATTTTATTGGAATTTTATTGTGTCTTGAGCCTCCAGAAATATGTTGTCTTTTTATCATAGTTGATTTTGTGGAGACCAGTGGAAAATATAGAAATCTCTTTTGAAATGTGGAGACTGGATGAGTAGATTTTATGAAGTAGTTGGTAGATTTTTCTTCAATTTATGGAACTCTGGCTGAAACACTTATTTCTGTTTCAGTACATTTGAAGAGTCAGAAGTACATCACAACTAAATGGTTGAATAATGGCATATATTGAAAAGGGCCAGAATTTTGTAGAAGTGACATTCACAACAAACATTAAGGAAGAGAATCCCATTGACATAACCAAAGACACTAGTGATGCTGTGGTATGTTCTGACCTTTACATTGCTTTATATTTAATATCACATGTAACATATCATCTCTTATCCAAAAAACTCGGTTTGGCCTATTTGATAGTGTTTAGCTGTTCTCAAGATGTGTGCAATAAATATGTATTTCTTTGTAGGTCCTAATACACAATTTAAAAAAAACTGGATACTGAACTGAGAGTACAAGTACACATGGCAGTAAAATTCAGAATAATTAAGTACAGTGAATTTTAGATATTTTATTCTTTCTCAATTGATTTCATTTTCATGTAAAATGAAGGTGCAGTTTATTTTCAGTGTGATTCATCACTTCCAGTCCCATGGGAAAACTTTGAATTTGTGTCTGTGAAGGAAGAAATTATTGATGAATTCCTGACAGATGAGCATTGCCTGCAGCAGAAACGTGCAGATAAATTAGAGTGAGTAAAATATGATTTATAAATTAACTTAGATTTGTAAAATGAGTTGTTCATCAGTCATTCAGATGATATGTACAGAGTTACAAGTAGTCCTTGGTTAATTTAAGGGACAGAGTAAAACATGTTGTTACCAAAACTGAGGTATAAAGACATATTTTTCTCATATTATATGTCCTTGTTCTAATTTATTCCTTTTATCTTGTTTGTTGCAGCATATGTATAGAAGAATGTACTATTTCTAGTGAGAATGACATTTTCTGTTCTCAACCATTTTCTCAAAATGAAGTTCAAGACACTCATAGAAAGTTTATTATCTCATCTGAGAAAGTGTCAGTGCTCATCACACAGAAAGAAGTTGAACAGAAGAGTTCAGACATCCATGTAAGTACTTAATATTTCTGAGGAATTTGTTTATTTAATGAGTATGCATCTATATAATAGAAAAGGGTAGGTTTGTGATAATTTTTAAAATTGCTATTTGCACTGTGGTTATAATCACTGTCATAGTAATGCTATTAAGGGATTTTGGGACTCATGGAATAATACTATTAATGACAGTGTATGTTTACTACTTTTGACTTGCCTATTATTCCTGATGAGTAATTGTTTAGTTTTTTATATTATATGGACTTGTAGGTAGATACCAACATTTCAGGGTAGCATGCTGCTTTCTTCTTCTGACCAGAAGACCAACATTTACATTGCTTTTTGAAAGTTTGTTCTTGCTATTCAGAATATCTTAAGTTGTGAATCTAGTGATAGAGATTTGTGGGTACTCAGATGTATTTCTTAGATTCTAGTAAGGAGGATGTGAAACAAATCTTAAAAAATTAATATTTCTTGAATTAACTTACTGTAAATACCATTTCAGATGAAGTCATGTGATACTACATTTTGTTAGTTTTATATGATTTCAATAATTTGACAATGTTTTGTTTAAGTTAATGTTTTTATTTCATTCTTTTTTAGTTCATGGACCACATCTTCAGCACCAGACTCATTTTTATCTTCTATTTTCAATGCACATGTGTGTTCTTAATTTTATCAGCAGTTACTTAGTAGGAGGATGGTTCCTTATGGTATGTTTTTTTTCTCATTCATTTCAAATCTGAATTAATTAATGACTGTAAAGTGGGCTAATATAAATATGTTAGAATGTTACACAACATGGTTCATAGTGGTAACAAGCATGACTATATCCACAATTTATAATTTGTTTGGCAGCAGATGTGTTAGGATCTACATCTCCTTCGAGATAGAATGACAGAAATGTTTCATTTTTCATTGTTTACTCAGAGAAATTGAACCTGTTAATAATGACTTCTTGCACAATATTCTACAGATATAACTTTACACCTATTTACTAAATAACTTGAAGGAACAGAGTCCTTACTGAGAAACTGAAAGCCATTCAGTTAGTTAAGGAATTCTCTGTCTTTTATGGAACATAAGAACCTGCTACGGAATTACTAGTCCCCTGAGCACTTGCGCACACACACACACACAATATACACTCTTAATAATCTGATAAGGGTACTTCTAAGGAACTGAATACCAGTGTTTCCTCTCTAGCATACCGTAGTGAACACAGTACAGGCTGATCCTAAGGAAAATGTGACCTCAACAGACCCTTCAGTAAGTATTTTAAAATGAATCCACTGGTTTCTTAGAGGTACATTAAAATTGAAACGTAGGTAGAAACGTTTCTTTAAGTTGGAATGAACATACCAGTATCTCAACATTATATTTTACACTGCATACAGGTATAAATCATTCTTATTGCATTTTGTAAAATATGAATCGTAAGGAAAAATGTTTCAGATGTCATGAAATCTTTGGTTCATGTCATGTATGCATTGCACCATGTGCCCTGCCAGAAATTAAAACAGGAAATTTTGATTTATGCTTCAATAATGTAAAGGTTGTATTGCATTGATGCAAATTAAAATTAAATGTGATAATATTTACTGTGGAAGTCATTACCAAAATTGAATTAAAATCTGTCATATGCTTTTCCTGTTGAAATGTGAATGGATACATTCCCAGATGCTATCTCATTCTGTTCTTGTTAAGTTTGGATATAATCCATGTTCTGAGTAATGTTAACCCTGCAAGCTACCATTGTATGTTCTCATGTATCACCCATTTGGTTCCTTTACTTTCATCTTTCTTTTATTTCTGAAGGTTCATTTTACAACCTTCAAATCAAGCATAAGTAGGGCGAAAGTGGCATTGTCTGACCTTAATGTGATTTTTGGGTTAAATATAAATCTATAGACAAAAATATGCCATATTATAATAGTGGAAATATAAGAAAGCTTTTTGAAGAATGATTGCTACTTTATATTTCTGATGAATGTAAGATTGTTATTTTGTTGTATTTTAATTATATATTTAGTTTTCCTTTCTCATATATGCCACAAAGATGGGTAGGAGAACAAAAATCCCATCAGCATTCAGTGAATTTTCATTTAATATGATTGAGGGTGATGGGGACACAAATATATTTTCATACACAACTTTCTTTTGAAATGAGCTGGTGTAGCTCATTTAGTATAAGGACTGGCTATAGACTGGAAGACTGGGGTTTGTTTCCTGATGGTGGCAGAGGACTTTTCCTCCATCCTCTGCATTCAGACTGGTTCTGGGGCCCACCCAGTCTCCTATCCTGTGGGTACTTGGGTCCTATCACAGAGGTAAAGCACAGCAGGGGCATGACACTGACATACCTCCTCTTCCCCAAAGTGCCTGCATAGCATATAGTGGGACAACTTTTTTTTTCAGTGTTGAAATATAGTGTTGGTATTAATACTACTAATTATATGTCTAAACTATTTTATGTTATGCTTTTCAGATCAAATTCACTGCATCTCAAGTAAATTATTCTTTACATTGCAAAAATAAATACCATTCTCATGGATATATTAATACTTCCTCTGAAGATGGGTATGTCAGGCATGGTGAAGGAAGTGGTTTTGAAATTCAGGCAGATGCTCAGAAACAGATGTCTTTTATAAACAAAACATATGCTTATACTGAAAATGTTAACTACATCAAAAGTTACAGATGTCCAGTATGCTGTAAAACATTTGCATTACAGTCCAACATGAAGAAACATAAACAAGTACACAGTGGGGTGAAACCATACCATTGCTCTCAGTGCATGCAGTGTTTCACACGAAAGGCTGATTTGGAAAGACATAAGGGAGTGCATACTAATGACAGACCATATCATTGCACTGTGTGTAGGAAATCCTTCAAGTATAAATATGGCCTTTCAATGCATTTCAAATTGCATAAAGGAGAAGGTCACGACTGCCTTGTGTGCAAAAAATCATTCAGTACTCGACATATTTTAGAACGTCATAAGAAAACCCACGCAGAACAAAAGATTTTTCAGTGTTCGTTGTGTAAAGCTGTATTCAATGAAAGAAATTGCCTTACTAAACATTCAAGGATTCACACGAATGAACGCCCACGACCTTATGACTGTCATCTTTGTAAAAAGAAGTTTATCACTCGTCATGATTTGGAACGACATTGTAGAACTCATACTGGAGAAAAACCCTATCAGTGTGCAACATGTGAGAAAGCATTCAGTGATCGTGGTGATCTTACTAGGCATTTAGTTGTTCATTCAGGTGAGAAACGATACATATGCACAATTTGTAAAAAGGCCTTTACTATGCAAAGTTCATTAAAAACTCATGCCAGAGTTCATTCCGGTGATAAACCATACTCCTGTATAATATGTAAGAAGACATTCTCCCAGAAAGCAAATGTTGCAAGACACATGAAAACTCATGGGATTGGAAGTGTTCAGTAGATAGAAATATTTTTTTACAAAAGTTGAGAGTGGTTGTGTTTTGTATTTAACTATTCAGATTTGGTTTAAAACGTTTTTGTCTTTGGAAAATTTGGATTAGGCTTGCTGAAAATCCCTATCATGTGTCTAAGAGTCCAAGATGCATGAATACTGGTTACTCATATATCTTCTCCCTATTCAGGTTGGATGGATGTTTCAGATGTTAATTTAAAAAGAGGCAGAGATGGATACGAAACTTATAGATTAAATACTGTTTGTATGCTTTTATTATGTTCAAATTGTGCATGTTGCTGACACAAAAGCAACCTTAAAAATGGCACTTAACCCTAACCATATTGATTTGCTGTATGGTGCCAACATTGGTAAGAGTTGCTGATGCTGACATGTGCAGCATCTCAACTCATTCTTGCTCATATCCCTCTGCTGTCACTCAGAATAAAAGGCTATTTTCTTGCTCTTAGTGTATTCTTGTTTCAAAACTTGTTTCTTTTATTGATATAAAAATATGAAGAAGAGTTCACTAGTTTTTTCCTGTTCAGAGTCTTGTTTGTAAATGTTTCTTCAGGGTAGCAACAATGCACTGTAGTCAAAACAATGACCTTCAACTTGGTATACGATAAATGGAAGTCTGTGCTTGATTATAAACCCAGATTTTATCTTTCTAAAAGTGCTTCACTTTGCTGCTTGGAGTAACAGCCTTTTATGACATACACAGTTCTTATGGCAGTGGTGTCACCGTTTATTTTGTGCTGCTATTTCGAAGCTTTCCATAATCTCATTATGACATACTACCTGGAGAACCATGTTGAAATATGATTTGCAAAGTTTTACTGAAGTATTATATTTATGGGGTCTAAATATTTAAATGTTCCCAGAATGCACAGTAAGCTTCCTTGCAAATGTCCTGTCTCATCAAAGGGTAAATTTTCATTTTGGTATTTTAGCAGGATTTATATCTAATTTATATATGACTGCAAAAAAGTAAACAGTTACTAATGAAGTGGAGTGAAGATTTTAATACATGCACATTTTTATGCTTTTTGTTCTTAATCTAACTGTACAGCTTACGTATGATGCTGCTCAAAGAATTTCAGTACATGGTAAGCCTAGCAATAAATTTGTGATGTTCTTTTCCTTGTGTACTGATTAGGATTGAGCCTCTCGAGACCCCATTTTAAGACTCAAAGCTGATCTAACACTCTCTGCTCTGGTCTTCCATCTAGGTCTATAATAATATGTTTTCTTGAGAAATCCATTCTCAGTAGACAGTCTCTCTATTGTAGTATATTTCAGTTTCTCCATTGTGCTGGTTTCCCCAAGTTTATTTCTGTTGGGATCCTTGTTAGTCAAATTATTTCCAGTGATTGCAACTAACTCCACCAATCAGCATAAAACTTGCCACTTACTGCCTACTCCGTGTAGGGCCTCCAGAACTCGCCCCTCTACACATCCTGAAGATGGAAACTGATGTGTTTGTCGAAGCGTTAGTTAATACTCATCATTCGTTGTGGCTTACACCAGAACGTTAAAGTGGTACAATGAACTCTAGCTGCGAGAACCAATGGACAAGTGCACTGTGTCAGCATTATAACAACTACATTTGGCGATTTTTCTGGCAATGTTGGCGTTATCTGGGATTCATTGTCGCTGACGAATTCACTTGCCTGGAAGATGGCTAGTGACTTCGCTTGTCCAATTGCTAAGTAGCCTGATAATTTTCTTACACGTGCTTAAGTTTTATTTTTAAAATGCGACAATATTTACTTCTTGCAGGCGGTTTATTTTGTGGTGCTCTTCTTCATCTTTCCCTTCACATTCCAAAATACGTGATTCTTCTAAAGAGTATTTTAAAGTCGTGTCACGTTTTATACGCATGTTTTCCGTCTTCAATGCACAGAAGAAAATGCTTAAACAGCGAATTTACAACCTCCGAGTATGTTCGTTGGCGAGTATTGATGTGAAATTTTACTTCTCTAGATAGTGTGTAGGCGAAACAAATTTTTGGCGAATTTACTCGCTAGGATTGAATTCATCGGCGAGAAGCGTGTAAAATGTTTATCCACTAAGCTGTGCTGTTGCAATACAGTTACTACGGTATTATGTATGTTTTTATAATTTGTAATCAAGGCATGTATTCTTCAAAGGAAACTTAGTAGTTTGTTTCAATTGAAAATGGATGAGGTACTTATGCCACTAATTAAGGAAGAGCCAAATTCGGAAGATGAAGCGGACCCGTTATCTCCAAATACAAGTGCACGTAACATGAAGGTAGGTTATGTACAGAAATTATTTCGGCTTTACATAATATGAAAATATTTTGTACTTTAATACGATGTTCCAAGTATTTCCATCCACAGTTTTAGTTTCAGTTCCCTGAAGGTTATAATTAATGTCAATAATTATGTTAGTAAGGTTACTTGGTTCGATGGTATTTAACAATTATTGCCCAGAAGTTTATTGTGTAATGACTACATTCAAAGTTACTGTGGATTGATTGTATAGAATATAAAATTAAGTGTAAGTCAAGTATATAAATTTTTATAACCGAATGTAACATTGTTAAGCCATGCCTGGTATCAGTTTATTGTGTCCCCATTCTGTACTGTGTGATGTGTTATTAATTGTGGTAATGTATGTTTTTGTACACTGACTTCTACCACATCATGATCAGGGATCCATAAAAGTTATGTAATGTTCTTTTCTATTTTCTAGATATAAATATTCTGTTGCTACTACTCTTGTTTTCAAAGCGAAAATTAAGTTGTACACGTAGAACTCCAGTTTATTTATTTTGTCATAACATGTCAGTTGTTACTTGCTTTATATGTTTTAAGGGGATTAATAACATAGGAAATTTGTTTTATTTGAATGATACAATATGGTTTTATCCTGTTCTTAGTTTGGTCATGAATAAGATTTTCATCATTATTGTTTCCTGTCACCCATATCTTCTGTGCCTTTAAGTATATAGTGATTATTATTTCAGTATTGTTGACAGATCATTGAAGAAACTAATTATATTTTATATATGCTGTTGTAACCTGGCATCCGACATACAGTGATCCTTTGGCAGCAGTTCTTGATGTGTTGAGTTTTAACTTTTCTTTCCATTGCCTGAACACATTGTTATAATTAAATATCTTTTGTATTATCTTAACATTTTATTTATACAGGCATCAAATGATTATCTTAGTTACTACTACAGAACCTTATGTTACTATTCAGGAAGAAGATGGTGATCATGCCTATATCACGCCTGTGCCAAATATCGTGGAGGATTCTGTGAATAATGAAGTGAACACTTTTGAGGTGAAGGAGGAAATATCCATTGATGAACATGAAATATGCCTTCAGAACATAGACACTGTTATGTAAGGAATACCTTTCCTCGTGCAGATATTTATCCCCCACATTTAACTTTTATCTTTCTTTTAGAAATGCTGTACCTTTTACCTGACACATTGAAAGTAAATTAGTTTCCCATGAATTTTGATGTTCTACCTGCAGGCCCCAGTTAATTTTATGATCTTCTGTTTATTATGATTAGAAAATATGTGATTTTTGATCACTTTGAATTGCTTTTTGTCGTCTGATACTCTTCTTTTGGAAATAAATGTTACGTATGCATCTTGAACATTTAGGATGTAAAATTCTTTGTATATTTTTAATGACAAGTATGATATCCCTGTACTAATAGTATATAATAATTTATTATGGGTGCTTTCAGGTCTGATGAGAGAGTCTGTCTCCAAGAACCAACATTTGATAACCCGGAAGTAATACATGAAACATATATGGACCAGCAACATACACATGTTAGAAAACGTTTTACACACACTTGTGATGAATGTGGAAAAGGATTCATTACACCCAGCAAACTAAAAAGACATTCATTAGTCCATACAGGGGAGAAGCCCCATATGTGTGAATTGTGCATGGGAAGATTCAAAAGTACAGACCATTTGAAGAGACACTCTATTATTCACAGTGAGGAAAAAGCTTACGATTGCACAGAGTGTAATAAGCGATTTACCAGGTTAGATCGTCTGAAGGCACATTCCTTGGTTCACTTTGGAAATAAACCCTATGTATGTAATGAATGTGGCAAAAGTTTTATTAACCGAGGTACACTGAGAAGGCATACATTAGTTCATACGGGGGAAAAGCCACTTGTGTGCAATATATGCAGCAAGAGATTTAGTCATCGCACCACTCTAGAAAGACACAGGTTTACACATACAGGAGAGAAACCATATGTTTGTAAAGTATGTGGTGTAGGATTTGTTAGATTGGATTATTTAAAAACTCATACTGCTTCACATAGTGGTGAGAAATCATATGTTTGCAAAATATGCTCCAAAGGATTTACATCATGTGGTGTTTTGAAAAAACATACAATGATACATACAGGTGTGAAGTCATACAAGTGTTCCCAGTGTTGTAAAGGATTTTTTCAAAAATTTAACTTGATCCGCCACTTACAGTCACACACAGGACAGAATTCTGAGAAAATTGTAGATTGACTATTTTGACAAAATATTTGTAAACAGATATTTACACTGACAAATTTTCATCATATTGATATAATTTATTCTTTATTGGTTTTTGTATTGATTTTAGAACTTGGAAATTTCATGCTGCTGTATGAAAGAACATATATTCTATTTTAGGTTCAGGTTTATGTTGAACTAATTTGTGTTGTTAATTAATTCCTTGTGAACTAGTAATAGTTTAATATTTGAATTTTCAAAACTTTTATACCTTCTTCCAATAACTGTTATTGTTTACATATTGTCTTCTGATGTTTCCAGAAACATGAGTCATTTATTAAGGCTTCCCATACTCAAGCTGCCAAGTGCAAATATTTTATTGTTGTGTATGATCTTTTTAATAATATTATTCCTAATGTGACATGATCACCATTTGTACCATTCCTGACTACAATTTTGAGAGAGGCAAATGTGTCAGTCCCTATTATGGTAGGCTTTTAAAGGTTATTTTTGGAATTCTCTTATTAGTCTTAAGTGAATGAAAGTTTTTTATGCTGTTGTCACATCTTATTTACTAGTTTTTAACTAAATTTGAAGAAATAAACTAATTGCATATTGTTTTACTGTATTAAGCAAGATAGAAGAGTAGATTGGCATTGACTACTAAGTGTCAGGTCATGGACAAAAGATTTTAAAAAGAGGCAATAAATTAAAATTCAAATGTATTTTAGGTTTTATTTTAATATATTTATAGTGTGTACTATAAAATGTGTAAGGTAATGTTGTGTATATTAGAAAAAGCCAACCAATGAAGGATTGATGATTGAGGCCAAGGGTGGTACTATCTGTTTATGCCCACTTGTTTGGTCAGTCAAGAAGTACTATTGCATGAGGAAGTGGTCTTTTATACAGCATCATGTCTAAAAGGTCAGTATGAAACAGTATGTTGATGCATGCCTACCCAGATAACATTGAAGTTGTTTAGTAAGATTAGGTTAATTTTTCTCCTTTATATTTTGTGGCATTAGTATCATATTGTGTGTAGGATGCAGTGGTGAATCAAGACCATATATGGTTGTTAATTATGTAGATATTTAAAATTTAGAGGTTAATTTGTACACTTCATGAGAAGGTTAAATATAGGTTTTAGAAGTCCCCTGTTCTTTGAGTAATATGTTCATCTGTACCTACAACCAAGGAAGCAATTTTCTATTATTAATATATAATTTGTATAAAAATTTACACAGAAATGAGTTCAGTTCCAGATGTAGGATTTGTGATTTTCATGGTGGTGAGTCTGAAGATGTCTATCTTCTGGGTTGTGCTGTGAGTCTGGTAGAAGTTTATCGACATTTCAGAGGTTCTTATTTAAAAATTATGACCTTTGGTTAAATTTTTAGTACTCGCTATCATGTGATACTTTAGAAAGTCTTGGTTAATTTCTAACAAATCTGAACTTTGAAAGAAATATGGTGTGTCCCATGAACATTAAAATCATGCCTTTGTATTTATTCATTGTATATTCATATGGGGACTTTCGGTTTTAGTTCTTGCAAAACTATTTCTACATATGCTGCATTTTTGCAGCTTCTATTTATAATGGTTGTTAATAGAATGCCTAAACTCCCTTCAACAAATTGAACATAGATAAATGTTTAAATTACGCATATGTCGAAAATGTTTTTTTTGTGTAAACACATGATGCAGATTTTTTTGCTTTGAGCCTTTTTTCAATACCACTTTCATGTCTTCTTTCACTCCTGCTTGATGTAGTGAATATTCAGTTTTCCTAAACATGAAATTTAAACGTTTAAAAACGTGCATTTATTAATGGATGTGTATACAATAAATGAAATTTAAAGGTGTCCATGTTCAGCATATGTTTCGTGCCTTCATACTGACTTTAATTTTTCAAGCTTTATTATTTTGCACGTCTGTTGCTGTTCGTATCGAGACAATAGAAGATGAAAAGTTGATTACGAATTGTGGAAAAATTATTATAGTCTACATCTATGTGCGGTGGCGGCGGAGCGAAGAAAAATACATGTGAGGCATTTTAGGTCTTGTAAGTTAGAATTTCAACAAGATGAAAACTGTTCATTGTTTGCAGCCTTCCGCAAATTTTATGTTAATGTTACAGAGGTCGTGCATAGTTCACATCTAAATTATCATAAATGGGTAAAACAAGTCAATACACTAAAATAACACTTGTAAAGACCCTGCGGTTTTGATACCAGATTTTGGATCTTCCGATATGTCATGTCAGTAATCGGGCGTATGTGATATTTGCGAGTTACGCTGCGGTTAGACGATGGAGCAATGAATCCGCGTTAGTTATGTACTATGCAGTGTAATAGAATGTGGTAAAGCAATTGCATTTATCGGGCGTATTTCATTTGCCAAGTATCATAATATTAGATGAGTGTAGCAATGAATGCGTTTTCGGTGTATACTAAACATTAGATTGTGTTAAGGTAATGGACTTATATTAAAGTTCACGAAGTTTCAGATTTTCCTACTTCTGGGCTTCAATAGGCACTGGTAAGTGTGCATTGTTATCCCGTAACCTTTTCAGCGTTCTTTTTTCTGGAAAATAGATAATTCATTTTATCCCTTCTTTAAAAATATGTAACGTCTATATATAAAGAAACGTCACAAAATTTAGAGCATGTCAGTTCGTATTCACATTATGGATATATTGAAAGCATTGAAAGCTAATACCTTAATTTAATAGTACATACGAATAATAGTTATTTCATAAATTGTAGGTGCATGAAGTAAGAAGCTAAATGATGTGGAAGTTCACTGTCTCAGGTGAAAATTTGCAATGGTTTTGCAGTATAAGAAAACTTGAAACAAAGTGCTGACATCAATCTGGCTTAGGAAAGATAGAATGTCAAAACTGGCTAGAGATAGTAAGAATTATTTCAGTCAGCTAGTAGATGTACACCACATTAAAATTAATATATACATTGATGCAATTACTTTATAACCTAATTCTTTTAAAGTTAAAATTACATTTGGCAGGTAGACAAGGTATAAATTGCCAGAATTGATCAATTTGTGGCTGAGTTGATTCAACCAGAGGTGAAACATTGCTCTGATATTTACAAAGTTATTAATTTTGTTTGGAATAAGGAAGAACTACCGTACCAGTCGGAAATGTCTAGTATTTCATCCCTTTATAAAGCAGGTGATAGAAATTACTGGATTGATTGTTGAGGTGTATCTTTGTTGTGTATCTCAGCCCTGTAGACCATAAGAGTGAAGTTTTTTCTTTGCTAAAGGACCATACATAATGTAAGTAAGGTACTGTATGGAGATGAATGATGAGCTTAATGATCTTTCTTGATCACACGGGAAGTTTTGAATGATATTTAAAATATACCCAAAGATGTGCCTCTGTTTACCTATTAGAGACAGCATATTTTAATGCTAATATTCATGTGATAACTCATAAATTAAAAGAATGGAGTAGAACTATGGGAGAACTTAATTTGTATCTGGCCATTGGAAAACCACTTTAATCTTGTGAACTAATCCTCTGTGACTAAATGACTGACAGAAGCATTTTTATTGCAAGCATGCTGAAAATCAATACATGTTTTGAGTCTTCAGAGCTTGTACTGTTGTTCTGTGAAGATCTTAGATGACATTTGTTGAGAAAATCTAAAATATTTTAATGACTGGTTGTGGCCTTGTGAGATTCTGGTGCTGAGAAAGCATATTCACTTTAGCAGCAGCTACCGTTGTTGCCAATGATTGTGTTAAGGGTCAGAAATGAATGGTACACAGATGCCAGAGAAGAGGTTGAATGAAACTGAATATTTATCAATAAATGAATTATTTATGATGTTCTGGGTGTTTGTGCATCATGTACACTCATTGGTGGATGCCAGCATTTCAGAGAAACATACTTTCCATCTTTAGGACTGAAGTGGTAGTGCTGGGAAGTGGAGGGATTTATGTAGGGTTAGAGGAGATAAGGATGAGGGAGTGGAGACATTATGTTTCTCCAAAGTGTTCGCATCAAGTAGCAAGTCTACAGGGCACTAAATCCATAAGATCATTATCATCATCATCATTGTTGTTGTGAAAACCTCAAATCTCACATAATGAATTGTTTGTTGTACAGTTCACTATGGATGAAGTTACAATAAAGGAAGAGCCATATTCGGATGGTGAGTTGGATCCACTACAAACAACCAGTGAAGCTGCTGTAGACATTGAGGTGAGTAATGAGTAATATATTTGGACATTTATGTATGCATTTACTTTTACCTGGCTTTGTTTAATTATGCACAGCTATTATATTCAGGATGCAAAGATTACACAAGTTTCACAAGTAGAAGTATTTTCTGTTTTTCTTACATTGGCAGTGTGTTTTAATTTTGACTCAATTAAGTCCAACAGACTGTTTGTGAAGTGTAAAAAACTGGATTTTGCATGCTATCTCAGTGGCGACACGTCTGATTTGTATTTGCGGGGCATCCAGTTCAAGTCATGTAAAAGTATTAATATACCTGACTGATGTTTTGCATTCCTTCAAACTAACAGTTGGATTGGTAATATGACCATTTCGGTCCCGTTGTTGACAGTTCACCTTTTATGTACTGTTTTTTCACTGGAAACTGTCATTGACACATCGTTGTTAAATAACCTGCTGCTGCTGATTATGATAAATGTAGAATGTCTTACAGAGTGTAGACCAAGTGGAATGCAGTATGCACTGTGTGGACAAGAGAGTAAAAACTTTTAGATTTAGAGCCAGTAGAGGAGATATGTGTACTATGTAAAGAAGACAGTAACAAATTATTCAGCTTGCATTCAATAGATGAAGGAAATTGGAACGGAAGGAGAGTGAGAATTTTAAAAACTTCTAAAATTACAGTTATTTTGTAATGCTATATAAGATATTTCTACCACTCTTGCTAAAAATTGTGATTTATAATAGCCAAGATAGTAGCAGGATGAGATTGAATCAGGTGCAGACACCAGCCAATTCTCATTTCCTTGCAAGTCTTTTGTTCATCAGGCTTCTTACAGGGAAAAATGCAGAGCAGCAAACTTGTTTGTTGAAGAGGACGAATAATTCATAGCAGATAAAGATAAATTATTCACAGTATAATGGTTTATTATGACAAGTAAAACACATGGAATTTCCAGTGATGATTCAGGAGGAAAAATGTTTCATTTTTGGCAGCCAGGCTACTCTCATGGTATACATACCCTTGTTTGCAGATGTCTTTCAAGTTGCTGTGCAGATTATAAGTTATTAGTAGGGGAGAGTGTTTTCAGGGTGGTATTTATCAAGACGTAATGTGTTCTGTGTTGATTAAATTTTCTGCTTAAACAGTAAATATACAAGTACTTGATGGCTTTCGTTCAACCAGAGGTTTGTATGAAGATGTAAAAAATATTGTTCTACTTGAATTATAAATGGCAGTTTATGAGTAATGGACTAATTCTAAGAGCACTGAGACAAGGAATGTGTGTGAATGTAAGAGAGAGTATCTGTGTATATATAACTATGTATCCTGTTAACACAGTGTGATGATGATTATTTATTTTGATGATAGCACTGATGAATCATTTACAACTAGCAATATCCACAAACTTTTAATTTTGAATACCCTCTTGTAACATTAAATATGTGTTTGTTTTTCAAATATATTAGTGTTTAGCTGCCATTGTTTTCCACTTGTAAATAGGAAGAAAATGTCTGTAAAGAAGAGCCAGCAGTATCTTCTGAATGTAATGAAAATTCCTTAGACATTTCTGCTGAAGATTTGAAAGAAGAGCCAGAATCTATTGTGGTTGAACCAAACGTGGATCTTGAAGAAAATGATGGAAACAGGTTTGAATTGTTGATTTGCAGTTAGGTAGATTGATAATTTGTGGTAAAACTGTGTAACTAGTTAAGGCTTCTCTTCTTTTATTGGTACTCCAATTCATGTACATGGTTCATGGACTTGAATGGTGAGAATTCAGCTAAAGATCCCATAATTTTTCTGGTAGTATAGCTTCTAGCTAAAGCATTCTCAGGTTCTACCATTGTCACAGCTTATACGTACATATGACTGTATTTGCAATTATTTTCATTCTCTTAAGAATCACTAAATAATTTCTCACTTTTTTGAGATGTTAGGTTTTCTTTACATCTCATTTAAACCTCAAAAGTTATTAAAACATTGTTACATAACTCATGAAAAATAATTAATAATCATATTTCTTCTGGTTAGTCTTTGTGCTCCTTTTTCATTGTATACTAACATTGTATTTTAATTTGTCATATATTTATATTTTGGCTCTTAAGCCCACTCTCCCCATTGGGCACAGGTCTCTTCTCTTTTGACTGTGGTAAATGGAATGTGAAACTGATGTCTCACCTTTATCTGCTGCTTAAGTTACCGCCTGAATTCCTTGATTGTGTGATTCTTATGCATAAGGCTCCTAATATAATCAATATTACAACTAACTGATGTGTCCTTCGTGGTTTAAATGTGGCATGACATTTGGTTTTATATTCAAGAAAGGTTGCAGATTTTTCTGTACTTGTTAACGGATGTCATTGTTAGTCTTGTGAGAGCTGTAATGCTGTGTGGACTTACAGGTAGGTACCAACATTCTGGAAGAACTACAGCCTTGAAGATGGAAGTACTATGTTCCTCTGAATCATTGATATCTATCTGCAAGTCCACATAGCTGTAAAACCCAGAAGACCAACATCAAAACCTTCACCACTGTGAGAACCTTAAATCTTATATTGTTAGTAGATGGTACATTCATTTTACTGACTTATAAACTCTTTCATGTATAGTGCTGTTGTGAATCATCGGAATGAAGGCTCGCCAGCAAGTGGAAGTGGTCTGGCATCAACAATTCAACACAGCCAAACAGTATGTGTGGACAGTAAAAATACCTATTTCATTTGTGGGGAATGTGGAAAAAGATTTAAAGTATTGAGCAAATTGACTGAACACTCTTTTCTTCATACGGGGGAAAAACCATATGTATGTGAAAAATGTAATAGAGGATTTCATTCCATGAAGACATTGAAGAAACATATTCTGATTCATGCTGGAGCCAGAGTCATTAGTTGTGATGTGTGTAATAAAATTTTTAATCATATTAGTGCTCTAAAAACACATGCTGTGGTACATACTGGTGAAAAACCATACATTTGTAATGTATGTGGTAAAGGTTTTACTTTTAATAGTAATCTAAAGAGGCATTATCTAACACACACAGGGGATAGACCATATGTTTGTAAAGTATGTAATAAGAGATTTACTGATATCACGACTTACAAAAGACATTCACAGATCCATACAGGTGAGACGCCATACATGTGCAAAGTGTGTAGCAAGGGGTTCAGGGACAGTAGTACTCTAAAGAGGCATTTTGTGACACATACAGGTGAGAAACCATATACTTGCAAACTATGCAGTAAGGCATTTACAGATTGCAGCAGTTTAAGAAGACATTCTTTGATCAGAAACTGTGTGAAGGGAAAGAAGCATTAATACATTCGATTATTCAATATGTATTCTATTTTAAATTATATTTTGTAAATTAATTATTTATGTGATTTTACCCAGATAGTAAACTGTAAACATATGAAGAAAGTTCATAATCAGTATCTAAACGAACCTTTGTGTAATAGTAATTATTTTGTGTGACATTGTGGGAAAACTGTTATGAGTTTAGTCTTTATCAGAACTGAAAGGCAAGTCCTTTCAGGCATTTTATGAAAGTTGTGATGCCTTAGTCCATTAATTACAAAAAAACTACAGTCATGCTTTGACTCAACTATTCAGTAAACATTCATATAAGAAGGATGAGGAATCTTTAATAAAACTGATTGTGTTTCAACCGTTATGCCTCTAGAATAATCTGAAGGTGCTAAAATATGGTAGTTAATTTGTCAGCACAAGAGGCTGTGAACATGTGGATAGAGGCAATGGAATTTTAAATTCACAAAAATCCATTCTTGGACTAAATGACAGGTTTAATCAAATTTTATTTTATGTTCTATTCAAGTCCTCTGATATCTATATAATGTGTGTGATTTATATTACATTAGTAATTTAGGTTGTTCTGGTGGTTATCAGAGTGCTGACCAGAGACCAACAAGCCCATTAGCACATTAACATACAAAGCACAACATAAAATTTCATTTACTGTCTCTAGTGTTTCTGATTTCCAAGGTCACAGTGAAGATTCTGAATTTAACAAACCAGCATTTTGCATTCTTTTCAATTTTTTTCATAATGGTTGGTCCCTGCTACTGTACCTTTAGATGTTATTGTAAAGTAGTTCAACATCTTCTGAAACATTATTTGTGTCTCTGGTGGCACTCCGCAGCTCACAATCACAAGTGAAAATTACCTCATGTCCTTTACAGTTTGATATGCTTTTCGTTTTGAAATCTCCGTCACTGACCCTGCTTTCCACAAGTTAATTGTTATTGTTCAGTTATGTATCAGCACAGAATTATCACTGTCATTGTTTGTATTCCATATGCTATGTTATGAATCACTTATAGTTAATCTTTCAGTCACTTGCTATAAAAACACTGCTGGTTCCTTCCTGTCCAGTGCTATCAACTCAGGGACTCTGTATAGTCTCAAGACAATCTTTCATTTGGTATATGAAAGCACACATTAAGAACAGAATTTTTCTCTTTCATGAAATGAATACGTAAATAAATAGTATCAATCCAGACTATAACAATGTAGCAATAGTAGTCAAGCTATTATAAATATATACTAGAGTTACAAAATGCCCTCATCTTTATTGTATTTATAGACCACACACAAATACAAAAGAATTGATTACAGTTCTGACATACATTGCTTTGGTTCCATTACACTTTGAAAGCATCTATAAGATAGGAGCATCACAAGACTTGACCAGATAGAATGCTTTATTAAAGAATGGTTGGATACTTCTTTTTCTGTTCCGTGATAACGATTGTAAAAATTTAAGGTACTTGTGGGTTATCGGGACACAAAACGGGGGAGTCAAATATCTGGAGTTGGATTAGCACGGAAAACTGTGCATGCGTATCAGTATACCCGTATACTCGGTTGTTGTTATCTCTTAGTTCGTTAAGTTATTTATTGCTGTTTTTGACCTCCGGAGACAGTTAGTAATAACTATTAACATCTCATGCATATACAAATAATATATAATAATTTGTCATTTATTGAAATAAAATATAATAACTTTCAAGTATATGTCATTTATCCACACACATTAACCTAACCTAACCTATTTTTAAAGCGATGTGTCCCGATAACCCACAAGTACCAAATTTAATATAAAGATCAGATTTTTGGCTTTTGAAGCATACTGACTGCATATGAAATATCTTAAAAATTTATCATGCAGAGAACACTGAAAGATAGCAGAAGAGACATCAAGATGTAATGCACTGAGTATGGTTGAGATGGCATGGCATTAAGAGGTTAAAATATAATAAATAAAATAAGTAAAATACTAACCTTTATCAGGCATGCATCACGGCTTACAAGCGCTCCAACTGGGCCATTCATCGCAGTATTATACTGTTAACCATTAAACATTGAGTCAAAGTCCAGGTGGTAGCCCTGTAATATGGGGTTTAAATCCCTTATTCCCATATAATAAAGGTTAAACCATGGTGTGTTCAAAGTGCAGTCTTAATTTTCCATGTTTATTGTACCTATGTTATTCCCATCTTGTTTAATTTATTCCTTTTTAATCTGATGTTAATACACAAATAAGACATAAGTATTTGTATTATGGTGTCATCTGTTGTTACACATCATGTATTTTGGCATCCATGTTTTTGTCTAACAATATTATTACTTTTGTAATGAAAAGTACTCGGCAAGGATCACCCTTTCTGTAATTTGTTTTTAAGATTTGTAGAATTGAAGGTGAAAATGGGCTACTATAATGATGCATAATGAAGTAGAATGATGGACGTGGAGATGTTGCAGTTTGTGAAATATAGGCTTTGGTTGAGAAGGTAGTTAAAAAAGAAATACAGATATATGTATGCAAGGCATTCATACTGCTGTGATTGTAATAACTGTAAAGTATTTTATGAGAACAAATGTTGAAATTTTGTAATAACTGTAAAGTATTTTATGAGAAAAAAATGTTGAAATTTGATTTCACACTCACATTTTCATAACAGTAACTCATAAATAACTCTTTGCTGGTGAGTTTGCTAATAGCTCTTGTGTCATGCTGATAAGGCATGGAAGAAATTAAATTTCAAAAGTTGTGAGCCTTTTGTATTCTAGTGTCTCAGGGCAATTTATTCAGTTTTATGTTAACACTGATGACATGACTTGTCATTAGAATGTATCATATAAGTAATTTGAAGTGATTTTGTATGCCTATTATTTAATATCCTGACCCAGACGTACCAGACTCTATTTTAGGAGCCTTGAATATTCACTGGTTTCCTATAATGAATTATTCTCAGGCTACAAGTTGTGTCAAGTGGTTGAAAGGTGAAAACACCATCATAAAATAAAAAATAATTTTGGTGCTGTTATGACCTTGTTTGGTAGCACAATATATGAAAATGTTTAAGAACTACAAGAAGAACAAAATTAAAAACATTTTAAAATGTGTGTTTAGCAGAAATTGGTAAGGGAATTAATTCATGTTGTGAATGGATCACAAAATAATAATTGGTTAAAGCTGGGTCACCTTCAATTGGGCCTATGAGTCAGTTGTGTTCTTAGAAGCAGTGGGATTATAAACAAACTGTTTTTTATGTAAGAATAATACAGAAGTCATTATAGTCTGTCAGTGAGCTTCGTAGTCCAAAATGAATAACCTGTGAAATGGTGTTTGATAAAAAAAAATGGGTAGTAATAAAAATGCTTCATGTGATAGTAGAAGTAATTGTGGTGGTAAAAATGAAGACAGCCTGTGCTTATTGTCCTTGAGAAAAATATTTTATCTTTTTCTTGTATGCTTCATTCAGCAAATTACTCCCACCACATCCCCACAGACTCGTTTTTAGCTACAAAACTGATAAAAACGTGGCCTCTAAAATCTCCAAGTTGCATTTATTTTTTTCAATTCTTAACCACAATTTCTATGATAAGCTGTGAAGACGGTGAAAACTGTCCTGGACACCAGTGGTTCCATTCACCTGCTGTCAGGATAGAGGAAATAATGTGAAAATTTCTGCCTTTTTTGTGTCCATAATGGCTATTGTACTTAATAGAAGATATTCAGCGTGTGTAATTGGTACAACGTGGTATCAAAACTTACATTGCTGTACTGAGACTTTAATGAATACGACAAAATATTTTTCACGTGAGCGATGTGCTTTTCGAAATTATTTTATTGCCAGTGATGCAAACGTTAAGCTCTTTAAGTCTACTAACGGGCATAGCTGAATAAAAATGTTTAAATGATTGTTCAGTCACGTACAATCACAGACCGTCGTCTTAAGTTCAGTTATAGATTTTGACCGTCGTCTTAATTTCAGTTATAGAATTTGGTGCATGAAAGAATACACGGAGATTACTGGTGCCACGGGAAATTCTCAAAGGAACGGTCGACCGGTATCCCAAACTACGACGTATGCTGCAGCTGACAGTTAAACATTCTCCTAGTTCGGTACGACAAGGATTCGTGGAATTCGGAGTACTGCTGTCGGTATTTTTTTAGCATGAAGTACATGAGTCGGCGCCGCGAAGAGTGTGATTTGTTGATCGACGATTTGCGACAGCATTGTCTTGCCGAATTGTTCTCTTTTTGGAGGAGTGTGCTGTTGATCGCGGCATTATTCGTATCCGAAATTATTTTGGTTCGTGGAGGGGGTGAGAAGATAATAGTCTTTACGCGATGTAAATCTAGAAAACTGGTGATTATTTGTGCAACGATCAGTTTTTAATTGGCCAAAATTTAATTGATGGACCTGACAACGCTGAATCGTATGTGTAACTTTCTGAACTCGGTGTGCCTGGTACAGGAACTGACAAACATAGAACAGGTTTGGTTTCAGTAAGAAAGTGCGCCAACACGAACTGTGACCGATTTCCTCAACGAAGCAGGCCTTCATTGATGAATTGCTCGAGGTTCAACATCGGCTTCACCACTACCATGGCAGCCACACAGTTCGTAAAAGATGAAGTGGAAGTATTGTGGTACAGCACGTTAAAGTCTTCTGTGATTGATGCCTTCACCTGGGTATCACCACGAAAAGATGTTACGAGGGACCTGTCCATGCATTGAGCTGTGTGCCAACCATGATGGTGCTCATATTGACCTGATGGATTCATAAAAGGTAAGGGTACAGTTACTTCTTAGTTTCTATACTTAGCAACATGAAAAGTATTCATTTAGAACTAATCATCTTTTCACTTTGGTCTTTGAATTACCCCCATCCATTCCTGGGTGATCGCATTGATACTTTTAAAGTTCACAAAGAAATTTATCTTCGTGGTTTGGGAGTAGGGTTTTATTTTGTACAAGAGGGAACACTTTACCTGTGAGAAACACATACAGCAGTTACTGGCTGGCAAGTCAAGATGGACTTCTTGCCAGATGCAGGGCAGACAAGGTTCCTGACCCCAGGCAGAGATGTGTATATTCACTTGTTTTCCAGAGAATTAAATCAAACCCAGAACTTTCAGAAATGAGAATAGATACCAAATTCTTTAGTCTGTTCTGGCTTGGGGACCTCTACCATGACCTGACCAGAGGAGTTACTTTACCAAAAATCACTGACAGGTACGAATCTAATGGTCCAGAGGAGTTACTTTACCAAAAATCACCGACAGGTACGAATCTGATGGCTATAGAATTTGGTGCATGAAAGAATACACGGAGATTACTGGTGCCACGGGAAATTCTCAAAGGAACGGTCGACCGGTATCCCAAACTACGACGTATGCTGTAAGTCGTACTCCCTCGATGAGCTGTGATCTTATGCCCCTACCATGAGGATGACAATCTGCGGTTCCCCACTCTACACCACGCAAACATAATAGGTCTACATGGCGTCTAGGGACCTGTGATTTTATATGGCTATCAGAGAGTTTGTGCTGCCTGGGACCCAACTGGGGCACATGACTAATGGTCTGGGGTCTGCACTGAGACTTGCGTATAGAAGAAGTGAGGAATTCGCACCAAAAACATGGGACAGGACGACAGAGATAGGAAAGATCTCTGCTGGTGAGACAGGAGTTTCGTAACCCTAATATGCCGTAAACTAAGAAATTCACGAACGTAGAAGAAGAATGATAAGGAGAAGTGGGACAAATAACTGTTGTGAAAAAACAGACATGGCAGATCCTGGCGAGCGTGAAGTGGTGATTATGTTGATGTGAGAGGTGTTCAGTTGAGAAGATGAAAGAGGTGCCAACAGATATGACAAGATGAGACATAAAAGTGGAAGAAGTTTAGGTGATGGAAAGTAAAACTTGAGAACCTCTTTGCATCCCCCAATCAGGATGCCTCGATGGGACCTGTCTGGAAAGGAGGATGAAGGGGGTGGGTGGTAAGGCAGTTGTTAAGTGTATGTGGGATATTTGTAACAAATGTTTTGAGACAATTTGATTTAGGATATGGTACTAACTTAAATATGTCATAAAAACTGTAGGCAAACATTTGAAAGTACTGGTAACTGTATCTACCATCTGCACCAACAATCAACAGTCTTAATTTTTCTCTGAGAATGTATTTATGGTTTTCATGTGATTCTTAGAAGAAACTGTGATTATTTCCATTAACAGCGTTAACCAACTGATCTTTGTATTGAGGAATGTTTTGTTTTTTTTAGTAAGAACTGAATCTTTGAATATTATTTACATGAGCTATGGCTTCGAAGGGTTATCTTGCTACTTGCAAGGGTAGATAACTGAGTACATTAAACATTTTTATAAGTTACAGTAAGACATAATAATTGACCTGTAGTCTGCACATGAGTAAACTCTTGTTGGCTGAACTCCTACATTTCAGTTTTAAAAAATGTATAAACTAGTTATAGTACCTTTAAACTACAGGCTTAGAGCTAATACATGTCAGTCTTTGGTTAGATCTGTGACACATTTTGGAGTTTTGTAAGATTTGAAACTTTAATGGTACACGAATGTTACAAAATTTTCTCAGGCTATCAGCCATGTATATTTTGAGTTAAAAACCAGTGTTTCGGAAAGTAGCTGTTTCGCCATTATTGGTGTCAGTATGAAGAATAACCAGAATCCACTGAAAGAATATCACTCAGTCTTAGCAGTGTGCCCTCCTTGGAGCATTATATGACTGGAGGATGGAGTCATGTTGTGTGTTAACTTCTTCCACTTTGGGTGTAGTTACAGTTGCTTAACCTGGAGCATGATCTTCTATCCTTTGCCTTGTATTTGCCTGTCATTGGTTTGTATATTTTGATGGCAGGGTTCCATGCTTGGCCAAGTTTGAACCTTCTTTTCAATTGATGTTATTTGGTACATATTGTATCTGTACATCCTCTCACTATCACCATATAGTTGTTGTTTTTTTTTATACTCAGGGATGGGCCTTTATAGGTTAGGTAACGGTAAACCGGAGTGAGGTGATGTTTAGGTGGGTCCTGGCTGTTAGTCATGAGGTCGTCTTAGGGATACGGGTATGCATTCAGTCGTGCTGCATTCGAAATAAGCCAGTAATTATTATTCTAAAAAACAACTTGAATCACTTTTCATCTCTTTTGTTCTGGTCATTCCTCGGATAAGTTGAATAGTAATTGGAAACTGATTATCCGCGCAGCGGCACTGAAGGGCGGACCACTTGTGTTAGGGAGGGGACCTAGCACGCCCAATCGTTGCGTCGCCTTCTTTCCCACCGGGTTGACGTGCGCCGACCAGGTAAGCCCGGTATCAAGGGTGACCCCAAGGTACCGCGCTGTTTTGACCAATTGTATCGGCTCTCCGAGAAACTGCACTGCTCTGGGCTTTAGGATACGCTTCGCGGATTTATAGAAGAGAACCGCGGTGCTCTTTGAGACGTTGATAGCAATTCTCCAGGCCCGGAGCCAGAGCTCCAGTCTACCGAGGTGGGCCTCCAGATAACAGACGAGAATCGTTGGACTAAGGGATGTGGCTACGAGAGCCGTGTCATCCGCGTACTGCGCTAACTCGACGTGGCGGGACGGTGTAGGTATGTCGTTGATATACAGACTGAAGAACACAGGGGAGACGAGTCCTCACTGAAAAAAATCCGGCCCGCATGGCACGACGTGTGGACGTGGCCGATTGGAAGGACGTTTGGAATGTCCGGCAAGAAAGGTAGGAGATGGTTTTCACCAGGTAGGACGGGAAGTTGAGGACGGTTAGCTTGTAGAGGAGGCCTTCTACCCAAACCGTGTCGAAGGCTTTGGCCACGTCCAGGAAGACCGCGCCGGTTAGCAGCCCACGTTCGTTTACCTCGTGTAGGACCCTAGTTAATAGGATCTTCTCACAGAGCTTGCCGACCGTGTCAAGAAGACTGACGGAGCCTTGCCAACCTTGAGTCCCTTGATGGCCTGAAGGACCTCCGAGGGACTGGTTAATTTCGGTTCATTTGCGGGGGCATACTCGTATGCTCGCATCGCCTTGTTAACCATGTCAATAACAGCCGGGTCCGACGGGTCGTCCGCCGGCTGAAACTGGACCTCAAGGTTGTCGGCCAGGGCTTCCACCTTTTAGGAGTCCGAGTCCTCCCGGCACTTGCAAGGAGGCGACGGAGTGGGGCCTCGCATCACCAGCTTTGTCATCTTTGTATACCAGGACCAAGTTGCAAGTGTTTTTAAGCGTCCCCAACGCTAAAAAAGGTTTTTTTTAAATGGGGCATTTTAATTTGTTTAATTCTAATTGATCAGCCAAATTGGAACTTTGTCTGCTTCTTGGTCGAACTAGTTCAAGTGAGAGCAATTCCTCTCCTATTGGCTAGCCACAGTTGGGCAGAAACAGGGTGTGAGGGTGGAATACAGCCTTCTGGAAACATCTAAGATGCCAAACAGTTTATGACCGGGGTGGTTAAACCAAAACACTCTCAATGGAAATTTCCAATAAGTTGGGTTGCCAGCCCATGTTCTTTGTGAAATATAAATTTTAAAAACTGATCTTCATAACTTAGATTATATCATGGAAACTTGCCACGGCATGGCCCACGGACTTGACCGGTTACAATATAAGCAGCTGTTTTGGCTAATACCTCGGTATCTTTGAACTTGAATTGATAGCCCCACACTATGTCAAACTTTTCAAGTTTCTTGGCATGACGTAATAATGACGTTTTGTGAAATTCTGGCTTGGTTGATAATAATCATCTGCATTCTTGCAAAACAAAATTTATTCTTTGCTCGCTTGAACCGACTGCAAAATTCTAGGGGTAAACACTAGGTACAGAATAGAAAACGTCTTGACATATGAGGATTTGTTGAAAGTTTTGGCTGCATGACAATAGTATTACATAAAGAATAAAATGTTATATTAGTTGTAAATACTGTAACAGAAATCTGTGAAAGACAAAATATGAAAATAATACATACACGTAATACAAATAAAATGACCACTGTAAAACATCACAATCACATACAAAAGCAACTGTAAGCACAGAAACTCACAGGAAATTAAAACTTAATCATAATTAAGTTTTACCATCTCATTGCCCAATGAGCTAGTCTTCATTAATTTCTCTACGGTTTCTTGTAAATCTCTAATAATTATGTAAGGGTCCACATGCACATTCTGCATCTGAAATGATAAAGCATAATATATTTTTTTTTGAAACACTGTTATCTCTTACAAACTATAAAATATTAAATATGAATGACTTGGTGAATTTGTACATATTAATAACAAAATATCTGCAGTTATCATTATGAAGTGACATCCACAGAAGGATCCAAACATGATTACATACCATATAGAGCTCCAAAGAGCTGACATCATTTGTGTGAGAGTTGCACTGTCCTCGTGTTCCAATACGAATAATTGCTGGGAGAGTTGTGATACTTGGGCGCATAACAGGAAATCCTAATCCTGTACTGAAACACATGCGTTCCAGCTTATGGTAGTATGTCTGTATGACATAGTAGAAAAGGCGAAACAGGTCTGTCCCTGGGTAAGTGCTTAAAATAATGATCTCGTGTTCCCTCACAGGAGTCTGAAAAGAAAAAAGATTTGGTGCTAAAATATTTACAACTTACTTCTTATAAATTTGTCACCTGATTTTTATCATTTGTCAAATTTAAAGATGCATCTAATTAGTATGAGCTTCAAAATGTAATAATATTACTGAATACATCCACGTAATTTGTAAATCTCTAGTGATGTTACTTAGATTTACTGACAGGTTCATTTTAAATACTTTTTATTAGTTATTTAAAATCAGCATTATTTATAATTTATAATTATTTGAAACCATTGACCTGAGACATTAAACTTCACTACATCTTCCAGTGCCATTTAGGTCTGTTGACGTAAATAATGAGACGCCAGACTTGCAGTCTAACAATGCACCATTCCATTAGAACAAAGAAGCTAATTAATGTGTTCTAAATAACATCTGGTAAATCCACACAGTTAGTGAAATTTTTAAAATATTTTATGCATATATTGTATTAAAATCTGCCATATCTTCTCATAAATTTACTGGTCCCTGATGACTCAATATTACATTAAACAGAACATCCATTCAGTTTAGAGGTTAAGCGAATATGATCTATGTAAGCAGGCACTGAAAATAAATAAATTCTTTGAATTACTTTGCAGGGCCAAACTACAGTAGTTGACCATTTGTAAAATACATTTTATTTCATTGTTACACAATGGGACTGTAGCTGAAGTGTCCTGTAAATAAAAGACAATCACGGCTTCAGAACTGAAATTTATCACAGAGTTGACAGTTATTAAATTATGACTTACCAATGGTGATATTGCAACTGCATCACCTAACATGACTGAAAGCCCAAGAGCATGATGTAACTCTATTAAGTCATTCCAGTATTCACTGTCATTTTCGTCTTTGTAACTGATAGCAGCTTTGTGCTGAATACCCATATGACTGAGGTACTGGGATGCCAAGAAACCATGGGCATGTGGATGAAACTGGCTTGCTCCCCCCTTTGGCAGTGTGTCATAGATCATCATTGGATAGCTGGAAGACAGATACGAGACAGTAAAGTGAAAGTGGTAATGTTGAACTTGTATCAACAGATTCTGGCAGTATGAGGTTCTAGCTTCTCATGATGGAGAAGATTGAAACGTTGGTTAACATCGACCAGACTACACAGCGCAACAACCCAGAAGACAGAAATCTACATTCTGGAGTTACGTACTATCTCCATCTTATGTCTTCTTTAAGAGTTTTCCTTGGAAATCAGATATGAACATTTCCACCTAATTTCAAGGATGATTTGGCCTCACACTTTCCTGCACAGCTGTGACCCCTGTTATTACCATAAATATCTGCACTGCACTGCGCTTTGGCAAGTTTCACCTGACAAAACTGTAAACTCTGAAAACAACATCTCTACTTATTTACTTTATTTAATTATGCTTTTTCAGTAGCTCAAATTTTGGTGTCAAATGAGAGGATGATAGGTAATTGGAATGGAAGTGGTCATGGCCTAATTTACGGTACTATCCTGGCATTTGCCTGGAAGGACTGAGGAAATAAAATACATCTCTAGGGTATTTATTCATGTAATCTTGCCTATTTGATCTGTGGTCTGCCATTATATATACTGTCACTATAATACAATAAAACTACAACTAAATATACACACGACTTTTTAATATAATGTGAGAATTCTTTTCAAATACAGCCACAGCAAAGTGGTGCTGATTTATTACGGGACATTTCAATGCTACGGTACAAACAAACCCATTAGTCTCAATTAGAAATGTCTAATGTAGTAACTTACCATGAATCCTTGTCAAGTGAATGTGCCTTCTTAAACCACTTCAGTGATGTGTTGAAAAGATCCAAAAACTCTTCTTCTGTGAGGTCTGTTGGATCGTGTTTCTTACTCAAGAATAAGCTATGCCACTTCTCAAGCTTGAAAGTGTTGGATGCACTGACAGAATATAGTCCCTCAACTCTGTTACAGAGAAAAAAATATGCCCTTATGTAACCTGAAGCAGTTCTTATGAACCAAATAATACTTGTTTACAACTTTCAGTATTCCATATCAGATTCAATCAGAATGCAGCATATGCTTTGCGAGATTTGCTTCTTGATGAGTATGTACCCCATGAAACATCTGCTTCAGTGGCTACTGATTATGATAAAATGTAGTGTAGTTCAGTTTAACATCAAAATATATCACATTCTTCAATATGTTCATAGTACAACAAACAGCTGAAGACCATTAGTCATTAGTATAATGCAGAATTATACGCTTTGAAATCTGTCTCAAGAAGTAAACCACAGTTCTGTTGCATGCAATTCTCGTAACACTGCAGAAATAAACTAACAAACCTTCCAAATATATCTTCAGCAGTTCTTGTTTTATACTGACAGAAATCACACATTTTCTTTGTCTGAACAGCCAGTCTCTTTACGTAATCTCGTATATCTTCATTTGTTTTTGAGGTTGGACGTTTTGAACGGAGAAGATTAAATACTGTTTGTTCAAGGCTGTAATAGTTACTGACTTGTATGACATTCTGAAACAGTAAATAATGAAAAAAATTGAAGATTTATTTTAAATAAATGTACACTGGGTTATTTTGCTATACACACATTTGTAAGCACTACTTATGAATATAGACCATAACCCATCAGTGAAATTAAGGAGGTGCTATGATCGAAACTGACCATTACTGAGATGATACATTCAGATTCAAAACTGGATCAGATCTGAATGTATATGTTTAATTACAATAAACAAAAAATGTGATGTGCTAAGCATTGAGAGTTAATATGAATGTCTTACTAAACATCTGTAATACACATTTTGGCAAACAGTTTTCTGTTAATTGCCTTTTCAATCTGTGGTGAATATGAAGATGACTCTTATGGGATGTTGCACCATGTAGTCTGATAGAAGTTTACTGACATTTCAGAGGTGCCTACTGTCTCCATTGTCAGGGTGATGACAATGGAGGCAGTAAGCACCTCTGAAACATTAGTAAATTTATACGTCCTGGGAAAGTCGTGTAATTCTTGAAATCACATATTTGTTCCCCTTTGACATGTCTCTTGTCTCAGAAGTCTACAGAAATCTGGTCAAATTGGTATATGAAACAGGCAGAAATGTTGGCATACAAAATGATCGTGCGTACTTTAAAAATGCAGTGGTACAATTACACTTTGAAATGTGCTTACCTGATTATATGCTTCTTTCAAGAGTTCCTCATTATCTGCCAGCCAGTGGCGTACTACTTTGATAAAATTTTGTGGGAAATTTTGTTTTCCTTCCCGCACATTCACTACATAAATTGTATGAAATTTCTTCCATAGTATTTGGCATGTTCTGTGATAAGCTTTAGACCATTTTAAAAGATTATCAGGTAGTTTGGCTAGCGTATGCTCAAGCCGTCCTTCAAAACAGTTCTGTTCATAAAATTCCTAAAATTAAGAAAAGAAAATATGATTTTATTCTCTCCATAATGGCTGTCTCTTGTTTGATGATACTTTATTAGGTTATACATCATGCGTTTGCACAATGATTATTCACGAAGTCTTAATCTGTTTAAGCTGATGTAGTAACATTTTGCTTGGTTGGAATCAGTAAAATTACTGAAGCGAAAGCTCTGTCAAGAGAGCCAGTCTTCAGGACAAAATTCATGGTTGTAACTTCTCAGAATGAAGCAAGACTGCTAATGACTGCACTGTGAAATTCAGTTGCTTACAGACATACTGTCCACAGATCAGGAGAAAAGCCCTGCGGGGGGGGAAGTCATTTCTGGGTCGGTGCGGGGGGAATGTTACTTATCAGTTGGACTAGAGGGTTGCTATTGGTGGGAAGTGTGATACGTCAGAGTTTTACACTATTACACACAGACTGAAAACATCAAGAGTAGCGTGTAGTGAGCGCACCTCTAATGTGTTCTGCGGGTGTTGCGATAATATTTTAGATTAAATCACTGTGCCACTGTGAGGTAATCTTAAAGCTGTTCCCATCAGAACACACGAGAGCCTGTCGTCTGTTGTTCGTTCAGTGATTGTGGAACGAATGCTTCTAGGATGGGTCGTCACTTACCGCGAAATCTCGCGCATGTGCGTATATCGAATTCCTAGCAGGGATTTTCTCCTGGTCTGTGGACTGTAACTACAAATCTGAAGAGATGTGGTTTCCTATCACTGCAGTTTATCAGTTCCATTTATATACTTGACACTGATAAAAGTAAGCCCTGTGTGTAAATGATTTGTGGTTTTAGGGTGTATGAAAGTTCTGATGTCTGGGAAGGACTTAACACGTTTGCATATTTCTAAGTTTTGTGAGATTTCACCACCACCAAGACTGCAGTGTCACAAACTAGAGGACTACAGTCATAACATTTCTGTGTTAAATAAGCCTTGGAATTTCAGTATTCATGTTCAGATTATTTCTGGGAGAGCCCAGGCTGAGTTTAATGAATTTAATTATCTAATTAAATTTAATTTTATCTAATTGAATTTAATTATCGTATGAGCCATGGGGAAGCTGGGAAAAAATGAATATGAGGGGTTAAATGTGAAACATGTTCAACAGGTTTGGCCTTCATCAAATATTTGAAACAACATAATGACATTTAAAACTAGATTATGTGGAATGGATGAATGAATAACAGTGATAGGTAATAAAGTAGACAAATGTGTATTAAAATACAAAAGAGTTACCAATTCAGATTAAATTAATACCAGTAAATAACTTTTAGAAGAAATAACCATCTTGATTTCCAATTCTACATTTTACAATTTTCACAACAAACCTGGAAACAAATTTAATTAAACTTTTGAATGTTCTTATTTGTGAATTACCGCTTTCAACCCTAAGAATGATAAAAGGTTTGCAGTTGTTTTTCTTTATTTTCTTGCATAGATATCAGATAGTTAATGGATTGATTTGATTTGAAGTTTCAAAAGTTGTTTTTCTAACAACGTCGATATTAGATACTGTGTTATAATACCCGTTTCATAAGATGGTTGAGATTTATTATATCAGTTTTGTATGAACTTTTGTAGAAAGACAATTGTCTCAGTGCCATGGGACAGTAATACATCACCACACAGCCAAATAGAAAGGTCACAAGTACTGCCTGGATCAAAAATCTTCGGTTTAAGAACCTTTTCTTTAGCATTCGTTGTGCAGTAACATCTGTGAATAAAAGATGAAATGCATAATCCAGAAGTTACAATAAGTATTGGCTTAAAATAAATTAAACCAAAGTAATAGTTCCCAAGCTACTACTAATAAACATTATTTCCACCTCTCCAAGAAACTCTGACCAAGTATTAACTTTCTGATAAAGTTTATGTAACTCCCAAGAACAAGTCTGTGTAGATTATGAAGAGTGTGCACTCTTCTGTGTAAACAGATTACATACTTGAAACATATTTACTTACCATATGCTAACTCCCCCCCTCCCCCATGAACACTGCAGTCAAGCGATTAATACTTCTTATTCATATTTGATAAATCTGGAGATTAACTATCCTGAGGTTTTCATGGTTTTCCTCAGTACCTCCAGGAAAATGCTGGTATGGCGTCTGCTTCCTTTCACGTCTTCATCAAATCATTATTCTTAATCATTCCATCATTTTACATTACATAGCCTAAACTACTGATGTCATTAAATACTCCAAAAGTAAAATAAATTTTCAGTACCTTGTACCATAGGAGTGTATTTGCTCACTAAGTGCTCAGATTAAATTATTCATGTTCAATTGCAGCATAGATATAACTTCAAGAAATCTATGATAGATTTTATGTGAGGAAGAATTATTCTTAAATCATTAAGTTGTCAATGACTCAATTTTTCTTCATGATAGTGACCAATGACACAGAGCTGGAATTAAGGAAGAGAGTGTGTAGTCTGTAACTCTGTATTTTATCCACAGATTGTATTTTTTGGTTTCCTATTGTTCTTGGAATAAACAGCGACTATTTCATTCATGGGTAAATGCTGTTTTCTTTGAGGTATGGGATAAATTTTTATATATTACTTGCACAAGCCAACTTCTGAGGGTTAACGTTGCTTTACTATATCTGGTTTAATGGCCCAAGTTCTGCATGTCCTTTTCACATTTCTGGTTCAAATTCAAACCATTGAAAAGCAAGAAATTCTCTGCACTTTCGTTGCTGTGCATTCTGATTTATGTTATGGAATATCTTCAGATTACAAAATTCACACTCAACATTACACCGAACTGAAAAGCCAGTTCGGCAATACGCACATACCAACGCTTGTACGGCAGAATGAATTTGGAATATATGTGTATTGATTGATCAGCTCGTGCGTAATGTGCAACATGTTTGGTGAGGTTATTTCGATTCGTGTGAGCAAACGCTGCTACATTTCGTACCTAACCTGAATCTTTATTTTACGCTAGTAACCGCAGATTTAGAATTTCTATTTGGCTTAACCACAGGGTAAAAACTGTTTTTTACACCCAAAAAAGTGTGTTTATGTACTGAAGCTGAGCATGCTGCCATAACAAATGTTCTTGGCTATAAATACTGAATATTCTCACCTGCCATGTGTGACAATTCGTTTTCATCTCAATCTACAAGCAGCAACAGAAGTCACTCATCTGCAAATGTCAGCTGATTTGTTTACACAGGATGACCAACATTACAATATAATTTCACTCAATGACAATCGTTGTACATGTTTGCACTGCCAACTTTGTGATTTTAAGAATTTGTTTATCATCACAAAGCCTGCCTTGATGTTGTTCGTTCTCAGTGTCACCTCGTTCTGGAGGGCCCTAATGTGCAGCATTGCGTTGACTGTATTATTGGCGTCAAATCTCTATCACAGCACAACTATGTCAGAAAAATGTGCACGATATTGTTATTAGTCGTAATGAAGAATTATGTCTAAAATAGCCTGTCTGGGTTACATGCTGACGTAACCAATAATAATAAATAGGAATCCCTTACCTCAAACTTTGTTCAATTGTTAGAGACCACGATGTCTACCCACAATGACCAATTTAATCAAAACTTAAAATGGAGAGAGTGGAGGGCAGTATAACAGATTTCATAATAATTCTTATATAAGATAAGTAATTGTGATATTCTAAAACGTTTTTAACAGCACAAAATTATCTACTCTACGACGCACTTTTACAAGCGATTCACAGCTCAGCTCTTTCCGCAATAACGAAAGCGGATTGTTGACGGCAGTAATGAAACACAACAATGCCGAATAAAGATGACATAACAATTAGTTTCTTAGGTAAAGGAGTAAAGCATTGTTATGCACGCAGGAGTTCATATAAAAGCTGACCATTGTCGGTCCATATTTACACATTGTTGGTATGGATCTTACACATTTTCCTAACGCTGTTTTGCCGAATGACCCTTCCGTATAGACGTATTTACGTCAAAACAAATTACTTAGTTCAGTGTCGGTTGCAAGTTATCAGTATTATGATGCTGTAATAACTGTAAATGCTTGAATGAATAACTATCAGATTGAATGTGAAGATGATAATGAACACCAAGTCGGAAAGAAGATATGACTAATTATCAGCTATTAATCTCGACGGCATTTGACTACACACCTTGAAGAGACGTTATCTCAGCTGAAGCTGAAGGCACGGAGAATGTATATTGTACTCATCTTGATTGTGACACCTTGCAGTAGGTGGCTGCTAAACTCTCGAAGGACTTATTCCGAAACGTTGGTAACCATCTAGAAGACTACATGACGTCACAATCCTGAAGATCGCGACCCGCCTAGAAAAACCTAAATCCCATATAGCAGAGACAACTTTTGAAAATAACGAACCATGGCTTTCCGGAATATGAAATACTGCATTAAGCATGGCAAATCTTTAAGTAGTTTCGGTATGGCGCCTTTATGCCGTGACCTTCGGTAAACACTTCGAACAGAAAGTGAGTTTCGGTATGGCGCCGTTATGCCGTGTCATTCGGTAAACACTTCGAACTGAAAGTTGAATATATTCTTATACACCCGGTCGGTCCAGTTTCGAATCCATGTCATTGAAGTAGTAGAAAGATAACATCAGAGTTCACTGCCATGGCTTGGTAGCTCCACTTTGCATCTAAATGGTCTGTTCACAAGTGTCGTGAATGAGAAGCGCCGTTAATTTATATGCAGTATCCTTCTAAAATAACAGCTCTTAATAATATAGTAGAGACTTGGAGATTGCCAATAAGGCGTGTAAGAGATGGTGGCTTGTGACGATGATTGCCTGGAATCACACTAAATAATTGTACTAGAATTTAATAATGATAATAAATGCAGGAAGTTCTACCTTTGAGGGAAATTCGATTGAAGTCTGGAGGACATCGCTTGAACTAAAATACTATGATTTTTGTTCAGGATTTGTTTAGTGAATTTTTTTATATAGACGTTAGTAAATAGCGATTAAGACACATAGCTGTCGGACGTTATTTCTTTTAGCAATACGACCAGTACATACTCTGTTTTTGTCATAACCATAGAGACAAAGGTGATGGTGTTTTGTTTTCGTGAGACATTCTTTTACTGCATAATGTAAATCTCAAAATTAACCATGAATTTTGTAGGTCGGGGTCTGAGTTGAAGATGTGTAGTCAACATGGTACGTACATAATTTTGAAACCATAACCAGTTTGCTTTTAATATAAAATTAATAAGCTGACTTAGACAATGTCCACCTAAAACAAATCAAGGCATCACCAAATATTTACAGAAGTGCTTCAGCAGGGTGGACTGGAATATAAATTAGCATCAGAGTGCGTGTTTCTATAACTTGTCCCATATTATTTATAATTAATAATGGTTGCCATAATTTTGCTGGATTTTGGCCTCTAATTTAGATTTAAACTATAATAAATAATCAAATGCAGGTGATGATGATACACAATGTTATGTTGTACCAACACCTGTTTTTATAAAATAAAATAAAAACTATAACAGTTTCTAAATAAAAGGATTTATGGGAGTTTGAATGAGGACAATCTTTTTATTGTAACTACAGTTTATTGGTTATTTTTTATCAGAAACTTAAAAAATATTACATCCTTCCCCTCTTGTCATGTCTGATTACCAAGACCTCTGTTCAAAACAATTTTCATTCGCGTGTAATATTGAAACATTTGTTTAAGCTAGATTTCCAGAAACTGAGAGAGAAGGTATTAGCCAGCTTTAGCGGTTGTTTGGTCTTGAACAACCTTAAGAAAAGGATGTTCTTTCGTTGTTAAAAGAATACTAACAGTTTGGTCGTTGCATTTTTACTTCAGTTCACATACCTGAGGCACTTTCATAAATAACTGGTGGTTACTATATTTTGTGGGAGTCTGAGTTTGTTTTCAGTGATTTATAATGAGAAATTTATGTGTACGTACAATTTCTTTTCGTGTCCAGTGCACATCATTCAACATGGTGTGCACTGGTGGTTAGCAGGATTCACGACCCATCAGTACCTGGGTTCGATCGGGACCGCGACATTTAACGCTCCTCCTGTGACCCCCTTTTTTGCGAGATGATGATGAAAGTGGAGTAATTGTTGGGATGCCACGGAGAAACCGGGGAAACCCCGGAGGAAAACTCCGTGTTGCCTAGACCACGGCCTTGCCCAAACACAAGTTATGAATTCGGGCACCGCCGGGAATCGAACCCGGGACCCGCTAACCGCTAGACCACCGTGGCGGATTGTACGTACAATGCAACTTTATAAGTCATCACTGAATTGTAATGGGTAGCAGATTGTGCTTAAAAATATATAACAATAATTCAAACATATATAATTATATATAAATTAAAGAAATTGAACAAAGACATGTTTTAAGTACATCGATGAAAGTTTCAAATGTTTCAGTGATTCTATATAAACAGCAATATAAGAGGTCGTTATTGTGCTTCACATTCCTTGATGTTCAAAGTAATCAAAGATAAGCTCTCACATTTCTCATCAACATACAATGTATATTAACAGTTCAGTAAATTGTTTATTAGTACATAAAACACAACCACTTTTGCGTAAATAATTGCAGTTTCAATGGGAAGGACACACACACACATATTTCATTCTTCTTTGTTTGTATTAAATAATTAAGTCGATATGAGGGTTTAGGTTTTACTGCAGTGAAGATATGAATGTTTGTCTCTTGGATTGTAACACCATGTAGACTTGAATATAGATACCAACTTTTTGGAACGACGTATTGCCTCGATTTGAGGTTTTCATGGCTGTGCAGCTGTGGGTTGTGACACCATGCAGATTTCTAGGTACATGCCAAATTTTCAGGTAAATGTTGGTATCTACCTACACGTCCACACAGCATCACAGCCCAGAAGAACATCGCTGACCATTTTCAGGCAGACATCAGCAATGAAGTTACATTTTTACAAATATGGAATCACAATTTATGAAATACAATGCGAGATAACACACCCGACATAACTTCATCATCTCTATATATGTGAGCATGGAATGGCATCACCAATTTCTTTTAAATCAATGTTATTAAGAATCATGTATCAATTTATCAATATATATTTCTTATTCTTTTTCCGGTTTAACAATGTTTCTACATTTTCCGGTACCCTTTACGGATCCCCAACTTTTTATTAGTTAGCTTGATCTATGGACATTCGGTAGGACTCCTTGGACGGGGGATCGGCCCGTCGCAAGGCCTCTACCTGTACACAGGACAGCACAACACGGAAAAACATCCATGGCTTAAGTGGGATTCGAACCCACGGTCCCCGCGACCAAGCGGCACATGGCCCACGCCTCAGACCGCGCGGCCACAGCGGACATCAATATATATTTAGAATATTTAATTTTTAACATGTTTTGACCCCTCTCTCGGCAGATACAGCTGTAACGTTTTTTTTTTCTTATATAATGTATTTAATGATGCTTTCAGTATCTCAAGCTGTATAGCGTTCAGTGAGACAATGTTAGTGAATAATGATTTGCTAAGGATGTGGAAGGGAGTAGCTATGGTCTAATTTAAGTACTATCCTGGCATTTGTCTAGAGTGACTGAGTAAAACTACGAACGTCAATTAGGATAGCCAGTTTCCAGGCCGATGTTTCAATTTAGGATATGTATTTTGACGCATAAAATTTGTTATGTTGGTTGCAACTCTTACATGTTACAACTTTTCATTTGCACTTAACTACGTTGTTAAAAATATAAAAGAATATTATTTGTGTCAGTATAATATTGTCTTTAATATAGAAGAAATATTCGTTATGTTTAACATTGAACAGCTTTTACTATGGGACAGATGCCCCAGAACATCGTAATGAATAAATAAAATGAACATTCTAAATGTCTTGATAGGTTATTTATAATGCAGAATACATGATTTTAAACTAATTCTTTCGTATACAATATAATTTTAAAGTGTACAACAGGATTACTGATTTCTAGAATTTGACTTTTACACTTAAATGAAACAAAGAATATCTTTTATTTCATGCTTGTAGAAATTGATGAAAGTTGTGTGATTGGATTGATTTTATTTCATATGGGTTTGAAAATGCTCACATAAGTATTTATTTATATAAGGTGCATATAATTTTCACGAAAATTTTACGTCACCCTGCTGCACTCATAATGGATGCATTTTTTTTGGAAATGCCAATTCATATACACACTATGAATTTCTAATTCAACATATATGTGTATTTCCACGACTAATTTTATTATTAATTTGTATGAATGACAAAGATATAATTTCAAAATTCGGTAGTTTACGACATCTATTCTTTACTGGCATACGTATCAGTTATTAGCATTAGGTTATTGAAATGTAACTATTAATGTTCTTAGTGAATTAGGAAAATGACCTGAATGTGCAGAAATTTATATTCTTTGGCTTAATTTCAAAGAATTTCATTTTGCCAATTCTTTTTTTTTTTTTTGAAGGAGAATGAAGTGGAGGTTCTACACTTTTATTGTTGGTGACATCTGTAATTCTGCCAGCAATATACGAATTTTATTTTATTCAATAGAAATATTACCGTATTAACATTTTTGACTATGTCATGTCTTATGCCGGCAATAAAAATTCAATCTAGTATTAGTGGGAACAAAATTACTGTACATTATCTTGTAGCAGACATTTTCCGAGAACAGGCATTAAACATTTCAGCTCATAGATCAGTAGCGAGTGCCTTAATATTAGAGGTCTGTATTGTCATTGCAAAAAACACGCCGTGAAAATCTAACAGCTATTTGCGGATTAGGCCTCTTTCTGTAAAGGGCGAAGGCATTATGGACAGTGCTATAGTGTGTTCAAGCTGAGAATGTGGCACATATCTGAAGAACTGAAATGGATAATTTAATTAATGTTATTGTTCCTATGCGTTCTACATCAGAAACCAACATACGTGTTGGAGTCTTTAAACCCTCCTGACAGCTTTCAGAAGACTTCAACTATTCTGTGTGTGTCTTATTAATACTCGAACTTCTAGTTGAAATTTAAATACATTTGGTGGAGAGTACAAAGAAATATACTATTATATACAAAGAACATTTAGCCTTCAAACACGATGTAGAAGCTTAAAGTGTTTGAGGAACGGGGATTGTAAAGAACATTGAGTGGCTTAAAATGGCTTGCATTTAAAAATTATTAATTAACAGATGCTCACCACCTGGCAGTTTTTCTGCGAATTAGGTATTCCTTTATTAAAAAAAAAGATATATTCAGATTCTAAGTCCTTTCAGCAGAAAGAAGGAAACTATTCTGCAATGGCCACATTTTGCAGGGCAAGTATTGAAGTACGCCAAGTGTACAAATGTTGCCAAGGTATGGAAGGGTGGTATTAATTACTAGCAGATTCGTACTATGATGTCACTGTCTTTTTAAATTGTGAATGAATGGATCACAACACCAAAACCATCATTGCACCCTTGGTGTACATTTCCAATTAATATTTCGACAAGTCAATTCAAAGAACAGGCAAATGTTTGAATATTTCAATGTATAGTACCAAAAATCAACAAGTTAAATTTAGGAGTTCAGACTTAACAACTATTAGTAGGCTAACAAGGATAGACCTCTGTCGTTGTTAACGTCATTTGAAAAAAAAAAATTCGTAGCTTGTATTCAAGTCCAGTACTGCTATTTCTCTCGACTTCATCCATTATTCGGTATTTTAGAACGAAACCACTACGTATTTGGTTCCCTGGATCCAGAGATTGAGATTAGCCCCTTCCGTTGGATCTAGCAGAGTATGCATTTCCACCTGAAGATGGTAGCAAAGCCAGATCCCGAAACGTAGTGGTTTCGTTTTGGAATACTGAACGATCAGTCAAGTCCAGATAAACTGCAACAATAAATGTAACGCACCATCATTAAAAAAAGCCTTTGGAGTTGCACATTTAACTGCCAACACGGAAGCCGTACTCCTCTTCTGGTTGGAGGATCCTATCGTTGTCAGGGTTATTTCTAGTGCTGTGTATACGTCTCGGTTGCCCAAGTTGGGGGAGTGGTGTAATACCTCCAGCGCCGGAGGAAGCTCCCCGGAATTCCTGTTCCAGAGATTGCGATATGTCACGTCTCGCGCTGGGCTCCCGGAACAGCGAATACAGGTTACTGCGTTGTTTCGGTCGATGAGATTGTGGTGGCTGGTGAGAAGTGGAGGCTTTCTTCACCGTTGTCGTGGTGCGGAATATGCCGTCAGGTCGAGCGGGAAGGGGTGGTGGCCCCGGGTCCGACCTAGGTCGTGTTGTCAGTTCGTACATTATTTCTTCGTAGACGTGGTATTCTGGTCCGGGTGCCGTCCCCGTTCCAGGTCTCAGCACGAGGCTGGCAGACATTTCTCGGCCTACGGTTCCCCATAGGCTCGCCTGTGTTGGTCCCGTGGCTTCCGTGCCGATATCTGGAGCTCTAGAAGACGATGTGGAGGCAGAGTGTGCCCCCGGCTCAGGAGCTGAGGGCGCCGGTGCTGGGGGAGACACTGGGGTACTTCCAGGTTGCACCAGTCCTGGAAGCTGAGTCTGATTCTGAAGGTCTTCGATAATCTCTAGCATACATTTTGCCACTTCGGAGAAGCGACCCGATTGAGCGCTTTGGCCCGTGGGACTGGTGCAGCTGCTGTCGCTGCTTGACGACGTTTCGGGAGCTGTCAGCCCTCCTCGATTTTTCTCTGAGGAAAAGAAAACACGCCTAACTTGTGAATCAGTGAAAAATGTGAGCATTATACACAGTAACTTACAGAATGAAGATGACTGTGTCGACGAATAGTTTAGTAAAGCTAACAAGGTAATAACTAATTAACTAACTCTCAGGAGCAGAGTCCTTCTTGAGAAGTTAAGTGGTCGCTCTGTGGAATTCGGCTGTTTTTATTACTGTTCTGAAGAGAACCAGATAACCAGCTGTTTTAAGTAACATTTTGTAACATGCTGGCTTTTTATAGTAGGTGTTATTATCCCCTTACCTCACCTGCCCGAACTCCAGACTGGAGGACCACCCCTTGTCGGTTTTCCACGAGTTATGTGTGGAAAGTGTCTTGATATAGAGACGCAACTGTTTGTTTCCCGATTATTTTCAATATACAGTACATAATAATTCTCTCATCCGACGCCAAATGACCTTTGCAGTCGTTAGGCAACCGGCAAACAAAACTTACATCCGACCCTGATGATGGCAGCAAATTTTAACAGAAAACTTAAAGGGACTGGACAGTAGTAAAATAAGTAGTGGCTGAAACTGAGGTAAACCACAATAGAAGACGATGGCTATTAGAGTTAATAATGTACGTTGTACGATTGAGATCTGTAATGATGAGGCACTGTATTTCTACATCAACTGTACCATTTCCTGTTAGAATAAAAAAGAAGTCACATGATTACCACGCCGCCTTGAAAATAGTGTTAATGGCAGGTAGAGACACATATTACTAATGATACTTTTAAGACGTACAGAATAACGGAAGACGTGACTCACCTGTCTGAACAGAGAGCTTCATGTGCTGTAACAATGACTGTTCAGGGAATCTGTGACGCTGTGTTCCTCTGCCGTGTCATATACAGAGTGTCTCAAAAGTTGTATACTCATCATAATACGAAATATTCACCTTGTTATCGATCTCCGTGTGTTTTGTTTATGGAAGACATGGACGTTGGTTATTTTGAACACCGACACTAAATTTGTTAATTCACTAAGTACCATTGCTGATATGCGTAAAGCGAAGACGCCTTTTTGGCATGCCATGTCTGTTCGTCACACCTTTTAATTCATAAATAATTATACGTTTTATTATCTGGTCGAAGTGCCCGAAGGAAACATTTTTTTCATGAATGTTTATTTGGGTGTCGAAGAGTGAATATCCCCAGAAGACCAAAATCCACTTTTCCCCCGCCATAAAAACCTGAAATTTCATACTGTCAGTATTATTTGTGTATGCCCTACGCAACTAATAACTTTGAGAAGTGAACAACTTTTTACGAAACTTAGTATCTCATATCATCGGAAGCCAATTTACTTTCCTGTGTTTGAATTCCGTTCTTTAGATAATATCAACATGGCGTCGACGTCAATTCCTGACGTGGACCCTGAACTAGCGTCATTTAATGCAAAATATTTTGTAGTGATTAAGTTGTTACGGGTTTGGGCGCCATATAGACTCGTAGGTAGATGTGCGAAGCTAACGTTTCGGAAAAACATTCCTGTCTCCATCTTCAGCCCTGAAAATGTCGCTAGAACCCAATAATAATATCTTCAGCGATGCCCGAAATCTTTTTTTTTTTTCCGTTAATGAATGAATAGGGGGACTTCAGTCCGAAAGGTTGGAGTTATGAATACTTTGACGTAGTGTAAATCTGTACTAGCTGAAATTATGCTCAGACATACAACAGTAATTAAGTTTTAGTTTATAAGATTATAATTTTTAACTTTTAACTTTACACCTGAAGATACTTTAATGTAACTGAAACATGTAGTAAAAAGTTATACCAAATATGTAAATGATATTTTAATATCTTATGTATAATTTTATTTATATACAATTGTGATTAGACGGAAAAAAACACGAATAATTAAATTTTAATTCACAATATGACGCAATTATATCAACTTATGAAGTAATTCGGTAATTGCTCGATTCTTACTGCCTGTTTAAACAGATAATATAATAATAAGTTGTTTAAATCAGTGGTATTCAACCTGGGGTACGCGAAGACATCTTAGGGGGTACGTGAAATTTAAAAAAAATGTATATTATTTTATGATAAACACTAAATAATCAGTAATGTAATTTGTTTAATTTATTTTAGATGTAGATTATATACTATGTATAACTTTAATTATACACCAACAACTTTGGGGGTACAAAGTTGGAAGAGAAATTATATCTGGGGGTACGCGAACAAAAAATTGTTGAATACCACTGGTTTAAATCACAGTACCAGCTCCATACAGCAGAAATGCTATTGGTCGCTCTCCTAGTGATATATATTCCTTTATGGTAATATATTTTAATATTTTCCGTCAAATCACAATTTTAATAAGATAATAAAATATAAAATATTTAAAATATCATTTCACGTTCCGCATCGAATGATCGATCTACAAATTGGAACGTTCTCTTACGACATGTTTCGGTTATATTTAACCGTCCTCAGGTATAAATTAGATTGGTAAATTTAAAACTCGAATTACAATCATTTACAATGTTATGCAGTTTATTGAAATGTTCTTATCAGATTACTCTTATATATTAGAACGAAGGTATTTTTTTTATATGGCGTGGTTCATCTGATGTTCAATATTAGTCTGTAAAGCAATAATTTAAATAAAACATTAACATTTCAATAAACTGCATAACATTGTAAATGATTGTAATTCGAGTTTTAAATTTTACCAATCTAATTTATACCTGAGGACGGTTAAATATAACCGAAACATGTCGTAAGAGACGTTCCAATTTGTAAATCGATCATTCGATGCGGAACGTGAAATGATATTTTAAATATTTTATATTTTATTATCTTATTAAAATTGTGATTTGACGGAAAATATTAAAATATTAACCTAATTCACAATATGACGCAAATATACTACCTTATTCCTTTATGGATCTCAAAATTGTGTTATTATGTTTACGAGACCCAGTCACGGATCTCTCTGTTGAGCCAGCTGAATCCTTACACCACATTCCTTTAAGATACATTGTAATAATAATGTTCTCCCATTTACGCCTGTCTCCCAGGATTTGGAGGACAGAAGTTTTCAAATGTTCTTCTTGGAACTTCTGGTTAGGTATTACAAATATTTTCCTCTTAAATTTCACATAACGTTCCTCAGTTTTGTTTCTTCAGTGGTTGAATAGGCGGTGGCAATATATTATGAGCAATTCCTGACTGTAGTTGACAATACCGTTGAAACATCGACTTGAGTTCGTCTTGCAATTATACATTGCGAAACTAATTAGACTGTCGGAGTCTATAATGCAGCAAGAATACAGAACAGACGTAATGGAATGTCGACTTCTTAGCTGGAAGCATGAAGTGTTCGGAAATTATGATAGTTGCCATTCTTTTCTGATTTATTTATGACGTGAAATCTTTCATGACAGAAAGCTGGTTCAGTCTTCAATCAGCTGGATAAGCATTGTCAATATGATTTAGCGTTATCTGGCTTGCGTGGAGTATGTAGGCATACGCGTACAGTGCTTTATCGTAATACTACTTCAATTAGTGTCACAAGTAAGTAAGTAATTATGTAATTATTATGGATCTGTTACTTTTAATGACGCTGTATTAACTGCTGATGTTTCAGAGCCATTCTTTTCTGATTTATTTATGACGTGAAATCTTTCATGACAGAAAGCTGGTTCAGTCTTCAATCAGCTGGATAAGCATTGTCAATATGATTTAGCGTTATCTGGCTTGCGTAGAGTATGTAGGCATACGCGTACAGTGCTTTATCGTAATACTACTTCAATTAGTGTCACAAGTAAGTAAGTAATTATGTAATTATTATGGATCTGTTACTTTTAATGACGCTGTATTAACTGCTGGTGTTTCAGAGTGAATACGGCGTATTAAGAAAGACTAATTATATTTCTCAAGTTAACTTCTTGTCGCCAAAGAACAGGTTATATAGGTCAGATTGAGATGGGAACGTGTTTCGAATATTGAATACACTAGGATTTAGAAGAACTGTGTCGTGGTCT